ATTATACATTACAACATCCATGCATTTAACACACACAGAAGTGTGTACACACACTGCAAAACTGGCAAAAGACCAGTGGCATCCACTATTCCCCCTACTCTCCCTTCCCCATGAAAGTTAACAAAACAAGTCGCTTGCCATTTTCATTGAAAACATTTCTGGTGTCAAGGATGCCAATTATATGCTGCACTAGCAAAACATGGAACTTTATCATTGCAGTGCAGAAGCAATTAGCATGCAAAGAAGTCTGTGCCCTTTTAGGCCATTTCTTTTTGAATCTGCTTCCATGCAAATCCAACTCACACAGCACTCCTTTGAGAATATTTTAATTTCTCAGATAGACAATTGTGGCATTTAGGGTTTCTTCTGCTTCCACCTCCTGCCCCCGTTAAAAATTTCAAATACTTAAAATAAATAAATAATGCATAACAGCTGATTGTCTTTATCTTCTGTTAAATAAAAGGCATCCAGATTTGAAAGGGGTCCAGCGAAGGTTATGGAAACAAGTTCAGAGAATGGGTGGAAGAGATTGAGGCAGCCATGTCCATCACCATCCATCACCTGGTATGAAACAAATTCCAGTTGCTCCAGCAGGAAGGTGGGGATAGTGGGCAAAGGAGTAATGAAGAAAGTCATGTCATGTCCAGCTAAAACTAGGATGGTTTTATCTATATTTAAGTGTTCACCTTTTATCAAAATGGTTGCTGTTGTTTCTCAGTAATGCATACATATATTTATTTAAAAAGTAACCTATTAAGGAAGGACTTTTTTTAAAAAAAAAGGTTTCTAGCAGTTAAAGATTCTTGATTGGTTATTAATTTATAGTTGTCAACCAAGTTTGAATGGGCACTGCTTCTGTGAAAAGATTTTCCCCGCATCAAGGAGGCTGTAGGAGCTGCATTAGGCAACTTACCTGTGAGTCCCACTTCCTGCTTTTTTGGCCTATTTCCACCTGGCCTGCTACTACTACGGTGGGGACCAGATACTGTCTTACCTGTGAGTCCTGCAAGAACTGCTGCTCAGATAGCCTGGACACTATCAAGGTGGGATATTGTTTAGGACAGGCATCCCCAACCTTCGGCCCTCCAGATGTTTTGGACTACACTTCCCGTCATCCCTGACCACTGGTTCTGTTAGCTAGGGATCATGGGACTTGTAGGGCAAAACAGCTAGAGGACCGCAGGTTGGGGATGCCTGGTTTGGGAGTTTCTACTAGGGTCAGTATTGAATTTTGGACATGCCTATTTTTTGCTGTTATTGGCATTGTTTTTGTGTTGTTATTGTTAGACCAGTTATGAATTATGTGGGGATTATTTTTTAGTATCTTTATTCAGAAGTTTTCATTTATTGTTTATGGTACTTGGTTTTTGTCATATTTTTGTAACTGTTGGAGTAAGTTATGGTTTAACATACAAAGGTGGTATACAAATAAATGATGATGTTGACAGCGGCCTCCAAGCAGCATGCTGCAGCTCTTACCACCTGTCAGCAACAGCAACAACATTAGGCAATGCATTCCTTGGAAGGTGGCTCTGTTGCCCCTATGGATTCTGCTACCTGAGGTGGTCATTTCACCTTGGCTCATGGGTGGTCTGGCCCTGCCATTGCCCAAGCAGCTTCTCCCCTCCTCTGCCATCCCCCATAAATTATGCTTTACGTTAGTATGAGCACAGACTTCTCAGAGCTAGTGGAACTGGGCAGGGGTAGAATTCCCTGCTAAGAATAGGAGAACTTCAGAATCTTCATGAAATACTGTGAATTGGTCTAAGGGATCAATTTAGAACTTACAACTCCCACATGAAGTCCAATCAAAAATATGCTTCCACATGGAAACCATAACATTTGAGAGCTATTTTTCTTTTGCTTCATGAAGTCTTTATGCCAGCATAGTACATTCCTGGCATTTACTTGGAGGGGCTGCAGCAGACATTTCCAGTGTAAACAGGGCAAATGACATGTTAAGTACCTTGCTAGTGTTACAGCCCCTGAGTGGAGCTGTTGCCACACAGTTGCATTTTTCAGCAGTTTCCATGCGGGAACTGCAAATTAGTATTTGGCACTGCAGTCTGGAGATCAGCACAAATCACGACAGCTGCGTGTATAACATCCATATGGCAAGACAAGCTTATGCAATGTCATGGAGACAACGAGGGCTGAGCTGGGTTTGAGGCTTTGGAAGCTGTGGAAATATTGTTCGATGCTGGCTACCTCTTTCTGGAAACCTGATGTGGAAGCAGTGGGATTTTCTGCTGGAGTGTGCTCAACCTCTGCATTTGTAAACAAATATCATAAGCCTCCAGTGACCTCTTCCTAAAAGAAATGAGGCCTCTATAAGTGCTGCATCCCTGAAACTTCTCAGAGCTTGGAAAAGTGAAAGAAATGCAACACTATGGGTTTCTGCATCTATGAATACAGGGAAGAAAAAAACAAAAGCAACAATCAAGTGTGGGACAAAGAGGCCCATGCCATCCACAATATCATTTTTGTGTAAAGCCCAAATGTATCTAAAATGTGCGGAGTGACCATTCAGAACAGGAGAAGAAGAGGAGGAGGAGGAGGAGGAGGAGGAGGAGGAGGAAGAATAATAATAAGAAGAAGAGGAGGAGGAGGAGGAGGAGGAGGAGGAGTTTGGATTTAATATCCCGCTTTATCACTACCCTAAGGAGTCTCAAAGCGGCTAACAATCTCCTTTCCTTTCTTCCCCCACAACAAACACTCTGTGAGGTGAGTGAGGCTGAGAGACTTCAGAGAAGTGTGACTAGCCCAAGGTCACCCAGCAGCTGCATGTGGAGGAGCGGGGAAGCGAACCCGATTCACCAGATTATGAGTCCACTGCTCTTAACGACTACACCACACTGGCTCCACAACTGGAGTAGTTGGTGATAACACAATCTTGTTTTAAGAACTTAATAAGAGTCATGTCAGATCAGAGTAAAGGCTCATATATGCCAACATCTAGTTCCCGCTGTAGCCACTCAGATGCCTATTCAAATGCTTGCAAGCAGGACCAGAGTCCAAGAGCTCTCTCCCCACTTGCGATTCCCAGCAATTGGCATACAGTGGCATATTGCCTACAACAGTGGAGAAACAACATAATCATCATGGCTAATAGTCCCAAGTTCACTATGCTTACTTAATGTCAAAGGTGGTTGAGAACTCCTCTGTTTCATCTCAGCTCTAAACAAATAAAATCAACTATTTTGTAGTGGAGTCCAAACCTGAAGTTAGTTGTTTGTTGAATACTGGTGATTTTCAGGTGAGCAGCAGAGTATCTGACAAGACTCAAAATGTTTCTCACTGGGTTCCCCCATTCCCACCCTGGATGCTGCCATCTTTATGCCCAATTTGTGCCTGTTTATTCTTTTGATGACCCGTTTGCCCTGTTTAGACAGAAGAATGGCAGTGTTGTCATGAGATGTCTGAAAATGTTTGCATCAGATTGGAAGGACACATACTAGTCAGGAATTTGAAGCAGTTGTGGGGACTCATGTGCAGTTTTTCAACATTCAGGTGTGAAAATTAAATACAAATGGAAATTAAATGTGTTTAAAAGGAGTTTTAAACACAGACGAATCTAAGTTACAATATACACAATCATGGAGTTAATTAACCGCATTTATGATCATCATGATCAATAATGTTCCTTTTGTAGGAAACCCTGTTTATGAGACAAAACAGGCATTTGCAACAGGTAAGGGATAAATACCAGTTACCAAGGGTGCATTCAGACACGGGGAATGTTGCATTAGTTTTCTTGATAACAGTGCTAGGGCTTCTGTGCCATTTCCTATTGTTAATTTCACACTGAACCGATATACTGGCAAGTCATAAAAAAATTCATTCACACCAGTGGCATAACAGTGGCCATCACTAGACAACATCACTATTCCCTCATCCTTTCCACACATGCATGGTTCCATTCCCTATGATTCACCCATGAAAACAGCAGAAAAGAAATGCATGCTGGTAGATTCCCTCAGATTTTGTCATTTTACTCCAGTGGTTTCCAGGGGTGGCAAACAGATTTTTTCTAGAACCAATAAACATGGAAATGAATGCTAAATTTCCACTATATTCAGCTAGGTTTCCTGAAGTGCCTTTTACATCACGCAAAAGCTCAAATGTAATGTGGAAATTAACAGTTTGGGAAATGTGGGGGGAATGAAATAGACTGCTGTGTGAATGCAGCCTAAGACAGATTTACAGAGCAATCTTCCACATAGTAGAATTGTAAGAAAGCAATGTGGTCCACAGATGCCTGAATCAGCTTTGAATAATATATTCCTGAATGTTAGTTCAGGTTGAAAGAGGTGAAGAACAATCTGCTCAAGTTACCATGGTAAACAACAATGGTGTTGAAGTGCTTTCTATTCCTGACAAAGTAATTTAAGTAAAAGAAAATATATTGCATTTTGAATGTAACCATGTGAAAAAATAGTTGTCTGCATCACAGGGTTGGCAGAGGCATAGTGTGCCTTCACTGCTGGGGTTAGAAAGAGTGGGTGCCATTCACTAGGTAACAAAAGCTATGAGACAGTCAGTGCAGGGAGGATGGGTGTTTTAAAACAGCTGCATTGGCTGCCGTTTCATTTCCAGGCCAAAGTAAGCTCCTCATGTTAATGTTTAAAACCCTAAATAACTCAAGGCCCAAAATATCTGAAAGGCCACCTCCTTCACTATAGACCGTCTTGGGTGCTAAGATCAGCAATAGGGGCCCTATTGCTTCTTCCACCAGCCTCAGAATCTCAGTGGGTGGTAGCCTGAGAGAGGGCATTCTCTGTGGTAGCCCCTAAGTTGTGGAACTCCCACTCCACTGAAGTGAATCTGGCATCTTCATTAAGCAGCTTAAACACCATTACAAAGGATGGTGGTAAATTCTAGTTGTGTTGCATTGTACAACATGTTAATATCAAAAGGTCCACCACACTCGGTTTTTATTTACATCTTCACATTTATTATATATCAACATTTATTTATACCTTAATATTGATTTATATCTACCCCCTTTCTTCCATTGTGGAACTGAAGGTGGCATACTTGTGGGTTCCTGGAGGTTTCCCATCCAGCACTGACCAACCCCAGTCCTGCTTAGCTTCAGCAAGGTGGTGGCCTGATGGTCCTTCAGACCATTTCCTGTAGTCTGAGTAGGTTTGCTATGCAAAGGTCATTATATTTTGCTTCTCAGATACACCCCAGACTGCAGTGCCAAGGCACAACTCATTGTACCTGTGAAAAGTAAAAAAAATAATAATATGAATGCAAAATTCCATTATGTGGTGTTCACAGGTCACAGCTGTAAAACTCCCAGTGAGGGGTTATATCTGATGACATGGAGTTAATAACACAAGTTAACTGCAATTTACTATACATGCAGTTAAGCACTGCCTCTGATTATGTCTTATTGGATTTACCATTTATCACAAGCTCACAGCTAAAGTTAGGAACCAACGAATAAGTTTGTGCTCACCAGTTCCTTAATACATTTCCTCCCATTGTCATTACACCTTCTAGTTCAAGCACTATATCTTCCTTAATATGGCACCCATTATTAGAGAACAGAGTGTCTCATCTACTCAAAAGCTACACATCGTAAATGCCATTATTTTTCTTCTACCTAATGATTAGTGGGGAGAGAGTATATTCTAAGTCCTTTGCTTTTTCTGTGTAACAATTAACAATTATGAAGTGTTAGCATTATCTTTAGGCACCGTCCTGGACCTTTATGTCCTTCAGCTGATATTCAAAATGCCTCAACTAATTTTGCATGCCTCTAAGCTGAATGCCAGCAGACACTTGGCATTTTTAAATGGCTGTCTAAATCCTGCATAATCCTTTTGGTGTCATCCTAGGTTATTTGATCAACTGCTTAGTATTGTGTTATCAGCAAATGTGTACATCTTTTTATTGATTCTATCAGCTAAATTGTTTTGGTAAAGAGCACAAGGACAAGGGATGGGACTAAAAATACAAAGCAAATTGTTAGGAATATTATCTAAACACTCAAGTGTATGCTTCATTATACACAAGGCATAAATTAACTGCAGTTTTATTTGTAGATTGTCCAAACAAAAGTTTTGCAAGCACAGAGGTGACTCTTAAGAAAGCACCTCGTTCTCCTAATAGATAAACACAAGGTATGTTACTGTCCTATGTAACTACAGCGCACAATATGACAACAGACCCATCTTCTCTCCCCAACCCTTCATGACTGTTGCCGCACAAGAACCGTTTTTACCATGAACGCTACCAGCCTTCCACGTTGTGCTAGACGAGGTTGGAAGACTTTCCAATTTGTTTCTTTCAAAAGGCTGTGTTGGTTACAAAAGTTAGACCTGTAGGTCTTAGGCTAAGGTGCAGAGCCGTCCTTCCCATAGGGCTTAGTAGTGCGTTGCGCCAGGGCACCGGCCTCTCAGGGGCGCCCCAGCAAGTGGGGGAGCTGTGCAGCTTTGCCAGCAGCCTCCCCTTTCCCTGCACGCATGCCAGCTGCGCCCCACCAAGGCTGGCAGGCGTGCAGCTTCCCTCCCAAGCCTCCTCGGGAGGAGAGCGATCCCCACAGAGACTTAGGATGGAAGCTGTGCCCCGCCAACCATATGGCTGGTGGGTGTGCAGCTTCCCTCCCAAGCCTCTGTGAGGATCGCTTTCCCGCAGCGGCATGGGGGAGAGTTGTGCCCCCCCAATGGCTGGCAGTGTGCAGCTACAGCCACCCCAATACTATCTGTGGTAATTTGGGGGCGTTGGGTGGATATTTGCACCTTGGTGCCCCATCTGCTAAAGACGGCCCTGGGTGCAAGTGGTAGGTTGATGCAGTGCAAGCAAACCAGTTTGTTTCCACTGCTGTTCCCACACCACATCAACTTCTCCAGTACCTTGCTTCTCCCTGTAAACAGCAGCATCCCCATTGCCAGGAAGCTAACACTGCAGCTTTAGCCCACTGGATGAGCCACTTCTGCTTTGCATTCAATCTGGTATGATCAATAATAAGAGTGTCAAGCAGCAGCAGACTGATATGAGTAAAGCTCACACATCTTTAAAATTTAGATGGTTTTGTAAACAGAAAGTAATATGGTATATTGGTGTCCTAGTACTGCATCATAGTGCACAGCGCTAACAAAACAATGGTACCTCAGTTTAAGAACAGCCCTGTTTATGATCTATTCAGTTTACGAACTCTGCAAAACCGGAAGTAGTGTCCCAGTTTGCAAACTTTACCTCGGTCTAGGAATGGAAGCTGAATGGTGGAAGGGCACCAGCGGCGGGAGGCCTCATTAGGGAAAGCACGCCTCAGTTTAAGAATGGTTTTGGTTTAAGAAGAATGGTTTTGGAATGGATTAAGTTCATAAACCGAGGTACCACTGTAAAGAGGAAATAGGATTATTAAAGTATAGTTGGAAAGTGGAAAGAAATTACATTTTCTTCCCAATAATCTCAGGACTGTACTAATAAACTGATAGCAAATTGACCTATTATAAACAATATACTAGATTAAATGTGAGGTGCTGTTAATTTCTTAATAAGAAGAGGAACATGCAAATATAAATATATAAAGTGTTTTCTGTGTGTCAGCTAGTGTCAAGCCATAGGGATGTGAGATTTGTAAAACCACAGAAGACTAATTAATACTCATCAATCACCCAGGCTGCCCACTATTTCAGCTGTGAATTAAACTAGCTCAAATCTATTCTGGAACATTGGTTCACACAGGAAATAAGTCGTCTTTCAGAACTTCTCATATTTCAAGTACGGTATATCTTATGCATCAACAAGCTTGTTCCAACAAGCCAACAAAAACATCAGGCTAAAATCCTAGATCCAAATTCAATGGGAGGAAATGCATTTGCAAACAGGAGGCTTAACACACAATTGTCAACATACCTTGAAAGAAGACTTGAGAAACCAGTATAGTGGGAAGGTCATATTTATTAAATACAATAATTAGAAGATTTGCCAATAAATAACCAAATTATGAAAGTGCAATCTTAATATTGAGTAGAGAATCACAGCCAATGATCTCCAAGACTATAATAACGGCACAGAAACTGCAATTTCAACTGGAGAGAAGCAGGGAATTTCATGGCATATTTAACACCCAATCCAAAACCCTGTTAGCATGTGGTTGTTAAGGCAGGAGAAGGGGGAGGAGGGCATTCTCCTCCTCTCCAATGAAGGAGAGTCCACCACCTTCCAAATGAAATGGACTGCCTTGGAAGGTGGTGGACTCTCCTTCACTGGATGTTTTTAAGGAGCAGTTGGGTGGCCATCTGTCATGGGTTCTTTAGTTGAAATTCCTGCATTGCATTGTTGGGCTAGATGACCCTCATGGTTTCTTCCAGTTCTACAATTCTATGATCACCACCAATGAGAGAAAATTACCCATGCTGGCTGAAGTATTCAGAGACCAAGGGGACTTAAGAGCCTACAGATCCATGGCATCCTCTGACACTCTCTCAACATATGTTCATTTCTATCACCTGTTAAATGCCACTAGCAGAAAAGTAATGGTGGTGGAGCTTTACACTGCCTCAGTGAGGAGTTATCTGATGGTGGACCTCTGCTGGAGGAGTGGTAGGTACACAGCAGCCAAGAATCCCTCAGCAGCCCTCCTTTGGAATTTAGGATTACTCTCTTGCTAGGAATATTCCCCTCTGAGACAGTGGAAGAACAGTTCTTAGAAGGTGATCCCTATGCAATTTATTCAAGGAGAATTCTATGAGTGAATATTGGATTTTCATTAGTTCCAGTTGGCAAGTTGCAGAATTATCTTGAAGAAGATACACGGATGGCTCATGGTGACATTTTTTTAGTGCCATATATCCATGCTAATCACTCCCTCAAGCCATCCCTGTGGGTGCAAAAGAGTGCCTTAGGCCCAAGTCTATTTTCTGTGGACTTGTCAAAAATTATTACCTGTCTACCAGAAATTGCAGATAATCTGTCCCTAACAGTGGGGTCATTTTAAGAAACTTTTGGACACTTCCTGACTTATTTAGGGCTCTTTTATCAGAGGGTTTTCAACAAGCCCTATTTCAGATGTTGTTCCTGTTTTGTAAAGGTTGGAAGCTCCCTGCCATCCCAGAGAGATTTGCCATCTCTTTGGCAGACAGTAGTAAATTGCACTCATCCTGCTTTGTTGGGAACTGCTATTGCTCATTTGCAAAAAATTAAAATAATAAAATAAAATTCTGATGCTTCAGACAACCTGCTCAAAAATAAGTATTCCACTCACTGTTGTTGTTGTTGTTTAGTTGTTTAGCCGTGTCCGACTCTTCGTGACCCCATGGACCAGAGCATGCCAGGCACTCCTGTCTTCCACTGCCTCCCACAGTTTGGTCAAACTCATGCTGGTAGCTTCGAGAACACTGTCCAACCATCTCGTCCTCTGTCATCCCATTCTCCTTGTGCCCTCCATCTTTCCCAACATCAGGGTCTTTTCCAGGGAGTCTTCTCTTCTCATGAGGTGGCCAAAGTATTGGAGCCTCAGCTTCAGGATCTGTCCTTCCAGTGAGCACTCAGGTCTGATTTCCTTAAGAATATATCGGTTTGATCTTCTTGCAGTCCATGGGACTCTCAAGAGTCTCCTCCAGCATCATAATTCAAAAGCATCAATTCTTCGGCGATCAGCCTTCTTTATGGTCCAGCTCTCACTTCCATGCATCACTCACTCACTAGAGTGTGTTAAATGTAAATCAGGCTACTGGGAAGAATTCTCAAAGGAGGGACAGCAAATTTTCCCCACCCCAGTCTCATATCCAGACTTGGTTAATGACCCAGAAGGGAAATTCTTATCATGAGCAACAAACTTCTGAAATAATTCGCCAAGGAGAGCAGCAGTCCAGCAGCCCTTCACTTTATAAGGTGGGTAAGATAGCTCACAGGAACACCAACACTTTCCTCTTCTAACTACAGAAGCTGATGCGAAAGAGCAGCTCATAGACATCAAGGGTCTTAGAGCTACTAATAATCCAGGATACTGAGCATGTCCAAAAGGCAGTAGTAACCTTGATGAAAAAGCTAGCACAGTTGGACTTGGGCTAGGCAGAAATGCAGATGTGTTGTCGATGGTGGTGGTGAATTCTAATACTGTATAGCCCTTTTCCTAACTGAACAAATTAACCTTCCTTATCCTGAATCAGGACATTGGTTCAAGTAGCCTTGTATTGTCTTCTTTGACAACAGCTCTCCAAGGATTCAGATGGAGGTCTTTCCAGGCCTGCTACCTGCTCTACCACTGAGCAGTTGTCTTCTCCAAAGCAAGGGAAGAACCGTTCAGGAGACAAATGCTGTGTGGGATCCCTCTTCCACAAGGGCCATCACATGCTCTCTCCATGCCACTGTTGTACAATCATATCAAGGGCCAATCAGTGAGAGCAGCTGTGCTTGGAGTCAATGAGATTTAGTTCATTTCCCCTTTTTCTTTTATGTGCATATTATCATAATTGTCTATTAAGGGACCACAGAACAGTGACTTGAGCTATAGTCATGCCTCTCACAACTCACACAGTTGGTCTCCCTTCTCATCACTTCCATATTTTATTTTTACTGTTGCAGGGCTTTTTAAAACAAGATTCTTTCAAGAACGTTATAGCTAATGATAACAGGAAGCAATAAAATTTCATTTAGTGGTTGGAGCCAAATTCATGTCTGGGGTTTGTGTGCTTATAAACTTGCGTGCTTTTAAACACCTAATTAAAACTATCATAAAAAGCTTACAATTAGTAATTTTACTCTCAATCAGCCATCTGAAAAAGCAGATTTTAGATCCTGGCCAAATCAGCATAAATGTTCTGTGAATGATCCTTAATGATTCCTTAATTCCAAATAGAAAGAGAGAGAGAGAGAGAGAGAGAGAGAGAGAGAGAGAGGAGTTCTAGGTCAGCATGACTACTGTTATGTTTAGTAATATGCAACTCATTGTTGTTGTTCTTGTTCTTGTTGTTTGTTGGATTTTCTTCAAATTGTTCATGGTAGCATAACATATTCAATGCTGCCTTGACCTAGTGCTAATCATTATCTGCTTTTAAATCTAGGCCATGGATGAAAGCCTCAAGTCAAGGGATAAAATGTGCCCCTCTCAGGCCGTCAGAATTTTCTCCAGGCCATACCTATTCCAAGGCCACACCCCCTTTCCCCAGGCCACATCCTTCAGTGTCTTGTTCTGTACCCTTTCTGGGTGCTTTTGCTTGGCTGGAATGTGCCCTTGAACTGTGTTAATGTCTCTTGCTTGCCTAAATGCAGGACACAGAGGTAGGAGTAGAAACTTCTATCTTTAACTGTACAAATGTCTCAATCACACATGTTGCTCCACCCACTCTGGCCCTGCCGATCACATGTATGTGGCCCCTGAAAGGTTGCCCATGAGGGGAATATGCTGCACAGACTGAAAATATTACCCATCCCTAATCTAGGCGGACAATTCATTTCCCTGCACTGGGAGGCATCGTTCTGAGTTTGGGTTTCTCACAATTACTGTCACCCACAAGCAAGATGGCATCTACAGTTACTGCATTTTTACTTCCAAGCGATCTAACTGTTATATGCTCAACATGCATGGCAGAGGGTGGGGGGTAGCATTGTGGTGACACTTTGCACCTTTGACTTACACATGTTCATTTCCAGGCCAGACTCAACTAACTGGTTCTGCTAGCGAAAGCCAGAACAAGGACTCTTGCTAAGACATTAGGGCTTTCACCCTCTCCTCCCTCATGTCCAAGTGCCTCCCACAAAGCCACTCTGGAGAATTGGAAGATCCCACATTGTGCAGGGGGGGGGGGGGGGTGGAGCAGAGTGGAGAGATCATTCAATTGGGCAGACGGAAATGCTTGCACCAAAGAAATTATCTACTTAATGCTAAGCGGAACTTCACCCTCTGAAGCTTCAGTATCTGTAGAAGCAGCGCTATATGGTAATTCAACAGTTACAAATTTCCCCATGTCTACTGCGCATCAAAGTTGATTTTTGTCTACCATGCATAGGTCTCCCAAGACACACCTGGAAGCCAAAATGATAGGCTGCAATTATCTTGCAATAATCATAAATGTGTGAGCAGTTAAGAAAATGCAAGGAAATACAGAAGACGAACTAGCAGAAGACTAAATACTGTATATTGCCGGGCCATTCTGGAAAACAAGATGTGAAACACCTCCTGTCCGGTGATCTAACCTCTGCAGCCTTCCATGCCTTATGTACAAAAGAATATTGCTTCCTGCGATCATGATTAGTAGCATTTATTCTTGCGGAAATGTGGTGCTGAGATTTACCGGTACTTCCTTCACCATTCATTCTGCAGAACTGTTCAAGGGACAGAAGCCCTGTCTTTGGTTGCATCTGTTCAACCTAAAAATATTTCCATTGCCTGGCAATAAAAACAGAATGGGCAGAGACGAAATCTTTTGCTCTCACTGTACCACAAATTTAAAACTGGTTCAGTTCTCTAATCCTAGGCAACCCTGAGAATTCACATTTTTGTGAGGGGTGTGGTCTAACAATCTTAATTAAAACAACAATGAGAAGAAGAACCCCAACCATAAAAAAAGTTAAAAGGCAATTAAAACAATTTTGAACATTTTAAACAATTTGAGAAAATTATATTATGGGATGGCCCTTGCCCTTGCCTCCTCCTGAAGCCAGTCATCCCCTTCAGGGGTGCCACCACCCCCAACAGCCCAAGTCTTGATGTAGCCCCCCTTCCCTGGTACATTGAGACCGGGTGGGCTCTCAGTAAGTCAGTCAGCAGGGTGCCAACCAAAGGTGCAAAAAGGCTGGCTTTCTCAAGAAAAGGAGGAATTCTGGAGGTAGGCCAGATTTACAGCTCACTTCCTTCACTGATGGTTTCTGGCTGCTGTGAAGCCTGAGAGCAGAGCATCAGCTCATTTACTTTATTTGCAGGGAAACTGGACTGGTTCTGCTCACTGTTTCTGTGCGCTCTGGTTTTTGTCACAGTGTTCCATTGTTCCAGAAGCGGTTTAGTCATGCTGGCCACATGACCCAGAAAGCTGTCTGTGGACAACCACCGTCTCCCTCAGCCTGAAAGCGGAGATGAGCGTCGCAACCCCATAGTTGTCTTTGACTGGACTTAACCGTCCAGGGGTCCTTTACCTTTTTACCTAACTGTTTATACACGGCGAAGCAGTTCCTTGGACACTCATACCTGATGATAGTAAGTTCCATCCTTTCTATCCTCTTCCAAAATTCTTGCAGTGTTCCTTTTTCTAACTTTGCAAAAGGCACTTTGTTGGCCACACAGCTCATAATTTTCAATATGCACTTAGCAATTTATTCAGGGAAGATTGGTATTTAAAAATTCAATCAATCTGTCAAGTCTTATACTGTTGTTAGAAGATTCCTTAATGAGTGATATGGTATACTGATCTGAAAAGTAATCCTTTAAGTCAATTATTAATATAGCTCTCACTGTCTCCTCAGTTTGCAAAGGGTCAAATCAATATTTTATTTAGAACTTTTAAAATATAAATCATGCTCTTTTAAAATTGATTTTTGGAACCAAGGTGGGGATTGGCTTTAATTTGCATTGATTAGGGCATGGTGTCATTCCTTTGGTTTAATCCTAATTTATATTGAGAGATAAGAAGAATTACGTGATTTAATTTAGTAACAATGGAGGGGGGACATCTAATAGTTATGAAACAAATATGCATGCAACTCGTCTCTACATATGTGTTGCTTTCTCTTCAAGAGAAATAACTGTAGGAAGAAACAAAAGTATAATTTGCATATGAATAAAGGGATATGTTTGATTTTTTAAAGGTTCCGGTTCTAAACACACATGCTAGGGAGTAAGTCTTGTGCCTAAAGACAGTGAGACTTACATGTCTAGTATTGTGCTATTAGTTATTCTCAGAAAGTCAATGACAACATGGTGATTTACTTTGTTTCAGACCCACCTCATACATATGAAAATGCCCCAAACAGCAAGACCGCAGGGGTTATTTCACTCATTATATCTTAAAGATATCTCTGCAGGAACAGTCATGGGGAAAATATTTTTATTCCATCTACCTGGTGGTTGTGGGCCTCTACACCCTGATTCTATGCATATTTATTTGTACTTAAATTCCATTTAAATTCATGGTACTTACTTTCAAATTCTTGTGTGTAGGCTTGCAGTCATTACTGAGCAGACCTTTTATTCATTTTCCTTCGAAAGAATGCAGTGTATATGGCTTCCTTGCAAAATCTAAATTCTGCACAACAAAGGTCTTCTCTTCAACCAAACCAACACAAGCACAATGGTGTGATATGATACTCAAAAACATAATAATCCAGTACAGTATAAGTAATTATTACTATAAACATATTGTTCTAACAATTGCTTATGCTGGATCATCCTGTTTCTGAGTCCAGTAATAGTATCATTTTTAAAATATTAGGGTTTTGTGTCTGTGTTGCGTTTATTTGCAAAAGACCCATCAGTGATAATAGCCTCTTCAAAAAATAGGTAACACAGGAGGCTCATAAAAAATTTTAAGTGGTGGTTGCTACTGTTTCTAAAGCAAACTTTATTTACCCCCCATGGCTGCTTTACAATGATGCCCAACAGCTATCTGTTTAAGGATCTTTCGACACTTACCATTTTTTGTGGTATAGTTGCTAATTTTTTGGCATGCTGCTTAACAGTATGATTATTTAGCTAATATTCCAGGAAAATGTCCTTTAAAAATGCTTTTTCTTCACACACAAAATTGACCTTTGTGAAAGATTCAGAATTGATCCTCAGTAGTTTAATTTGTGTTGCATGTGTACAAGCACCATCCTGCTTTCATTTAAATCCTTTTTCCATATTCATAAAGCTGGCTAAACTGTTAAAGCAAATTTAGTCAAACAAATCTGGGTACTGTAGTTTAAGGATTGCTGGGATTTGTAACTCAGTGTGGGGTAAACTACAGTGCCCAGAATTCTTTGAGTAAAAGAATGTGATTCAAAAGTGCTTTAAAGGTACACAGCGTACATGGCCTGAATGTTTATTTTGGCTTTTAGTTGGAGCTGAGCGGTAGAAATTTGAAACACCGAGGCACTCAATAAAAACCATCATACAGGAGTTTGAAACAGCTCAGGTACTAAATCTTAGGGCACTGCAATGTCAGCAACAAATCAACTGTATCTAACTCTTGAGAACCTTCTGAATTGAAAGTTTGGGGAACTAAGTGTGCTGGGGGTGGGGTGAGGCAGAACTTTCTGCTGAAATGGTTGCTTGCTCGTGACCAAATACTGTTTTGTTTTTGTTTGTTTGTTTGTTTTAAAAAAAGATGGAATCCAACTATACTGTTTGAGAGTGTGAGATTAAATTGGGGAGAAGGGAAGAGAGAGGGATGTGGATAGTGAGCAAGGAAACCATGACAAAGAAACACAATCCCTGTGGGTGGTATGTTACACAATTTAGGCACAACTCATTCTGAAGGAAATCAGCCCTGAGTGCTCCCTGAAAGGACAGATCTTGAAGCTGAGGCTCCAATACTTTGGCCACCTCATGAGAAGCGAAGACTCCCTGGAAAAGACCCTGATGTTGGGAAAGATGGGGGGCACAAGAAGAAGGGGACGACAGAGGACGAGATGGCTGGACAGTGTTCTCGAAGCTACAAACATGAATCTGACCAAACTGTGGGAGGCAGTGAAAGACAGGAGTGCCTGGCATGCCCTTCAGTCAACAAAGACTCCCAAAGTTCCTTATGTAGAATAACCATAACAAAAAGCAAGACACAGGGTTACAGCCTAAAAGACGGTTGCCATTTTGAAGAGCAAAAAAGAGGATGCTATAATAACTCTTATTTTAAATACCCCTACTATATGAAGGCTATAGAAGCTGTGATTTATTGCTGAGGGAGACAGGAGAAGAGAAGAGGAAAGCAAGTCTTCAACCACCAGTTATGTCTACAGGTATGTCTCATCCAGAAAGTATAGCAAATTTTGGCAAATTTTAAAAAATCCACCCGGACAGAAAAGTTATCTCTAAAAAAGAGGATGTGTCCTGGAAAAAGAAGGCACATGGCAACCCTAGGCCCTAAAAGACACAGCAGCAGATGGTGTAGTTTGGGCAGCAGTGCTCTGACCTCCAGCTGATCTTGTCACTGCTCCTTACTGGGAGATAGAGAGGGAGGGACAAGGTGACAGTGAGGTTGGTGTTGTGTGAGGTAAACCACCAGAGACTCTCTGCTGGAGATCCAAGTTGCATACACCTACAAGCCACATCCCCACTCCTTCAGGTGTGCATTCATAGGAAGTGTGTGGAAACCATTTCACATTTCTACCAAATGTAGAGGTTCCAGGGGCATGAAGGGATCCCAACCACAGGAAGGCTTCTAAGTGTGTCCAGCCAAATGTAGCTAGAAGTCTTGGTCTGAGGTAGAGCCAGACATGTGTGTGATATTGCGGGTGAGGCTTGCATGTGCACCCCCTTTCCAGCTTAAGCACTCGTACATGTACTCAAATGACTGAAAAGGGCTAACACTGGCACAAAATGAATACGGAAAACTAGCAGCAATAACTTTATTGGGAGATTGACAGGTTGGGTCTTTCCAAATGTCGTTCTTCATTGACCATTGGTTATGTTGGCTGAGGCTGGTGGGAATTAGAATTCAACAACATCTGGAAGGCCACAGGTTGCTCAAACCTGCTTATATATCTCTGCTAACCAAAACCTCCCACTCTTTAAATATTACCATTCTAGCGCTCTTTTCAGCAGCAGTATATCCAGCTGGAGCTAAAATCAATGTCCCATTATGGTAAGAGCACCCCCCCATCACGGAGCCAAGGATTTTAAACTACCTTAGGCCTTCTGAAGTTCCTGGTTGCCCGATGAGCTAAGGAGATAGGCTCTAATTGTTCTGCTCCACTTGATAAAGAAGTGTTCTATCAAGATAAAGTTTGCTGTAAAAGGAATTATCTCAAAATAAAATTAAATATGATAAAAACTCAATTTAGCTTGATACAATTTATCAGTGACTCAATGATAAGGACAGCAATATCAGGAGAGGAATGTAATGAGCTTTGGGGAGTGCTGCATTACAGATAACTCAGTTTGGGGGCAGTGCCTTTGTGTACTGTAGGTACTCAATGAAACCCCAGATGTTGGCCGAAATAGCTGTTAGTGTGGCAGCATGTGGGCAGAAGAGTGGTATCACACTAAGCAGCCACCTAGAGATCACTTTGAAAAATTGCTGTCTTTGGAAATTCCAGAATAGCGCTTGTACATTTTCTACTTCTTTTAAGGTTTAGTTCACTCCCACTTCAACTCAAAAATAAAAAGCACTAGGAAGAGGATCCTCCCCAGCAAGGCTTATTTGTGAATATGAATGGTTGCTGCACAAGAGCCCTACCAGATTCCTTTCTTTCACAGCTCCTGTACATTTCAATTGGATTCACACAGAGGAACATCCCATGAGATTATTCCTATGTCTTCTTTTATTTCAAATAAATAATAATATTAGAAAAACCCAGTGTAGCTCAGTGGGGACTGAGCATGCTCAGTGGTCATGGAAAGCTGTCTGACTGTGGTCAAATTGGGGATGGAGGGGTGGGGAAGGCCATGGAAAACTGAGGAGGGGAATGGAGTAAGTGATTGGAATCCTGACCAGGAGCACTCCAAATGTTGCTGCAGGTTCCAATGGTACTTCTTGTACCGGGAAGGATGGCACTATGGTCTAAATAACTGAGCCTCTTGGGCTTGCCAATCAAAAGATCAGTGGTTCAAATCCCCACGACGGGGTGAGCTCCTGTTGCTCTGTCCCAGCTTCTGCCAACCTAGCAGTTCAAAAGCATACCAGTGCAAGTAGATAAATAGGTACCGCTGTGGTGGGAAGGTAAATGGAGTTTCCGTGCACTCTGGTTTCCATCACAGTGTCCCGTTGCGCCAGAAGTAGTTTAGTCATGCTGGCCACGTAACCCAGAAAGTTGTCTGTGGACAAATACCAGCTCCCTTGTGCTGAAAAGCAAGATGAGTGCCGCAACCCCATAGTCACCTTTGACTGGACTTAACCGTCCAGGGGTCCTTTACTGGGCTGCTCCTGTATAGATATTTTGGGTGGTATTCAACTAGGTTGACTGAAGAAGACTGGTCGCTTTTGAAGAAGAATTGATGCTTTTGAATTATGGTGCTGGAGGAGACTCTTGAGGGTCACATGGACTGCAAGAAGATCAAACCTATCCATTCTTAAAGAAATCAGCCCTGAGTGCTCACTGGAAGGACAGATCCTGAAGCTGAAGCTCCGATACAGTACTTTGGCCACCTCATGAGAAGACTCCCTGATGTTGGGAAAGATGGAGGGCACAAGGAGAAGGGGACGACAGAGGACGAGATGGTTGAACAGTGTTCTTGAAGCTACCAGCATGAGTTTGACCAAACTGCTGGAGGCAGTGGAAGACAGGAGTGCCTGGCGTGCTCTGGTCCATGGGGTCATGAAGAGTCGGACACGACTAAATGACTAAACAACAACATTCAACTAGGTTTTACACAGAGCAAACCCAGTGAAATTAACAACCATAACAAAGGTAGATGTTTTCACCTCAGTGGGTCTACCACCCAATGGCACTGCCACGTAGATCTCCCATCATCTGAAACATGTCCTAAAATAGACCCTGGTATATAATCTCTTCATAAGGTAGATGCTGGTTACACAGTAAATAGATGAGCTGCTCCTGTCTCCTCCTCTGGTGGTTCTTTGAGCATCCAAACCTTAGAAAGCATCTTAGAAAGCATTGTACAGGCTACAGTCTTCTACCCATGTACCTGAGAGTAAGCCCCACGGAACTCGTTGGGAATTTTTTTTCTGAATAGACTTTTATAAGTGATACGCACTTGAATAAAATGAACATTTTAAAGTTTAGATTGGGGCAGGGAACTTCAGGATCAGAGGCCCAATTTAGCCCTCCAGGCCTCTTCATCTGGCTCCCGAGACTCTCCCTCAGGTTACATTCCCTCTTCAGCTGCTACTTCACACTCTACTGGAGTGTTTTTACTTGGCTAAAATGTGTCCTTGAATTCTGAAAATGCTTCTTGCTTGCCTAGATGGGGGGGAATAGAGAGGGAAATGTGAGTTTGTATAGAAACTGGCCTACTATACCAAGGTAAAATTTGCATGTGCTGCTCTGCTCACTCTTGACTCTGGCATGTGGCCCCCAGATGGGGTTACCCACAGACAATGTGGCCCTTGGTCTGAAAAGTGTCCGTTCCCCCCAGCCCTGGCTTAGATGAATTCAGTTCTCCCTCCATTTTCAAATGTTTTGGAAAAATAAAACTTAATTTTAACAACAAGGGAGGGAGGACCCAAACCTCAGCCCAGTGAAACAGGTGCTAATAATTCTAATGCCATCAAAAACAGACTTGTCAAATTTTTCATTAACTTAATCAATATTTGATTATACAAAAATGGTTTATTGCGCGTCATTTGCTTTTCCCGCAGGATTAAAGCAGGCAGTGGCTGCGGAGTGTTTGCGAGGCTAGTTTCTTGGCACAGGAAAGTCATCTACTTATCAAATTAATGAGTATGTGGGAGAGTTTCCTGAATGGGTAAAGTGGATGAATAATGAATCTTCTCCCATGGCAAAAAAAATAAAGAAGAAATTGCAATAAATCAGTTACAGAATTATGTCTGAATGTAGAACAATAAAAAATTAAGGGAACTGGGAGGCTAAAGAAAAACAAATTACAAAATCCTAACCAGTTAAGCTATGTAATTGCTTTTGTTACAGCACTACTTTTCTGTAATAGAAATCATCATTACACTCTGTAAAATAAAGCAAGGTAGTCTGCATTAAATATGATCATGGAGATGGTCTTTTACTGATGTTCCTGATTTCCCTCATTGCTGGCTGTGGGTGGGGAAACTTTCTTACTCATTGCCCCTAAAGACCGTATTATATGGTGAATAATTATTAAAATAGAATAAACAATGCCATAAGCATGCATAGTGTTGTTGTTTTCTTTGTAGCTCAATATTTCCACTTTTTCGTAGTCTAAGGGACATGCACTCCTTGGTTATTACTACTGCACACTGTCAAAAAGATGTGAATATTATATGACAGAAGGCTGTGCTTCTCTAAGCTTCCTCATAGCTGTTAAAGCATAAGCCTTCAGTATTCAAGGGCCAAGTCATGCATTATGTTTGTAGTTGGGGCGCCATCTCTGACAAAGCCATTCCTGCTTGTAGGTTGGGGTGGGAATTTGCCTCCATCCTACGCCTCCTTGCTAAGGTGGGCTGGGAGAAACTCACCTCTGATGGGAGGGGGTTGGAGTGAAGAGCCACATGGGCTGCAAAGCCCAATAGGAGAGGGGTTGGAGTCAGCCTTTTTATGCTGTCTCTGCCCAAAACTAAAGCTTTGTCTCTCACACAGCTGTGCTCATTCTTTCTCTAAAGCAGGGGTCAGCAACCTTTTTCAGCTGTGGGCCGGTCGACCATCCCTCAGACCATGTGGTGGGCCAGACTATATTTTGAAAAAAAAAAAAATGAACGAATTCTTATGCCCCACAAATAACCCAGAGATGCATTTTAAATAAAAGCACACATTCTACTCATGTAAAAACACGCTGATTCTTGGACCATCTGTGGGCCGGATTGAGAAGGCAATTGGGCCGCATCCGGCCCATGGGCCTTAGGTTGCCTACCCCTGCTCTCAAGCAACGTGGTCTGTGCTAGTCACCTTTTATGGGTCTCGTGTTTTTAAATCTGCTTTTAACTCCAGAGATGTAGCAAGTTCTGGCTTGCTGTAGTTTTTCCCCCCTTCACTTTTAATGATTTACTATAAACATATTATATTTCTTCCCCCTCGCTCTGGTTAATGGTTATTGAATAGATATGCAAAATGAAAGTCAAAATTTAATGCAATCAAGTGTGTCCTAATATTCAGTTCTTTTGCAGCATACATTAATTATTAATTATTGCAACATTTTCCCTAAAATAGAGATCACCGGGGGCAGGGCGGGAAGAGTGATTTGCCCACAGCTTTCATTCAGTGTTCAGAAATGTTGTTTATAGAGCTGGTTTCATTAACATTTTTTTCTCTTCATATTGTGTCAAAGGCAGTCATTTTTATGCAGCGAATTGCTATGTTGACTGTGCTGCTGTTCCCACATGTGACATCGTCAGATGGATGAGGCACTTATGAAAATGGCATTTTAAGCTTTGGGAGATTGGTGTATCCAGCTCTGCGGTATATGATTTCTAGAAGTAATGTCAGGCAAACTTGGCAAAAGATGTGCATAACTTTAGCAGAGAGATTGTGCCTGCAATCCCATACTTACCTGAAAGTAAGCTCATTGAGCTCAGTGGGACTTAACCTCTGAGCAGACATGCTTAGGGGTTCACTTAAAGTAATGACCTTAGTAGAAAATACCTGCTGCTTAATTCCCCTCCCCCCCCAGCATAAATGGAATTGTTGCAGTGTGGAATCGTTGCTGGGCTGTAGGGAGCCAAAGGGAATCTTTGGAGTGCTGAATCGCCACCCACCCCTATGATATCTGATAGGATGCAACTTTTCTGATAGGAAGGAAGGCTGGTTTATTTATACCAAAGCTGCAGAGAATAATGCCTGAGAAAATATGGAATGTTTGTTCTGTGGGGTTTTGCTTGGGACTTGCTCTTGCTGACCACGGTGGCCACAGACCTCTCATGATTCCACACTTGAGTGTTTTGGCCTTACCCGGATAGGGCAATCTAAACTAACACACAAACAAAAGCCCCACACAGTTGTGTTACATAAATTCACCATACGTAATCACAATCCAAGCAAACTGATGAGGGATGGGCACATTCCCCTCAGCAAAAATCAAAGAGGCTATTAATAGAAGATGGCTCTTTCCCCTTAAATCTCAGTTCCAAACTTTAGACCCTGTCACACCTCCAATGACATAAATGAGCCCATGAAGCCCAGTGAAACATTTCCCACTGCCCCCTTCCCACTTACTTGGTAGGGGTGACAACGAGAAGAGGTGTGGCTGGAGGACTTTCTGTGGGTCACCATACATGTGATGCAAAGATCTCTGGGAAGTGTAATTTCCTGGGTACCCACCGGTCACACTTGGGGACTCAGACACCCAGGAGAATTACATTCACCAGAGTCCCCCTTAGTGTCTTGGACATTTACAGCATTCAGGAGAGCAATGTCCAAAGGCAAGTGAGGCGGGATGACATTTGTGGTAGCAGTGCCCCTGGATATAAGGTCAGTGAATTAGATGCAAGCCAGACTTCAAATTTGGAATTTGGCACGGCTTGTAATTGGTTCCTTTTCCTGCCAGGTGGGGAGAATTGACCATTAGAAGGCTCCATGTTTCCTAATTTCAGCGCCATCACTTTTTGAAATCTCTTCCTGCATTGAAATCAACTCTTGCCCCCCACTCTCCCCACTGACATATGGCTCCTTCTCTTCTGATGTTTGAAACTTTTGTTGAAATATGTCCCTTTGGCTCTGTTATCGTCACAGTTCATGAGCTGTTTCCGATAATAAAAAAAAATTCCACAAGGCTGTTGGGCACACACACATAAATCCCCATGTTTTGCTCACACCCACATAGATATATAATATTCCAAGAGAAGTGTGCTGAAGCGAAGGCTGATGCTGATTACTAGGAGGGCAGGAGGGAGGGGAAGTAAAGTGATCCCAATAAAAAGCAATAGTACAGAACTAAAAAGCATAAATACAGACAGGAATCAATGAATATTTGGCAAGCCATTTTCCTTCTTAAATAGGTGACAGAATGCATTACAGAAGTATTTTCTCTCTCTGCCTCCGCTGAAGTGTACTAAAAGCCTACCTTATTGGCGCTAACCCAATAAGCTTATTTTTATAGAGGGAAAGATAGACATAAATCTAGAATAATTCATTGGGAGTTCTTTCTCAGAACCTTTAAAACAGAGAAGCAATGTTTCTTTTTTGGTTTGGTTTCTCTCTCCCTCTCCCTCTCCCTCTCCCTCTCTCTCTCACTTACACAGCCATATTAGTGGGGGAGTTTTCCTTTAGCCAAGAGCAGCGATGGCTGAATGAAACTCTCATGTACAGGGGCAGTCTACCTCTAAATGCCAGGTTCCCAGGGGCAAATAGCAGGAAGACTATCACATTCATGTTCTGCTTCTGAGCATCCAGAAGCATCAGACTGGCTGTTATTAAGACACAATGGTGAACTAGAAATATATTGACTTGACCAAGCAAGCCTTGCAATCTTGTTTCAATTAAACTATCTCATAATCTAGGATAAGTAGCCTAGTTTGGCAATGCTGGTGCCTGCATGATGTCCAAGGGTGTGTGTGTGTGTGTGTGTGTGTGTGTGTGTGTGTGTTATTCACTGTTTATCCTCATTTGCCCTTTGCATTCTGCTTTCCAATGGACATTTTCCTCTCGGCAGGAGGGGGAGAAGGAACCAGGCATGCCCAATAAAGAGATAACTTGTCATTCCATCTCATCTGTGGCCATTCATCCAACAAAATGTCTCTTGCACGTGAAGGAGCTGTGAATGGAGGCAATTGTTGTATTATTCAACACTATGTACAGCATCTTCCCCATGTGCCGTTTATGCCTTCTCTGTTTTTGAAACTGTCCCAATCCTGGTTGCATGGAATTGCAGGGCTGAGCAGCAGTCAGGAGAAGATCTTGCTCCCTTCCCATCTGTTCCAATTGTTTTCAAGTACTTCAAGGCAAATGGCAATAGGCCTGTGCAAAGAGTTCAAATCAGAGCCAACATGAGTGCCAGCAGAATTGTGCTGGCAAGAACTGGAAGGATGGTGGTTGCCCTCTCTAGAGTAGATTCCCAGTAGATTTTGGCAAAGTTGTTTTGTCTAAATCTATGCCCAACAAGCTGCTTGGCTATTGTTTTGGTTCCATTCAACTATGATTGAGAATGTTCTTACACAATAAGGAGTTATGAAAGGGCAGGGGAAGACTTTGGATAATCCTTCATGAAACATGTCTTTGCTTTTAAATGAAGAACAAGGTTTTAGAAAACAGCATGCATGACATCTAAAAAATTTAAAACGCAGCACTGCAGGTTTAGGTGCAAATTCTGAGCAATCTCATCAATGGCTTCTAATGTTACTATGCTCTAGTAATTTGGCTTCTCCCAAACAGGATCCACATTGTGTAGACAAACACACACATTGCTTATGAGAGCCTGGATGATGTAGTGGGTGGAATGGAAAGCATCCACTGAGGAAATCTGGGTTCAAGTCCCTGTTCAGCTATGATGGTTACTGGGTGTCCTTACTGGGTGTCCTTTGATTAAATGTTCTGATAAGGGATGAGGAACAGTATTGTGGAGAGGGGATTGGGCGCATGGTCCTCTAACCCAGATGACTTCAATCCTGCTTTCTACAGGGGAACTTGGTCAAAGAGCTAGCTGCATCTCTACCTACCCCACAGCTAATGTCACATGTGAAGTCACAATGTGTGGCAGTTGGGAATGGTTTGGGGGAAATGGCCTTGTGGGCCAAATTGGGATCCATGCTGGGCTAAATTAGGCCTGTGGATTGGAGGTTCTCCACCTCTGTTGTCATGCATAGATCAAGGCTAGGGAATCTGTGGCCGAGATGTTGTTGAACTACAGCTCCTATCATCACTGACCATCAGCCATGCTGCCTGGGGCTGATGAGAGTTTGAGAAAAGCAACATCTTGAGGGCTGCTGGTTCCCTAGCCTGGTACAGATCATGCTTGTGCACTTTGGGCTCATTATGAAAGCATAATTACTCATGTTATCAGGGTTGCCGCTTGCACATTGCTCCAAAGAAGAAATCAATCACCAAAGAAAGAGGGTGAAAGAGTATACAGCAGGCATAGGCAAACTCGGCCCTCCAGATGTTTTGGGACTATAACTCCCACCATCCCTAGCTAACAAGACCAGTGGTCAGGGATGATGGGAATTGTAGTCCCAAAACATCTGGAGGGCCGAGTTTTCCTATGCCTGGTATACAGCAGAACTCATCATAATGAAATAGGCTGTGGCCATGGGACCAGTGTGCTTGCTTAGTTTGCTTCCTAGATGCTGTTGATGTGAAACTCCAAGTCCCTTCTCTCCTTTCTTTCTCTTTACACCAGACTTCGTTCAAACAGCCCTTGAAACAAAGTCTCTGTTAAGTAGGGCACATGATCAGGCTAACATGAAGCCATTGTGATGGTGTAGCCATGTTGGATGGAGAGAGCAACTTTGACCAAATGTGTCTAGGACACACCTTTTAGTCTAAGGGGATGTTCACAAGTTACATTAGATGATGGTATGGACTATGTGCACAAACAATTAAGTTGTACACACATATAGTAATTCACATGTAATGTTTAATGGGTGGTACTCTCTGTACCTGTGTACACAACAGTTCAACTGAACAGGTCAAAGAGTGTACACTCTTCCACACAAGCATTTGTACATGTGTAGAGACAGCTTGTTATCGGTGTTCAGTATAATGTGTGAACAAGCTCTAAACTGCCTAAGAGGACGATGAAATACAGATAACCCCTATGTAAGTCACCTTGTGCTCTTCGGAGAAAGGATGGGATGCAAATCTGAAATAGATAGATAGATAGATAGATGATGATAGATAGATAGATAGATAGATAGATAGATAGATAATGTTTTCTGTGTTGATTTTTATTGTACAAGATGCTTTACAATGCTTATTTTTTTATTCTCACAGCTCCTATGATATGGTTTGGGCTGAGAGACAATGACTTGCCTTAAACCACCACATAAGATTGGCTGCTGAATCCCCTCACTGAAATGAAGATGTTTAAGGGCAGCTTGTATTGTATTGTATTGTGGACATGTATTGTGGCTCAGCTGTTGGTTTCTCGAAAGAATGCCTCTCGAAAAGGCCTCATCACCTTCGACATCTTTTTCATTCATTCACATCTGTCATCAGGTTCTTTGCCAAGCAAGTGAGGGAATGCAAAATGTCACCATGAGTTGTATTGTAAAGGCACTTCAACACATGAAGCTTCTGGGATGAAAGCATGCAAAATGCTAAGTCAAGGCTTAATGCTCACCAAGGCCATAGTACTCTGTGATGTCATAGGCCTGAGGCAGTTATTTCAGTTGGTACAGTTATGGCAGTTATTAACAGCCTGCCTCAGAGTTAGTCCATCTGTAACAGTTTTTATCTTAGATACAAATCTATGTAATATGTATTAGTACCATAAGTAACAGCTGGCTTGTATATTTAATCAAACAAGTGCAAGCACACTGAGCAAAAATTATTTATTTAAACTTACTGTCTTGCATAGTTTTTATAGGAGGGAAAAGGGAACTAATTAAAGAGTCAAATGACCTGGGCTCTGTTCTGCAGAACTCTGTAAAAGGGAATAAGAGTTTAATTCCCACAAGGCCTAGGGCTGTTTGTCTGTAATCAAAATTTTAAACCTATACTGGCCAAAATGCTCAGCTCCCTCACCTGTACAATACCCTCTCCTTTTCTTCTTCCCTATTCACCTTTGTGTCAGCCATTCACACAAATATATACTTAAGACTCAGTGGTGAACATCAGGCATGAATTGTGAAACTTATATTTATTTGGGGGGGCTGAGATGATGGTGGTGATGATTTACTGGATAATTATTATTTTTTTATCTGCCTTCCACCATAAGGTCCCAGGGCAGGTAAAAGTACAATATAAAAATACATTAAAATCAGTTAAAACAATTTCAAATAAGAATAGTGTGTGTGTGTGTGTGTGTGTGTGTGTGTGTGTGTGTGTGTGTGTGAAGGTGCCAGACATGCCTCTGCAGGGAGGGATTCCACACCTTAAGGCAGTGATGGCCAAACTTGGCCCTCCAGCTGTTTTGGGACTACAATTCCCATCATCCCTGTCCACTGGTCCTGTTAGCTAGTGGTGATGAGAGTTGTAGTCCAAAAACAGCTGGAGGGCCAAGTTTGGACATCACTGCCTTAAGGAATGCCCTCTCTCAGGTCACCCCATTCTCGTGTTCTGACTGTGGCAGAACCTCCAAGACCTCAGCACCTAAGACAGTCTAGAGGTGGTCCTTCAGATGTTTGAGACTTAAGACATTTACGGCTTTAAACATTAACATTAACAGAAATGAACAGACAGTCAAGTGCAGCTATTTACAGTAAAATGGGGTCTGTGTGAGTTCTAAATGAAACCTGGATTGATTTGGGAGCAAGATGAAGGCAGAAGCACACATTGGGCTTATCCACTCTTACTGTTTGCTCTGCAGTTTCTAGGCACAGGCCCAAACTTAAAGCTCTGTGTCTGAGTGCTCTTTAGAGCTGAAGCACAACAAATGAGAAATTGGGTTTTCTGTGCATTTCTGTTTGCTCCAATTCAGCAGTAAAGAGTGGGTTTTCACAGGGAAAGCACCAGAGAGAGAAACACACACTCAGACACAGAGCTTTAAATTCCAGAGGAAAGGTAAGTGTAGATAAACCCATTATGGTAGTGTTGTGATTCCCTTTTGGGCTGGCACGGAAGAGGACTTAAATCTTTCCCTAGTGCAAATTTCCCACCAAGAATCCAACCACCAGCTCTATTTACACTAGTTGAGATAAAATAATAATAATAATAATAATAATATAATAATAATAATAATAATAATAATAATAATAATAATAATAATAATTTATTATTTATACCCCATCCATCTGGCTTGGTTTTCCCAGCCACTCTATAAAAACACTTGCAGGAGGAATTTTCAACAATAAAATGAGAGGAAAATTTTCAACAATAAAATGAGAGGAAAAGCCATTAGAGACCTCCTACACCAGTCACTCAATTCAAATTTCAGCCATAACAACTGTTGGTTTTATTTGCTGCCCCCTTTCCTTACTAAACAACCACATTATTCTGTCCCAAGTTGATGAGAAGACACAATCCTTTGACGTTCATAGAGCAATTCCTTAGTTTGATGTGCAAACATTTTTTCGTTTTGCTCCTGTCTAATATGGCTACTCTTTTGGAAGTTCTTATGACATTCATCCTGCTCCCATACAATACTAAACCCATGAGCTCAAATGTAAACAATCAAAATCCATGGCCCTTTGCCCTCCCCAGAGAGCTTTGTACTTTAAAATCTCAAAAAACAGAAAGGGATAGAGAAAGAACAAAAACTATACTTTCCTTTTATCACAGGATTATCAAGGCTTGGCTTGTGGCTTTAGTGCATCTGAGATTGGCATCTTAATGCTAAGCAGGTAAGAATCAAGCTGTGTGGAGCATTCACATATTGGATTCAGCCAAGAGAGCCATATAGTTGTAGGTAAGCTATTGACTTTTAAATATCTCTTAATGTTACATTCATTTAGAAATGTGCTCTTAAGCAATTTCGCTGTAATCCACCAGGCCTTCTAGTTTACATTTATCTGTATAGGTAAAGAGGTTTTGTTTGCATTTAGTAATGATTCAACCATTAGTTTGATTGAGCAATGGCTAGGTTTTAGTTCCTCCTGGCAGTTATTGGGCAATTCATTTGACCATTTCTGAAAGTGTGGCTATCACTCCGGCTTGTGCAAAGGTGATGATTGTGTGTCTTCTCGGAGGTGTACTGGAGGAGCAATCATTTCCTCCAAGGGTGCTGCATGGAACAACAGACAGAGAAAATGCCACAATTAAAAATCCAAGCTGCAGCAGAGTGGGAGATGAAGATTGGCAAGATTTATGAGGCAACCGCATGAGATAGAGAGAGAGAGAGAGTCCAGGCAAGATGGCTTCACTGATCTCACTGATACCACTAATTGAAACACTGCTGCTACCTAATCACTGGAGACTTGGCAGGACCTTACATATCTAAACTGCCTTAAACTGGGATAGGACACTGGTTCTTCCAGCTCAGTATTTTCTAAATGCTCACTGGCAGTGGCTCTTTGGGGTTTCAGAGAGAGGAATTTGCCATGACAGGTGCATGACATCTGCAGCTGATGCAGGGTGAACCAAAAGAATGGCCTCCCCTGATTGGACTTGTGGGTGAGGCCCGCCCTGACTGGAGGGTCCAACATGGCTGGAGGTGGATGGCACCAGGTGGCCATTCCCTTCCCCAGCCATGCAAAACCAGCCATGGTTGCACTGTGTGGCAAACACACCTTCCTCCTGAGCCCCAGGTGAGCAGCTATTCCTACTTGAAGATGCCAGAAATTGAACCAGGAACTGCCTGCATGAAGAACACATGGTCCACCAATAGCTACAGTCACTTCCTGATCATCCAGCCCCTGTGCTGAAGTGTATTGTTGAGACACTTCCTGGCTCAGTGGATTGAGTTGCAGGTGACCTGTATTATATAGGATTCCCAAGGTAATGTTCGCCTATAATATAGAGGACATTTTCAGGATAGAAACATTATGCGGTACTTAACATTTCCCTGGGTGCTATTTTTCTTGGCAAACCCTTCTCTCTATTTCTGAGAGAAAAACAACCCGGGATAAGGTATTTTGCGGAAGAAAAGCAATATATGAGAGAAGAGTTAACTAAACCCCTCCTACTTACTACTTTTCCACTACGAACACCCTCTCCACTTTGCATTGGAAATTCTGTGTTTTGTCACCAAGCATCTAATTCCAGCCTTAATGGATATTTTTGAAAGTCAGTAAGTCACCCCAGGTGTTATATTGAGGAAATGTATGGAACTGTTGAAGGAATAGAGACACAGAGAAGCATATGTACAAAAAAGGTTAATAAAGTAAGACATTTCTTTGCTTATCTTTGTTATATTGTCAAGGCTTTATTTTGTAGGCTTACATGACTGGTATTACAACTATCCCTGTGACAATAGAAGGTGGTAAATTCAATAATGACTATTCTTCCTGAAATTGTTTTGCCCCACACAGGAGATGTAGCATTTAAAGAGGAGCAGATACAAAAGTGTGACTTCTATAGCGGCATTTGGAAAAGCAATTGCAAAGGCAGACAATGTGGAATGGAACAGAATGTGTATTATCTTTTAATAAGTTAGAATGACATATGGACTCACTGAAATTTCTTATACACCTGGAGTTTCATGGACGAAACAGGCTGTTTGGTGAGCTATAGGTTTATATGTGCGCACCAAAGTCTACACTGGCAGTAAAGTTTGCGCTGGTGCACTGTTTCTAAGGTGATTGTCAGGAAGGAGGAAGACCGTCTGTTATCGCACAAAAAGACTAATATTCAAATAATAGGTAAATAATAATAATAATAATAATAATAATAATTTATTTATATCCTCCCCTCCCCAGCCAAAGCTGGGCTCAGAGTGGCTAACAACAATAAAATTAACACAGAATTCTAAAATAAATTCATTCTAAATCTTTTAGGAAGAACCTGCCTTATACAGAACTAGACAATTGGTCCATCTAGCTCAGTATTATCTACTTTGCTCAGAACCACAATACCTCAAGGACTGCCTTTCCCCATATGAACCAACCTGGACACAGTGATCATAATTTGAGACCCTTATTCATGTGTCTCCTCTATGAGAGGTCCAGAGAGTGGCAATATGAGAACGGGCCTTTTTTGCCATGACTCCCCACTTGTGGGATGCTCTCCCCAGGGAGGCTCGCCTAGTACCTTCGTTACATATCTTTAAGCAAAAACATTCCTCTTCTCCCTGGCCTTTGACTAATTAAGCAATCTATGGCTTTTTAAACTTGGGGGGTATTTTTTGCTACTATGGTATTCATTTTATGGTTTTGTATTGTAAACTGTATATAATAATAATACTCTGACTAGCAGTGGTTCTTCACGTTTCAGATTTTCAGATAAGGGGCATTCCAAGCCGTATCTGGAGATGTCAGGGACTGAACCAGAGATATTTTGTCTACAAAGCAGATGATGTACCACTCTTGGAAAGATAATGTTATAGAAGACTCTTCTAACATTTTATATAAAAGCACAGCTCCAATAATGCATCACACTTACACCTCTACCTTACCCTTCTGCCTTTACACTGCCCCCCCCCCCAATATGAAGAACTAAAGCCCTTGGCAGACTAGCACATTGCTTAGCAGATCATAGCTATAACAGGCATGTCCAACTTTCAAGGGACTACGATCTACTCCACTATAAAAAAACTGGCAGTGATCTACCAAAGTTGTTGAGCTTTTCTTTAGGAAGCAAAAGTTTTCTCGGGGGGGGGGTGTCAGCATCCCATGATCAACCCACAGTCAACAATGGGGGGACCCCCCCCCCATGATCGACCAGTAGATCGTGATCAACCTGTTGGATATCCCTGCCCTATAATAGTACTAAGAGGATTTTCCATAGCACAATTCCCTGTGTTTCCTATCAGGCCACTATGCTTAGTTCTTCCCTTTTGGAGCTGATCCACTGATACACAAGGGACTAAGTGGAGCATATTAATTGTGGGCAGCTGTCTGAATTTGTCCCCACTGAGTTCATTGTGACATGCTCCAGGTTAATGTATAAAGGATTGCAGCCTTCGTCAAGAAATGTCTGAAAAACATATTTTCTCCTTCTTGTCTCAATGATCTGGTTGTGACATCACATTACATGACCAAGCCCCAGGCTGATGCAGTCCCACTTTCCCTTCTCCGGCATGTAAGGAGTGGATCAGAATGTATCACTGTCATTTTCAGTTGAGTACAGTTTAATGTTTTGTCTGAAACCTTGTTGGCTTGTTTCAGTACGTTATAGTTAAGAGCAGCAATGTAAGGAGGCATTGTTTTACATTTTGCCCTGTATTCATCACATGCAGCACTGCTTCTGCTCTGCTACAGAACATCTTCCGCCCAACACTACAGTATTCATTTTACTGTCTGCTGTGGTGAGATTATGGGAATTACATAAATTACACTGCCATCACGTTATTCTACCCCATTCATTTTGATGCAAAGGAGACACAATGCAAATGGTGGCGGGAGGGATAATCAGTTATGTAACATTTGCACACCAAAATCAAACCCTGATCAAATTCACTGGATTGATTTTTGTTCTGGATATGGGATGAATAAGAGATCATCAACAATTTCTGTTCCCATTTCTGTTTACATCCATATTCTCCAACATTCCTGGTTAATCTAACCACAGTTTCCTCAGCTTCTCACATAATGATAAGCTGCAGTTAATTAAAAACAAAAGAAAACGTATGTAAAAGCTTCTCATCTCTTCCTTGTGTCCACACTGGAGGATGCAGGTAGGCCTTTGCTCATGCACATCAGGCTAAAATATAAAACTCTGTCCAAACACAACCAATGAATGGTCTGCCAAATTAATTTCTGATTTCCAGCCTTAAACTATTTAACAAAGCAAACAGATGTATTCTTATATAAAATTCTTAATTGTAACCAGATGCTCTCACTATCTGAAGGGATGTGATCATTTGATTCAACATGAAAATGTCACTATTAATCAATAAAGATTCTAAGCAAAGATATGTGTAGTTGGGTGCTTAACTAGATTAGTTTGCAAACCCAAGGCAGATCTTCTCCATCTTCTTTATTAATAGTAAAGGTAAAGGGACCCCTGACTGTTAAGCCCAGTCACGGACGACTCTTGGGTTGCAGCGCTCATCTCGCTTTACTGGCTGAGGGAGCCGGCGTTTGTCCGCAGACAGCTTCTGGGTCATGTGGCCAGCATGACTAAGCCACTTCTGGCGAACCAGAGCAGTGCACGTAAACACCGTTTACCTTCCCGCCGAAGCGATTACCTATTTATATACTTGCACTTCGACATGCTTTTGAACTGCTAGGTTGGCAGGAGCTGGGACCAAGCAAAGGGAGCTCACCCCGCCGCAGGGATTCAAACCGCCGACCTTCTGATCGGCAAGCCCTAGGCTCTGTGGTTTAGACCACAGCGCCACCTGCTTTATTAATACCTGAAGGCTAATCATACTCCAGAGACTGGGTGAAGAAAGCAAAATTTGTACAATATCCAGGGATCTTAAATTTGTCTGCATTTTATGCAATGGCGCATTCTTGGTTTTTTGAAAGCCATTTGCAGAATTAAAGTAATTTCTGTGACACATGTGCAAAGCAGCAAGAACAGACAATGTGTTTCCCTCCAGATGATGGGATTTGGAATCCAACAACATCCCTGACCACTGGGCAGCACCAACAACTTTTGGAGGACAACATGCTGGCTACCTCTGCACTACAGAAAGTATAAGAGAACAAGATATATACTGCAGCATAAACATTCAGTCAAATTAGGCAAAGAACAAGCATCAAGTATTTCTTTAGTGTTTATCACCAAAGTGAGGAACCTTGTAAGTAAGACTTTCACAGCAGGTACAAAAACTAGATGTGCTTGTCCATATAACCTCAGAGCAATTCTTGTGGCATCAAGTGCATCTTCTAAGAAGCAAACAGCTGCTCCTTTGTATGTCATAAAAGGAACTAGTTGAGTAGGTGGTAGATTTCTCCTTGACCTCTACAAAACTATTAAAAATAAAAATAAAAATCAGGAGTTGGGTTACATAAGAGGTCAAGAGTTCATTTCTTCTTATTTTATTATTAGTAATTTATCGTTCAAAGGGCAACGGGCCTCAGCAGAAATTAAAACTTTAGTTGGACACATCTCTGAAGGACCAGATGGAATTACCATTTTAAGTGGAAGCAAATAAGATGAGAGGCAGACATAAGAAGTCCGTTCATTACAATCTCAGTGATTAAGGAAGCGAGACTTTCACCAGAAGAAAGAGCTTTGATGACTGAAGCCCTTATTCATCTACGTCATTGTGTAATTTAAGCTTGCATCAATCTGTTATACAACAGGCACTTATGAAAAGACTTGCTCCAGAGTCCACCGGCTCCCAAGCCATTTTAAAGAGTTACTAAAAGGCTTCACACCAGGAAAAAAAATGTTCCTATATTTTCCAAGACTGAAGGACTGTGCTAGGACATGTATTAATTTTGCACAAGAAAGAAATCATTTAAAATTTACTCTTGCCTTCAGCAATAATTAATGATGAAGTAACTATTAATGGGACCTTCGTGGAGTATATATCCCACCTGTGATTTCTAAATTCTGTATTATGTGTAACGTCTTAAAGGAAACTCATATTCCGAAAGGCAACTGGCAATTTTTGTTGGAAAAGCAGAAACATGGGGATATTTCTGTTTTGAACTATATGATTAGCAAAGATTCTTCATAAGATACTAGGAGAGAAGAGTAGCATGAGCTGCTTTTATGCCCATATGAGTTTTAGATGATCTAATAACCATTCTCTTAATTTCAAGGTACCCCAAATCTGTGACTCTATTTTCTTCTCCATATCCAAACTCATCTCCACCTTTCATAGGGGACTTTATGTTATCCCCAAAGGACCAGAGATGCTGATGGAGATGGGTTTGAATGAAAACTTGAGGGACTCATAAAAGCTCACTTCAAGTGAGAAGAGAAATTACTAGCCCCAGACATCTGCTAGTCTGCTTAAAAGTCTTCCCTGCCAGTCCCTGACTCCCCAAACACTTCCCTTTACTTACCTGTCAAGAAGTAGCAGCAGGGAAAGTGGAGGAAGGATACTTCCCCCCTTCTCTTCCTCCTCCATGTCACCATGATGTGCTAACTTCTCAGTAGTGAGCAATGGGTTCCTGAATCAGTCAGAATGCTATCTCCTAAAATGAGTTATTTGGGGATACTCAGTTCATGAATTAGCCTCGAAGCTCACACCATTCTGAGCTTCAGGCCTTGGCCTGCTCCAGATACATGGTGAGGCCTGGAGGCCTTACAGATCCCTCTGCCATCTTCATTATACCAAAACCTATTTTCCAACAACAGCAACACAGAAAGAATGGAAGCACTTCCCCATGGGCCTTTATTAGTAAAGGTAAAGGGACCCCTGACCATTAGGTCCAGTCATGGACGACTCTGGGGTTGCGGCGCTCATCTCGCTTTATTGGCTGAGGGAGCCGGTGTACAGCTTCCGGGTCATGAGGCCAGAGTCATGGCGAACCAGAGCAGCGCACGGAAACGCCGTTTACCTTCCCACAGGAGCGGTACCTATTTATCTACTTGCACTTTGACACGCTTTCAAACTGCTAGGTTGGCAGGAACAGGGACTGAGCAACAGGAGCTCACCCCGTCGCGGGGATTCAAACCGCCGCCCTTCTGATCGGCAAGTCCTAGGCTCTGTGGTTTAACCCACAGCGCCACCTGTGTCCCATGGGCCTTTATTAAGTGTTTCTAATTTTCTCAACAGGTTTTGTGTAGACACAACCAGCTACCCCCTCACTGTGAGTTGGAAAGGCAAAGTACTGGAGGGGTTAGAAAATGGGAAGTTTTAACATGAACTAATTCCAACTCTTGTTTCATTTCAAAATGTTAATGAAGTTATAGTATCTAATCCTGAACAGCAAGTAAAGACTATCAAGAGTATCTTATCCAAAGCACTTCCTATATTATAAGCACTCACCTGTTCAATACTCCCACGTCCTCCAATCAAGTATCACTGTAGGGAGTAATCAACACAGCTCAAGTTAATTTAGGACATTTTATCCATACAGTATTAATTGCCACTACAAACAGATTAGAGATAGCTACTTGATAAAACTCATAGATCACTTTGTTTCAAGATTAGGGGCATGCATGTGTTCTGCCCAGGGAATAGAAATTACCCTTTCTTTGCCCTTATACATAGCACACAAATTACTCTTCATGAAAAAGATACACTCTGCTCTATTTTACATTGATTTATGGCTCTCTCTGCTTGGATTTCATTTTAAAAATGACTTATCTCTAGAATTATTTTTGGACAAGAGAAATCCTTGTTGGAAACCTGGAGCTTTTGATGCATGGGTTAGCATCCAAATGAATGACCCCATTTAATGAAAACTTACCGAGAAATGCTGTGGAAGGGTTCTTCTACAACTTGTCTTATCTAAAAAGTTTGTGAAAAGATAGGTAGTAAGAATTAGTAAGAACCGCAGGAACAAAATGCAAACTCTCCTGGCACTCAGCTGAGAACAGGAAGTTCTGGGTTCCAGCTCTTTAGCCGAGGGTAGTCCTCCCTAAGCTGCTGCTCTCCAAACGTTCTTGAACTGCAACTCTAATCTGCCCCAATGGTCAAGGATGATGGGAGTTGTAGTCCAACAACAACATGGCACCGGGTCAGAGAAGGCTGGTCTTGGGACTCAAAGTGAAGGTGTATAAGGGAGGGATTGAAAAGGATGAAGAAAGAAACAGCAGTGTGATCACAGTTACTGGAAAGGACAGCAGCTCAGTGCAATACATGCTTTGTTTACAGGGAGACCCAGGTTCAATCCCTGTCAATGCAAATTAAAAAGATTTCAGGTAGCAGGAGCTGGTACTAGTCAGAGTAGACGATAGTGGTCTAGATCAGAAATGGAGAACATGTGGCCCTCCAGATGTTGTTGTGCTGCAACTCTCATAATTTCTGACGATGTTAGCTGAAACTGGAAGGAGCTGGAGTCCAAGAGCATCTGAAGGACTACAGGTCCCCCACATCTGAGCTAGATGGAGAAATGGTCTGTCTGGCTTAGCACAAGTAAGGTTCATGGGCCCAGACAGATAGTTTCTCTTGGTGGGCCAGACAGTGAGGCAGGCATACATTCCTAACTTAAAGTTCTCTCTCTCTCTCTCTCTCTCTCTCTCTCTCTCTCTCTCTCACACACACACACACACCCACACCCACACACCCACACACACACACACAAAGACAAGAGTGGAGTGGGCTTCCTTACGTGAATGGATTTTTAAAAAATAGATTCATCCCATTCTGTCAGAGAAGCCACATACTGTATACTGGTCCCAGAACTAACAGGATATTTCATCTGTAAAATGCAGAGCTAAAAAGGATGAAAGAAAGATCTAACAGGATATTTCATGTGTGTTAGTGGTTAATTTTAGCTGCTGCTTTTAGTGTACCTGGGCTGTTTTTTAATTGGTGGGTTTTGTTTGCTTTAGTAGACACAGGTTGTATATGTGTAAATAATACCATATATCTTAAAGGCATCACAGACTCTGCAGTGCCTCATTGTCCAAAAGGGAACACAGACCCTGGTAAGTGCTCCTGCTATACCTGAAATTCCACACTGCTCAGAGATTGGGGTGGCATGTAAAAATACGTTTTAAATGCCACTCCCCTGAGGGAGAGGTTCCTGTCTGTGTCCAAACCAAGGTAGGGATTTATTTTTCCTTCAAGTAGGAGGTCACAGCCAGGAGAGGGGGGACATCAATTGGGATCATTCAAGTATTCATTTTGAATGCTTCAAACATTCCTCAGGGTTTTTCAGATGTACAGCAGGATTAGTTAAAGGGCACCACTGATTTTTCAGGATGACCACCAAACGATTCAGCCATCTCTAAAAACAGTAGAGGTGATTCTCTCCAGACTACTGTTTAGGAATCACTACCCCATACAGATGTGCCAACACCTGTGTTTTGCTCATGAGGCCTCTCGTTACAGCAGCACTTCCTCTTTTTCACAGCATCAGCATCTCTTAACAGCCCTTAGGTTACCATTGTAATTCCATAATACAGGCAATCACTGCTGAGAGCATCATACTAAATACAAAAAGGGAGAATAATTGATAGTATTTATTTGTTTGTAATAGCCATCTCCAACACAGTGGTATACTGATTAGAATGAGTTATGAGCTGCTCCTAAGTTGTCTGATTATTATTATTTTTTCCTTTGAATTCCTCTCTGCGTACAAGTGCCTTGCGGCATCCTATCAGCAGGATCTAAAGCATGGCAGAGCTTCACTCCTTGCTTTCTGTAGCACTGCACACAGTCAGGTCTGCGGGGAATCTGTCGAGATAGATGTGATGAGTTTTTCTCAACAACAAAACAGAATTTAGCATTTTAAGGTGGCTTAGGCAGAGGAAGGAGAGAGCAACAGAGAAGCTGTGTGATGTAATGTTTAAAGAACTAGGGAGGGCGGGGTTCCAAAGGCATCAAGCTCATTGGGTCACCTTGGGCCAATCACTTTCTCTCATCCTAGCAAGATTATTGTGAGGATAAAAAGGTAAATTCCTGCCATCCTGAGATCCTTGTAGGAAGGCTGAGATAAAACTGTAATGAACAGAAATGTACCCATCTTCTCTTCCCGGAGATGCCCAGTAACAAAATTAATATTGTCATAATCTAAATGGCAGGGGCCTAGCTCTGCTAACTTCCATATTTTCAAAATAATCAAGTAGTCTACAGACTAGGAACTAATAACCCCATTCTTTGTCTTGGACATTAGTTAGTAACTAGCACATGGCTATGTATCTTATGTATCATGAAAGCTATATTCACTTCAACAGTTTGGGTCTGTGCAGAATTTTGTATGTCTAACACCATTAATCAGTGTGTTTAGGTGTGCCTAAATGAATAGCACCAAACGGTGAATGGCTTTCCTCCCTCTCCTCTTTCAAGTTCCAGCATCTCAGTGGTCCATACATTTGTGGTGCGATGAGAGAGAAGACATATTTTTCTCTTCTTCCACACTGTGAGCAAAAAGTATCACATTGCTGGTGCTGCATGATATAAGAGTCACTCCTGATTTGCACAAACTTTTCCCCTTTGGGGATAAGGGAGGGTTTGCATATGTCACCCACACTTTAAAAACAAACTGCAAACCAAATGAAACCTAATGTTTATTTCCCAGTTTGTGACTAGGCAATCCATAGAGTGTTATGAAAGTTATCCTAGATGGAAGAAAATGCATTAATTCTGTGATTCTGAGAACTCACCACCACCCCTCTCCTTGGAGAAAAGCTGAATCTAGTCCACTAAGGAAACATACCGGCATACTGTAGAGACCAGCAAGGTCTAAATGGACCTTGGGTTTATTAGATCCGCAGTAAAAACCAATATAGCTTTGTGTTTCTATGATATAATGCTTAATAATTATTTTCTATTAAACAACACAAAATTAAAAATAATGCAAACAGAAGCTGTTGTTGTTGTTGTTTTAAAAAAGTAAGCACATCCTATAAACTAAAAAACTAATTTTCCAATCATGGATCCTAATGATTGCATCATCCCGCCCAACCCCACAAGTATTATCAGGCTTGGAGAAAACTCCAAGGTTAGCAGAAATACTCTCAGTCAAAAAATCCTTGGGGAGAGGGGACTTCCAAAGCAGCCCAATGAGGACTGTGTATGCTCAGTGGTCATGGAATGCAGCTAAGTACCTTATGAAACATAGGACACTGTCTCAGGCAGCATCAGACCATTGGTCCCACTAGCTCAGTAGGGTTTACAGAGGCTCTCCAAGGTTTCTGGCAGAGGATGGTTCAAGCCCTGGAGAGGCTGGGATTTGAATCTGAGAGCTTCTTCATGCAAAGCAGATGCACTACCATTCTGCTACATCCTTTTCCTCAAGAGCCCTGTCTTCTCTCACATCTGGTTGCCTTAGTTATAACTGTGTAGGAGGAATAAACGCTATACATTTTGGAGGAACTCACAATGAGAGCTAAAGTGTTCCCTGATATTACTTTCACCAGTAATTCATTGTAAAAAAAATATGTGGATGGAACTACCAGAAAAGAGATCCAAATATTTCCTAAAACAAGCTCTTTCTTAGAGGGGCTTTGAAGAAATGCTTCACTGTCACGTTCTATAAGTATATATATTGCTGTGCACACTGTCAACAATTGATAAGCACTAACAATATAAATAATCATGTCTACCTGAGTGTGAAAGTCACACATTTGAATATATGTTTGCATATGGATAGGGGATTTCTGGCTTTAACTCAATAGAGGGCAGAACAAAGTTTCAGAACTCATGGAGAGATTTGCAAATCTTTGAAACAGCTGCTTTGGAAAAGAATTCACCAGGAATTTTCCATTCATGTCAAGTGGTTAGAAAGGGAGCACACACTTTGCGTAGTCACAATTTGCCAGTTTGTGTCACAAGACTCTGGAGTGTGCTGCTGTAGTTTCTGCTCATCTTGGTGCTAACAAGGAAGGCAAAACAAGAGGAAGGGAAACCAAATCAGCAGGAGTTTCATGTAGAATCAGTGGTGGCACCAGAAAAAGAAAAAAAAATGAGGTGGGGCTTAGAAGAGACAAAGTATATTTTTAGGTGGGTGAGCTGTGTCGCACACATTAAGATCTCTGAAAGAAAATAGCACTATATGTTAATGACAGAAGCCAGCAAATAGGGGCAAGCCCCTTGTTTGGGGGGCACTTGCCCCCTTTGCTTCCCCCTAGTGCTACTCATGTGTATCACCCCATTCTCCAGAGCCTGTCCAGGAGGATATGATGATCAACGACATCAAAAGCCAATTAGAGTTCAAGAAGTAGGAACAAGGTCACACAAGCCCCGTCTACTCTCTGCAAAGGTCATGGATCAGGGCAATGAACTCATTGAGATTAATTTTCATCTCAGCCCATGGAAAGTGTTGCAATTAATATATGTCCTATGGGCTTTCCAGACAAAATCTGATCCAGAAAACCAGCCTCACATGAAGATTAAATTTAGGGACTGAACCTGGAACCTTCTGCATGTAAAGCAGAGGTTCTAACTGTTGAGTCACAGCTCTTAGTCCCCTTAGGTATGGATTGGATCCTAGAATCAGCACATAGCCACCAGTCATTGAGTTTTAATTCTAGTTTAGGATTCCTGTTAGCAGTTTCTTCCATTGGGAAAATCCTGTGTGACTATGAATTATGAATTTGCAAATGTGATTTTTCTCGAATGAGAGGGAAGGACATTAGCAGAGTTTCCAGTCTGATTCAGTTTGTGGCTCCAAGGAAATAGCTGGGTGATCAGCATAGGTGGCACATTATACATAGGAAAGAAGCAATGCTTCATATTTCATCAACTCCCCCCCCCCTTATACCTTCAAATGTTGTTTCCTGCATATTTATTTTTGTGCTGAATACCTGAAATGCCAAAACAGAGGAAGCAGCATGCTGCTGTACAAACAAGCTCTAGTTAGAGCTACTGAAAATAATGTAAATGGGCATATTCCAGAGAAAGTTAGGTATGGTTCCTGCTACTGTTACAATTCTGGTGGCTTCAAGGGCAAGGATGAGAAATATTTTTCCAAATATTCTAGCCACAACCAGAGGGATAGTGTTAGTTCCATTCATGCTGGAAGACATAATTCTCCCCTCACCATGATTTGGTGAGGATGCCCTTTTGCAAACCAGTGATTAATAGAAGTAAAAAAAGAATAAAGCAGCTATATGGTATGCATTGAGTGTAATGTGTACTTGGGTAGCTAGACTTCCATACTGCTGCTAGTTATCAGATACTTTCATTTTCTTTAGCATTTAGCAATCTCAGTGTCAAAACACAGCATTCATTGATTCATTCATTTTACTTGTATGCCACTTTTCCACACACAAATTCATGCTCAAAGTGGCTTACTGCAAAGAAACAAGGATGCATTTCAGAGAAACACCACAAAACCAATTTCATAATAACATAGCAAAATAATAACATAGTAACAATTTCATAACATAGCAAAGCAATACCATAGTAACAATTGCATAATAATGTAGCAAAGTGCTAACATAGTAACGATTTCATAACAACACAGTAACAATTTCATAATGTAGCAAAGCAATAGCATGGCAACAATTTCATAACATATTACCAACAATCAAGGAGTGGCAGATGAAGATGATGGAGTATGCGGAGTTGGCCAAGCTGGCCGGTAGAATCTGGAACCAAGGTGACCAAAAATTTCAAAGAGACTGGAATAAATTTATTTGTTATATGAATAATTATTGCAAAAATGTGAAGAAGAAATCCTGCAATGATAAACTGAGGAACTTTTCATGATCAGAGAAAAGGAGATAATGTCAAATTTATTAAGATCAGAAAACTATAATTTAAAGTGCGAGTGTGTTTATTTGATAATAGAAAACCAGATGAGGGGTGCTGGGAAGTCTTACGCTTGGCAGAGCAAAGAGTATGTTGTTGGTTTGTTAATGTAATGTTTGAAATGTTTTATAAAAAAGAAAATATAATATATAGGTATACACACACACACACACACAAACACACAATTTCATAACATTTGTGTTGTTTAGTCGTTTAGCCGTGTCCGACTCTTGGACCAGAGCACGCCAGGCACTCCTGTCTTCCACTGCCTCCTGCAGTTTGGTCAAACTCATGTTGGTAGCTTCGAGAACACTGTCCAACCATCTCGTCCTCTGTCATCCCCTTCTCCTTGTGCCCTCCATCTTTCCCAACATCAGGGTCTTTTCCAGGGAGTCTTCTCTTCTCATGAGGTGGCCAAAGTATTGGAGCCTCAGCTTCAGGATCTGTCCTTCCAGTGAGCACTCAGGGCTGATTTCCTTCAGAATGGATAGGTTTGATCTTCTTGCAGTTCATGGGACTCTCAAGAGTCTCCTCCAGAACCATAATTAAAAAGCATCAATTCTTCGGCAATCAGCCTTCTTTATGGTCCATAGCAAAACACAAATATAATAACATACAAAAAGTACATTTTGATTCTATAAATTTTAACAAGATTATATTGCAACATGCAGCATCCAATAGCAAAAATAACATGGGGGCGTCTGCTTAGTCCTAGAAATACTCCTACTGAGATGTTACTCATAGTCCCTGTCTTGCATCAGAAACATCCCTTCCAATATGTTACTCAGAATGGTCAGCCTGTTGCTGCAGAGCCTCCCTCTCAGCATTAGTATTGCCATAGCTTATTTGCATGGAGCTGGGTAGGAGGGCAGGAGGGCAATGAGGTTGTGGTTGCATGGATGCCCCAGCACTGGATTGGCAATGCTGGTGTTAGGAAGGTGGTTCTGCCCCAGCATGGCAGCCGTTATGGTCAAAACTTATGAAATGCATTACACCTATTTGCCAAGAATGCAAATAATGTTTACGATATGATTCAATAAATGTCTACCTCTCCTAAAGGGCTCAAGCCTGGTAGCAATAGAATATGGAAAAAAATTATATTAATCTAACAGCTAAACATGCAAAGGCCCAAACCAAGCAGCTTAACCCTGGCTCTTTAAAACCCATCAAGATGCAAGGTTCTTGGAACATATCAAAACAAGTTATTTAGATAAAGGTAAAGGGACCCCTGACCATTAGGTCCAGTCGTGACCGACTCTGGGGTTGCAGCGCTCATCTTGCTTTATTGGCCGAGGGAACCGGCGTACAGCTTCCGGGTCATGTGGCCAGCATGACTAAGCCGCTTTTGGCCAACCAGAGCAGCGCACGGAAATGCCGTTTACCTTCCCGCCGGAGCAGTACCTATTTATCTACTTGCACTTTGACGTGTTTTTGAACTGCTAGGTTGGCAGGAGCAGGGACCGAGCAACGGGAGATCACCCCGTCGCGGGGATTCGAACCGCCAACCTTCTGATTAGCAAGTCCTAGGCTCTGTGGTTTAACCCACAGCGCCACCCACGTCCTAAGTTATTTAGAACATAGCTTAAAACTCCATTGCAGGAAAACTGGGAATTCAGAAGTGGGTGCATTCCAATAAGCTGCATAATCTTTGCTCATTACCATGTTGCCAATTTAATGGTAAACATAATGTATGAAAATGCAAACTGCAGTGGGCAAAACAACAAAGTAGCCATTGATGTGATGCCTGGAAGCCTGCCGTCTGCACATCCTTTAAACAGATCCGACTGATGTTGTTTTAATGCATCTCTTGGCACAAGAACTCCTCCTATTCAGATAGAAGCCTTTAAGCAAGAAGAAATACTTCTTGTTTCTTTTGCACCCACCTCTAAACAATTTCACAGGAAGGAAGGAGGAATACAACATGGCCATGTTTCAGCTCACCTTTGAGTGGTCTGTTAATTCACTGTATCCTAGAAATTCTTTTAAATGGTAAACCGCAGCACATGAAAAGTACTAACCTGATTAAACATTTCCTTGACAGTTATTTCCACTGGATCCAGGGAAATGTATGAAAAAAAAGTGTGCCTCTTGCTATTAATTAACTTTGTAACAGCTGTACCAAGTGTATATAGCTAATCTACAATAATGTAATGAAACAGCACTGTCATCTTCTTGATGCTAAACACAAATATTTAACTGCCTTCCGCTTCTTACCCCTACATTGTAGGCTAGCATAATGAGAGGCCTCTGACAGTCAAAGCAGTCTTCAAGAAACCCTTTTCAAATGGGTGGAGGTGACCAATTTTGAGCTGTGTGTGCAGCTATTTCAGAACATGTGCTTATTCCCTGAAGCACTGTGATGTTTGAAGATAAGAACCTAGGACAGAAATCCCTGCTGTGAATGGATGTGGGAAAGTGGAGGTAATCAATCATATACTGTTGTTTGCTGGGTTTTGAGTGTGCATCCTGTTAATCTAATCTGCATTTCTTGTATTTGTGTTCTTTGTGTTGAAATTGTTTTATAGGTTGCATTGTATTTGTTCATTTCATTTATTTTGCAAAGTGCGCAAAGGAACTTGGTTGATGGGCAGTCTAGAAATGTAAGTCATCATCAAAATCATCCTCCCAGCCTGCAATTGATGCCTATAGCAGCTAGTGCCAGAGGCATGAAAAATAAGTTTTGCAATGTTAGTTTGGACTAATGTTCAAGGGGATGCCCATCTGATGTACAACCAGAACTTAAGTGCCCTCTTGCCAAATATAACAAACTTAAGTTTTGTATAGTTTACTGCGGGCTGTTCTTCTTTACACAGCTGCCCAAATCTGGTTAGCTTTCTTTTCAGGTCAATTTTATTAAAGGAGAGCAAAGCCTGGTGATTGGCATTAAGCAATATGGACAACTCATGATTTCCAATGGAAGGGGGAAAGAAGGGGAAGCCTTAAAGGTAAAGGTAAAGGGACCCCTGACCATTAGGACCAGTCATGGCCGACTCTGGGGTTGCGGCGCTCATCTCGCTTTATTGGCCGAGGGAGCCGGCGTACAGCTTCCGGGTCATGTGGCCAGCATGAGTAAGCCACTTCTGGCAAACCAGAGCAGCACACAGAAACGCCGTTTACCTTCCCGCCGGAGCAGTACCTATTTATCTACTTGCACTTTGACGTGCTTTCGAACTGCTAGGTGGGCAGGAGCAGGGACTGAGCAACGGAAGCTCACCCCGTCATGGGGATTCGAACCGCCAACCTTCTGATCGGCAAGTCCTAGGCTCTGTGGTTTAACCCACAGTGCCACCCACATCCCCTGGTAAGGGGAAGCCTTACCAGGAATTAAATCATTAATATATAAACTAAATAGAAAAGGCACCCAACTATAGCCTTGTTTCACTCCTCACTTGATAGGAATGCATCTTGCAGGCCTAATCTCACTTGCAAGGAATTCTCTTGGCAGAGTACTGAATGAACCAAAGTATTTATCGAGTAGTAGGTCCTGCTTCTTCCATGCATGTCACTCCCATGAAAGCAAACATATTTCAGCTTGGGTGGGTTCCATAGCAGGGAAAATACAAAACCAAATTCTCCATTTGGAGCATTTTCTTCACAACAGGACATTGCAGCAATCCTACAGATTTTTGTTTTACAAAATAAATCCACATAAAATTTAAGACGTTTTGGCAATGTCACTGGGAATGGAAGGTGCTGTTTCCCAACCCAGTGCTCATTGTTTCTCCAGGGAAGCTGAAATGGTGACCTTGGTACTCGCGTTATTTCATGAAATCCATCAGGCTGCCAAATGCAGTTAGTGAACAACCCTATCATCTCATAAGTCTTGTATGACTTGTACAAAGTTTTGAGCCCCTATTCTCCATATTTGGGGAAAGCAATTATAGGACTGTCACGAGGATGTGAAGTGGTGCATGGAAAGAGAGAGGCTTCAAGGAGTTGGGTATTGCAGGCACGTCCTGGCTGGGATGTTTGAGTGTGCAGGTTTGATAATCCTGCTGTTCGTTTCAAGCTGAGTTTGCTTTTTGCTTATTTGTTATTAGCTGAGACTGCTATTTTTTTTTCCCCTGGCTATGGCTATCTGACCAGGAAAAGTGTGCAGAAGAAATTGATAGATTTGTAAGCAAGTGCAGTGGAAATCATAATAATCACTTGCAGATTGATGCAAGTTCTTCAAAAAGCGCTACTTCAAAAAGCAGTGATGAATGTCCAGGAAGAAAATGAAAGGTTTGCTGCAAGAAAATGTCTATTCAAGGGAGTTAAGGGAACAATTTTTTAAAAATGGGAACTTTCCTGCCTCAGTTCCCAAATGCTCAGAGACATAATGAAGCTTACCATATTTCTTAAGAGGCAACACTTCTTCATGTATTCATCAAACAACAATGTAGATGAGTGACTTGCAAACACTCGTATTATGGAAATGATGCGTTCAGCATTGAACCGTACCTCATATGTTTGACAAAACATAAAATGAAATGTATTTCCTATCTGAAGAATTAAGAAAACTGTGTTTCATGGAAATATTTTTTCTTCCAAATTCATTGCTCACAAGCATAATATTTCCAAAGGATATATAAATTCAGTGCAGGCGCACTGAACGCAATCCACTGACGATTAGTTGTGCTTCAAAAAAATCAAGTATTCATTTCAGCCTCATTGATTGTGCCCGGTCCGTTCATTTTTTAAAAAAAATAATCATCCAGTGACAGATAATAGTAATGCTAAACTAGAATTACTGTGTTTCACAAACATTTCTCCACCAGAACATCTAAAAGCATTCACTTCCAACAGTTTGTGAGTGGTTGCTTTGAAGCTGTATGTTCAGGAAGTATTGCTCTCAATCTGGATGGATTTCATTCACACTCAGTTGAAATAAATTTAAGAAATTTAAAAATGTCCAGTAGCACCTTAGAGACCCACTAAGTTTGTTCTGGGTATAAACTTTCATGTGCATGCACACTTCTTCAGATACACTGAAACAGAAGTCACCAGACCCTTAAATGTAGTGGGAGGGTGGGGTGGGGGTTTTCTCAGAAGGTTTAGTAGAAGATGGGTGATTGACTCAATGGGTATGGTAAACCTGTTGATGGACTGTCTAAAGCTATTTTTGGTCATCTGCATACTATCCCTTGCTTTTTCCTGTAGGACTAATTGCAGTCATTAACAGCTGTCAACAGGTTTACCATACCCATTGAGCCAATCACCCATCTCCTACTACCCCTCTGAGCAAAACCCCACCCCACCCTCCCACTATATATAAAGGTCTGGTGACTTCTGTTTCAGTGTATCTGAAGAAGTGTGCATGCACATGAAAGCTTATACCCAGAACAAACTTAGTTGTTCTCTAAGGTGCTACTGGACAATTTCTTAATTTTATTTATTTATTTTGACTGTGTCAGACCAACACGGCTACCTACCTGAATCTATTCACACTCGGTGATATTGTGAGTAGACTTGAGCCAAACCACCATTGAGTTGGTACTCTGAGGTGAATTGGGGGAATATGGAGCACAAAATTATCCCCCTGCCTCACACCCTAAACTTGTCATTAATTTTCTTCTTTTGTGGCTGTTTAAAAACTTCATAGTCACAGAAAGAGCAAGCCTGGAGGCACTGCTCCACATCTCCACAGGGAGATACCACTGCAGCTTCAGAAATAAATTTGTCTCCTCCCAGTCAGCTAGCACATGCATTTTGATTGTGATTTGTTGCATAGAATATAGCTGTACAACTACCACAAGCTCCTAGTGGATGGGCATGCCAATGTGGAATGGGGGGTGGGGAGAGTGCTGGGCTTGAATGAAGCAGACTAGGATTCAAATGGTTGACCTGTATCTCTAGGCTATTGTTGTGCTGGCATAACATGGTAGTTTCTACATGTGCCATCCAATCTCCTTCAAAGAAAGTGCATGGTGCAAATCTGATACCCAATGGATAATTGTCTTTAGTGGTGTGCAACACTATCCCTCACATATCCACTGCTGGAACTAATACATACATGCATGTGACACAATGTGAAATCAACTGCAGTTACATTCCCAAGAAGACTGGCAAAGTAGGTGCTACTTGTCAAGGGTGTTCTTGTGCCAAGTGAGAACAAGTGACTAAAAATACGCAACGTACTTTGTTAATGTTGCTATCACCCTGTTCTTGCTAGAGCTTCATTGAAAGTGAAACTGATAAGTACATTTTCTAATCATAGGGTGTAAATGAGCATCCAGCTGAGAAGTTCCCATTTCTTGAGATGTGCTACATCTGTGGGAGCTGACTCAATTGCCAGAGACTTCCGTTTGCTAGGGATCCTAGAAGTTCGTCCTGAGCTGAAGCTGAGTGCTGCTCATTCAGCCTCATCTATAAATTGTGATTCCCAGCACTGAAATAATCGTGCGAGAGCCCAACATTATGTTTAAGTAAATTAAACTTCAGCTATGTCAGATATGTTTGAATTAAACTAATACCCATTGTCAAAAGTTTCCTTTTGCAGAGCTAATGTAAACTTGCTAAGAAGTTAGGAAGGCTCTCAAGCACAACACATCATGCAGATAGGACGGATTCACTGCCATGGTGAGCATTTCAAAAGCAGAGATTTAACACTTTGGGACACACACTGGACTGGACTGGATGATGTTCCCCCCATACCAATGTGTACATGTGAGTGTGCTGGATGGGAGGAGAGGGTCATTGTGCTCATGAAAGTATCACCCAATACAGTATGTTGGCTTGAGAAACCTACAGCAGGAGTGGGATGCCCTTTTCAGCCTGAGAACTGCATTGCCTCTTGGGAAATCTTCCATGAGCCACATGGAAGTGCTGGACAGGGCCAGAGGCAAAAGTGGATGGAGTAACCCTTGTATAATAGGCTGCATTGCAACGGATGATAAAGGTGCCTAGACACATCTCTCTCCATCCAGGGAAGCAAGAGGTGCTATCGCAAGGAAAGGCAAAGGCACCTGAAGAGGCTGCAGAGCATGGACCAGTGAGGGGTGGGGTCTCAGAAGAAGGGGTCCAGTCTGGAGATGCAGCACTGCCTGGGAAAAGTCCTGAAGGCCAGAACTGAGGATCCTACCCCTGACCTAGATCAAAGAAGAAACCGAAACAGATGCAACATTTTAGCAATGGCTTTTTAGCTAAGGGTGGGACTTTTTATCATTTAAATACAGTCATGCAGAATATTAAAATTGGGGTGTGGAGGTGGTACACTTTTCAGCACAAATGCTTCCATCTTACATCAACATTATGCTGCACTTAAGAGGCTACAGGTGAATTGGTTTGGCATGGTAATAATCATAAACATGATTTTATTATTTATATGCCACCCATATGACTGGGTTGCCCCAGCCACTCTGGGCTGCTTCCAGCAAAATATAAAAACACAATAAAACATCAAACATTAAAAACTTCCCTGAATAAAGCTGCCTTCAGATGTCTTCTAAAAGTTATATAGTTGTTTATCTGTTTGGCATCTGATGAGAGGGTGTTCCACAGAGTGGGCGCCGTTACCAAGAAGACCCTCTGCCTGATTCCCTGTAACTTCACTTCTCACAGTGCAGGAACCACCAGAAGGCCCTCTGGGCTAGACCTCAGTGTCTGGGCTGAATGATGGAGGTGGAAACACAGAGGTTGCTATGGACCAAGGCCTAGCAGTCACCATCTACAGCTGCTGCATTATTTTGTTCAAACTGGCCCAAGAATATACAAGGACATCGAAAGGTAAAGGGGCCCTTGACTGTTAAGTCCAGTCGTGAACGACTCTGGGGTTGTGGCGCTCATCTCGCTTTACTGGCCGAGGGAGCTGGCGTTTGTCCACAGACAGTTTTTCTGGTCATGTGGCCAGCATGACTAAGCTGCTTCTGGTGAACCACAGCAGTGCACGGAAACACCGTTTACCTTCCCGCTGGAGTGGTACCTATTTATCTACTTGCACTTTGACATGCTTTTGAACTGCTAGGTTGGCAAGAGTTGGGACCGAACAATGGGAGCTCACCCCATCGCGGGGATTCGAACCGCCAACCTTCTGATCGGCAAGCCCTAGGCTCTATGGTTTAGACCACAGTGCCACCATGCATATGGTGCTGTCTCAAACTGTCCTGTATGGACTTCAGCAGGTTGCTTGCCATGTTCCTTTCAGAAACAATAAGGCCAAATGATACAGTGTTGCATGGCACTCACTGGTTTATACTTCTTTGCTAAAATATGACCGTTCTCTGGTGCCGAAAAGGCTTTCTGCTGCCAAGTCTATCATCAAATTAAGATGTAAGGATATTGCTGCTTTATTCAACTGGATGAGCCAGGCCTGGCCCTATCCTTAGTCACTATGAATTGAGATGCCTCAGGCTAAAAGCTTTGGGCACCAGTGCTTGCTAAAGAATAAACTGCCAGTAGTAGTTGTTGTTGCTGGGAGAGAAGTGGGAATTAGGATTTTAAACCTCAGTCCTGAAATGCCTTGTGATGTGGCATCTATTCCAGGGGTAGTCAACCTTTTTATACCTACCGCCCACTAATGCATCTTTCTTGATGGTAAAATTCCCTTACTGCCCACCAGTGCTTGATGGAAGGAGGATTCAGCTTGTGTCGTAGAACCCCCTACCGCCCACCTAGAATCCTGAAATGCCCACTAGTGGGCCGTAGGGACAAGGTTGACAACTCCTGATCTATTCAATCTGCAACCATGTCTTCACAGCATGTACAGAAAGAACTTTTGTGGTATGCAGAGCTACTCATGAAACATGACTTAGCATCTGTAGTGGGAAGTGGTTTTGGTTTCTTTGGCTCTTTTACCCTGATGAGCTTCTGTTTTGTTTTTTTCCTGTGTGAGATAAGTTGCTTATTTGTTATCTGTGAATTTGAGCCAACTGAGTGTCTTGTTATCCTATGGGCAGGAGCTCAAACGTTCGTTGCAGGGCAAAATGAGAAAGGCTGCAATCAGATACATACTTAAGGAGGAATGTGCAGGCAGGCATAGGATTGGAATGAAATTCTTGTTTCAAAAGAGAAAGCCTTCACTGTCCTGTTCCTGGCATAATTGTGCTCCTGCTGCATGAAAACGATACCATTAATTACAAAATAGGTGGCAAATTCTGCCGGCCAAATAAAACCTCTCTCTCCCTCTCCCTCTATCCTCTACTCCTGCAGTGTTTTGCATAATTGTTATTCCTTTGACAAATTACTATAAACACATTTACAAAGATTTGCTGTTGTTTGTTTGTCTTTATGGCCAGTTAAAAGAAAACCTACTCTCAATGCTTACGTGATTTCTGACCATCAACTGTGCACATACAGTGACTCACATATTTGATGGCGCTCCAGACCTCAGGAGTCTCCCCAGGTCAGCTCTCACCACCCTGGCCTGCCCCATCTGTTAGTGGTTTTTCCTGGCGAGGATGCTTCCAATGCCTCTTGTTTGCCCAGATGGCGGATGGAGTGTGTGTGTGCGCACACACACACACACAAGCTGAGTCACATCAGTAGTCCTGCTCATCTGCCTCTCCCATCATTGGCATACAGTCCCTCAAATGTCACCCAAAAGGGAATACAGCCCTCTTAAGAAAGATTCCCCAGCCCAGGGCTGTATGCTCTCTGTATGAGGAGTTGCTTCTGATCTGTTACATTTTTAAAAAAAATAATAATCCTATTTCTGGCGTGACAAATTGACCTGGCTGCTCAGCCATGCTCATGCTTGAGCTATTTTGATATGAGATCATACCTCAGCCATTGGACTCTTTTATCAGGCCCTGTCCAAGTGAACTGATCTCTGATCAGTCATTTGACTGATTAATTCATTGTTAGCATTGTCCAATCAGCTGTTCCACCTTCTGTGCTTGTCACTTTTGGATAAGCTGTTTGTGCAATTAGTAGTCCTTTTTACAGCCGTTTTACCAGGCTAACTGCTCAGCCATCACCCTTGATTGGCTCCTGTCAGAATATAATTGATTGCCCTTTCCCATTCTTTATTCTTACAGTACACTCTCTCTCGCCACCCTGCCCCCTCTCTCTTGCAGTCTAGCTCTGCTGCATTCTAATCAGGACCTTTGGCTGCTTTATTCTCAGGTCTAAAAAATTAAGCTTCTTTCTTTGGTTCTTTTGCTCTTTCTTTGCTCTCTTTTTTTGTATGTGAGGTAAGTTGCTTATCTATTAAAAACAATGTACAATTCATAAAGGATATATTTTCATACAGTAAAGAAAAGGTCAGAAAACAACACCAAATTCAGTGGCTGGCAATCACATTTTAAATCTGAAACTCAAGAGTGTTAAAAGCTCTTTGTAAATAAAAAACTTTTAACTTGACAGCAAAACAAATAAATAGGGAAGCTCAGTATATTTAGCAAGGTAGCCTGTCTTGTCTGTCTAACCTGTTAACCTTTTCATGCAGTCATATTATTCTTTATTGATACCAAAACACACCTTTTGTCATCAATGTTGTTATTCTCTCTCTCTCTCTCTCTCTCTCTCTCTCTCTCTCTCACACACACACACACACACAAACACACACAAACACACACACATTATCATCATCATCTTCAGAATCTGTGCACTGTACTACATATACATTCACCAGGTGGCTTATGATAATTCTACTAAATAATTCTATATTAATAAACCATCAGCCTCTAAAACTGCACCTAAGTTCAAAGAAAAGTCCTTGAGCAGATGTTCCACGTACACAGAACTGGGCCCAGAGAAGTGCGAGAAGAGTTCTATTTGTACAAGAGCATTTTCCCAGTCCTTACTCCCCACAGAAGCCTTCTTGCCTACCCCTCCCCACATTTTATCAGGAAGGTCAGGGGAGAAAGAAAAGCACTGGACGTGGGATTCACTGGTGAACTGGTAGAATTTGAGAGTCTCCATTTTCTTTGAAGATGTGGGGATTCCCTTCCAGATCCAGAGTGTGTGGCTGGGCCTTGGCTTCTCTTCCTGAGCAGGCTGGTTGGAGAAGGGCACTTGGGTTGACAAGCAAGATCTGACCTTCTGAAATCCCAAGGTTTAGGGAGAAGGGTGGGGATACTGCCAGGCAATAGTCCAGAATGGAGAGTCACTGGAGACAGGGAACAGCCTTTGGCTGTTCCAGAGAGGATGTTAATCAGGTCTCCTTCAGTGCTGAGGGCCACTGCAGGACCCTATTCCTCTTCTTCTGAAAAGGTCTGGAGACTAAGCACTGGTAGGACCTGACACTTAGGCAATATTCAAAAGAATTTTGGTTCAGATAAGGAGGAAGTGACTTTTCTGAACACACACACACCATTCTGAAACTTAGAAACTTCACAAGTTAAGACTGACTCCCATCAGTTCATCAATTAAAATCTTAGTTGAACTGGTTGAAGAAATAACAAATCCATCAGTTGAATGAATGAATGAATGACTGAATGGATGGATGGATGAATAAAATAAACTGCAGTCCTATATGAGTGGTATTCAGTTGTGGTGTGTGCCCCACTTGCCCCACAGACAACCTGTGTGATGTTGGATCTTGTCCTAGGTATTTGCATAGACCTATGTATGGTAAACTTAAGTCTTTATTCAAAAGCTCCCATACATACAGGTCTGATTAATACTCTCACCACTCAAATATTGCAGCTTTTCAATTGCCTTTATGTGCTTTGCTTTCTGTTTATTTCTATTGCTTTTGATGCTTTTCTTAACTTTTACATCTCTGGTTTCAACCTTCTTCCACCTTCTTCCATTGAGTGGTTCTTGGTATCTAATTGTTCTATATCCTGCCTGAGCCTTCCTCAGAGAAATCCCCCCCTCCCCACTTCTGGATATTGGTACTGCTGCTTCCTTCAATATCTTTGTTTCACATTTTCCAATGAATGAGCTGCCCACTTCCTACTGCTGCAAGCTCAATTGCCCTTTTAGTCCAATCTCCTGCTGGCTAATCACTTGAGGGCTTTTTCTCTCTGCAATCCTGTTATTATCTGATCAGTTACATCAATCCTCCAGTTTTGCTACTAGATTATTGTAGTTCCTGCTGTCTAGTCATTCTATTGAACTTGAATCAATTCCAGTTCTCTTCTTAAATAATCAAACCAAGATAGCAGCAAATATTTCAATCTGACTGAATTCCTGGCAACAGTATTAGACTGCAAAGCATTTAACAGACTCCATTTTTGTTGAGCCAACATAATTTATTTAAATGCTTAAAGACACAGATATCGAATAAAGTTTCTAATTTTGGTAAATAAATTGAAAGGCGGCTATAACGCAATTTCTGCCGAATAAAAAAACTGGACTTAATAGTTTGCAGATAAAATACATAATGGGTAATTTTATAGCGAATGGTGTAACATTTGTCAGCTTCTTTACATAATATTTTGTGTTTCAGCTAATATCACTTAACTCTAATTTATATTAAACCACCGTATTTTTCGCTCCATAAGACGCACAGGACCATAAGACGCACCTAGTTTTTAGAGGAGGAAAACAAGAAAAACAATATTCTGAAGAGAGAGGGAGAGCTCACATTTGTGTGTGCCTGTGGCGGGCAGCTGCCTTGCCTCACCTCCGAGTCGACGCCGGAACCAGAGCAAAAAGAGGAGGAGGAGACGCCGGGGCAGGAGCCGTGTAAGCGGCTCTCCCTTTGCTTGAATTACACACGTGTAAAGCACGATCTGTGCAGAGCGTGTCAGCAGCTCTTGCTTTGCTGGCTTCACAATGAGCCGGATTACAATCAAAAGTGTAGGGTGGGTCTTAAAACATACAGTACAGGGGTCAGAGGCAAGGGCAGAAGCGAAGACACTTGATTCAGGCAGTGGATCTGAGCTCTCCCCTCCCCTGTCTTTATACTGCTGCCAGCTCCACTGAGGCGTCGTCCACATTCTTCACACAGCCTCATTGCTGTGATGTGGTGGCAGCCAGCACAGCCACAGGTGTGGGTACCATTGCGGTGATGGGGCTGGAAGCAGTGCAGGGGCAGGAATAGGGTGGGGACCTGGACCTGTGTGGTGGGGTGGGTGTTGTGGGGTGGAGGTGGCAGCACTGGGGAGGGGGTGGTGTTGGGCTTGATCCTGCTGCAAGCTACCTGCACAAAGTCACTTTCAAATGGGGCTGCCATCCGTCCCTCCTTCCAGCTCATTGTAAAGCCAGCAAGAGCCGCAGGCACGCTCTGCACGGTTGTTGCTTTAAAGCGAGAGCTGCGCAGAGAGTTTTAGCGGCAGTGGCTCTTGCGGGCTTTACAATGAGCCGGAAGGAGGGACGGACGGCAGCCCCGTCCATCCCTCCTCCCGCCTCACTGTAAAGCCAGCGAGCGATGGACAGGAGCCATGGCTCTGGCTGTGGAGGCATCCCTCAGCTCATGACTGCAGCAGCAGCAGCCGAGGGATCCTTCTGCCGTCCGCTGCATTCGCTCCATAAGATGCACAGATATTTCCCCTTACTTTTTAGGAGGAAAAAAGTGTGTCTTATAGAGTGAAAGGTATTTGTTTTTAACTGTCTTGATCTTTCTTTTACACGTTGTCCTGTTTCTTTCTTATTTTTTAAATATATTTTTATTAAAGATTTCTTGGTTTACAAAAGTATGCACAATGTCTCTTTTTTCAAATTACGTTTTCTACAGATCAATTTCCTTTGCTGAGACATTAGTATTACATTAGGAAGAAAAGGAGGAAAGACGTGGAGGGGGGCATGGAGAGCGGGGTGAGGCTGAGATAAGGCAAGTAGCCTTCAGCTCTATTCTGAGCCTGAGGTGATTCCTCCTCCCCCCATTTCTACTGTAAATTAGGGGTGAGGAACCTCTGGTTTGTTAGAAATTTTTGGCCCACCAAGACTCTCCCCTTTGGCAAATGAAGCAGTTTTGGGAAAGCCATGTTCACTCACCCTACACCTGATGTCATAAGGTAAGGGTGGGGCTTAACTGAAAGGGTGGGACTTGTCCCAAGCACCTTTTTGCAATTCCTGACAACCAGCTAGCTCCTCCCTCCATCTCTTCCAAATGTTTGCGGTACAAAACACAGAAAGTTGATTATTTATGGAACAATGGAACAATCATTCATAACTGTTATGTACTAAGCTTGGATCCTGGAACAATAGGCAGGTAGGATCTTAGAATGCTTGCAGGAGAAGACCAATCACGCTTCAGGAGAAAGTTAATCAGCCTATTAGGCTGATAGGATCGTAGAATGCAACAACTGATTGGCCTGCAGGAGAAGACCAATCAGGCTCCAGGAGGGAAGCAGAATCAGCCAATCAGACGGGACTCATTGTGCAAATGATGTATATAAATGCTTGAGGTTTTGGGGGGGGGATTCAATCACTGTTTTACAAGCTGCAATAAAGAGCATGAAATCACTGCAGGACTCCAAGTATATTTCAATAATGAAAGTTTATCTTTCAGTAGGTTTAGGTTGCTTTCATTCAAATTTATCACAGTGACCATGATTTCCAAACAAGGAACCTCTGAATAAGGAAGAATATTCTCTTATCAGGAGACTACTTTAAAATAGATGGCTTTCTCTCCTTGTTAAGCTTGCTATTTCAGACTGCAAGTGACTAATACTGTAGGTTCTTATATAATAAGCCTTTGATGATGGCAGGAAGCATGCCTTTTCTTTTCCCTTTCGGGGGGTATTTTATTCATAACAAGTACCATTTAATTACAGCAGTTAAAATGAGATTTATTTAGAAAGCAAAGCTTATTTTCAGACATTTTACAAAGGCCTGGTTCACGCAGCATGGTAAGTCGAACTATGGTAATTTTGAGAGATGAGCTTTCTCATACTGGCTACAGATTGTGGTTGGTGATGAGACAGCTTAGCTAAGAGCCTGGCTTTTGATGACATGCTAAACCAAACTTGGCTCAGATCTGTTCAGCAGAGGAACAAAAATAGGACTAGAGAGAAGCAGAGCACCCATTAGCAGCTCCCCAATAACCAGCATAATTGCATGGTCCCAGTAAGCTATGGATTGGGTTGTGATGCTTAACATATCATGTAGCTAGCATGGTTTACCATTGTATGAGAACACAGCCAATGTCCCTATGTACTTAATTTCCATTCATTTTACAAGGATCTCTGAAGTTAGATTTTCAACATGTGCGTGTCAATATATTCAGCATTTCATTCTTGTCTCAACAATGAATTATTCAGCTGTGTTTTGAAATAATAATTTCTTTAGAATGGATTATTAATTTCATTTTCCTCTTTCCCTACATTTTAGTGACTTCTTTTACTATTCCCCCCCAAAAAATAGCTGCTTCCATCAAAAAAAATTTCCCTTGACCTTATAGATCTTTCATATACTACATGATTTTTTTTCTTAAAAAAAATAATAAAGATACTCTTTCATTGTAGAGGGTGGAAGATTTTGGTATGCTAGCTATTCTGAAACTGACTTGACCAAAGAAAAAAGAAAAGAAAGAAATATGCACATATGCCACACTGCTACTCACTCCGCTCACAGGGGACAGTTGCAAAGAACATGATTTGAGCATCTGCTGTTAACAGACAAACACAAATAACAACAAAGGACAGTACTTGTAGATGTGTTGAGGGCGGGGGAACCCATCAAATGACTCAATTATATATATTTTGTACATGATCTGAGGTCACATCTCCACCATACATTTGATGCACTATGATCCCACTTGAAACAATCATAATTTTCCCCAAAGAATCCTGGGAACTAAGGCTTGTTAAGATGTTGGGAGCTGAGAAGAAGGACTGACTGTTAAACCAGTCTGGGAACTGTAGTTCTGTCAGGGAAATAAGGGGTCCCTTAACAACACCCTTAACAACCTGCACTTCTCAGGAGTCTTTGGCTCTTAAAGTGGTATAGGGAGTGGGTGGCACTGGGATCTAAACCACAGAGCCTCTTGGGCTTGCCGATTGGAAAGTTAGCAGTTCGAATCCCCATGATGGGATGAACTCTTGTTACTCTGTCCCAGCTTCTGCCAACCTAGCAGCTCAAAAGCACACCAGTGCAAGTACAGTGGTACCTCGGGTTAAGTACTTAATTCGTTCCGGAGGTCCGTTCTTAAGCTGAAACTGTTCTTAACCTGAAGCACCACTTTAGCTAATGGGGCCTCCTGCTGCCGCTGCGCCACTGGAGCACAATTTCTGTTCACATCCTGAAGCAAAGTTCTAAACCCAAGGTAATATTTCTGGGTTAGTGGAGTCTGTAACCTGAAGCGTATGTAAGCGTATGTAACCTGAGGTACCACTGTAGATAAATAGGTTTCCATGCACGCTGGCACTCATCATGATGTCCGCTTGTGCCAGAAGCGGTTTAGTCATGCTGTCCACATGACCCAGAAAACTGTTTGCACCCCATAGTCAAGTTTGACTGGACTTAACCATCCAAGGATCCTTTACCTTTACCTTTTTATTAGTAGTGCTTTAAGTGTGTGGTATGGAAATGTTATTTGTTGTTGTTTGTGATGGTTTTATAATGCTTGTTTTTTAATGTTCAGTTCATGTTCTGTGCAACTGGCACCTATGCACAGAGGCATTATGCGTTTTAAAGGCCCGCAGTGGTCTAATGATGCTTTCAGAATTGGGTGTGGTTGTGACCTGCGTTATTGCTTGTAACTGGAGGCTGCCTAGTGCTTACTTCCTTAGGCGGTCAAGAAGAATGGGTACAAAGCACAATAGACGCATGGGCAAAATGTGCTGGTTACATAAATGTTTGCTTTATCACAGTTTGGGAATGGTAAGTCAGAAACATAGCACACAGCAGTGAAAAGGATGCTTTTTTTGTGAGTATCATCTCTGTTACTGCAAAGATTGCTGTTGATGGGGAATCATATAGCAAGGATAGTGGCTGCCAAAACATTTTCAGCAAAATGTCACCCAATCCTGATAACAGATTTCAGCGAACAGTGATGATGAACATTCAAAAGGCTGCCACTGCAGAGCTCAAATGTTTTGCTAAATATTTGCAGCCTCAAAATTAATTAGGAGTTCCAGCATTTTTGTGTTTTTGCTATGTAGAATGGTGCAGGCATTTTACCACAAAACATCTGCCTCTGGTAGAGTGCGGAGCAGGTCTTTGGAGATTTGGCTTCAGATTTGCACACAGCCGTCGCAACATGGCTTTGGGTGATCAATCACCACCTTTCTGTTTCACTTTTGTATCATAACATTGTAATAGCAGTGAGTGCTATGAGGATTGGAGGTATAGAGAATTGTCACCTGCCCTGAACTTGCAATCGACAGCTAGCAGATTATACAATTATATGATTTGCTACTCATTATACTTAAGGTCTGCACTTTACTGTAGTGTTCTTTGATCCAAGAATACTAATTGCATTACACTTTGGCTGGTAGATTGAATGAAGATTGCCTTTTCAAATTCTTTTAGTGGGAAAAGTTGTAGGTCAATGAAAGAGACGGTGATTTGTATGCAAAATGTCCCTGATACAAACCCTCATATCTGCAGGTGGGGTTGACAAAGCCCCTTACCCCAAACTCTGAGAGTCACTGTTAGTGTACACCAGGCATGGCCAAACTTGGCCCTCCAGCTGTTTTGGGACTACAGCTCCCACCATTCCTAGCTAACAGGACCAGGGGACAGGGATGATGGGAATTGTAATCCCAAAATAGCTGGAGGGCCAAGTTTGGCCATGCCTGGTGTAGACCAAAGGTAGCCAAGGGGGTGGCCTCCAGTTATTGCTGTACTACATGTGACTGGGGCTGATGGAAGTTGTAGTCCAAAATCATATAGAGGCAACCATATTGACTGCCATGAATTGTATCCAAAATAGCATTCCACAAGTGTTCTGTCAGTTTAGGGATCTCTGCTTGAGCAACAGAACATTCTTCCCCCTCTCTTCCTCCTGCTTGTCCCCTAAATCTGTTCTCGGTGTTCCCACAATCCTCTGGGGCAAACTAGGAGAGAACATGTGACACATTGGTGCATGAGAAGAAGTTCCGCTGCACATGCAGAAATCCTTATGCTCTTGAAACAGTAATTGCATACCCTTCAACATTTCTCCAATGAAAATAGGGGTGTCCTATTCCAGTATGATTTATTATTACTATTATTTGTAAGAGAATTGTAAGAGTTGCAAGGAACCCTAAGGGTCATCTGGTCAAACCCCATAGCTCTGGAGTTATGCCATAACCCTGGGTTTAACATTATTTATTAATTGTGTTATGGAAACTGGAAATTTTTGATAAGCAATGTCAGGGCCATTTGTTTAATCCCAAAGGACTGAATGCTCAAAAGTTGCTACATTGCTCATTAAAGATGATTTTAAAAAGTGAAACAGAACTCCACCACTTTCTCTGGCAAATTGTTTATAATATAATCTCTATTAGGAGACAAAAAGTTAACACAATTTCAGAACCCAGGCTTCCTTTTTAGAAAACTCATTTATTCAAAGCTAGGCTTTTAATTAGTGCTCCAGATACAATCCTTAGTTGCTAGATTAATTGCAGAAAGCCTGCTCATTGTTTCAAATCCCCAGAGATATTTTTAAATCTAGTGGGCAGTAAGACTGCCATCTGTTTTGTTGGCTGATGGCTGCTTCTTACTGGAATAATTAAAACTCAGAATATCCCATTTAGAGACATGGGTTTTTCTTCTGATCTGCCATTCATGCCTTCCACCAACTTTTTTTGCCACCACACCTGCACCAGCTGGCTAAATAATATGAACAAACTGCCTCCCTATCTGGTTCAAAGAGCAGTAGCAATGAATGGCATGGAAATTACAGCTGTGCATCTTTGAGTTAGAGAATTGCTTTGGAAAGGATGTTCTTTAAATTGAGAGCCTTTAAATAACACGAGTCTTCAATTTCCTTGTGTTGCTGTAAATATACACTAGCCAGAATTTGCTGCCCCATTTCTTAGATTCTCTGGACTCACTGAATATAACTAAATACTATCCTCCGGGTGTGTATGCGTGTGTGTGTATAGATATATACAATTTTATATTTGGAACTGAGCTGAACAGTCTCTATTAAGCAACTTTGCCGAGAAAAGAAAGGCTAATTGAAGATTAGCCAGCCACCTCTTTCTTTCTTTTTCAAAATATCTCTCTTCACTGCTTTAAAAATGTACACAAATATGAGGCTGCTCCTCATCTGCACTGTTGCCAAAAATCACAGTTACATATTTAGAAAAACCAGCAATTCTTTTAGATAAATTTGCATGTTGTATATAATTTTGGAGGTAGATGTGTTGGATTTATGTATTACGATTTGCCAATACTCTTTTGAGAACATTTGGATTTGATATGCTTTGACGGTTCACTTTACAACTCAGGGGATGTGCAGGGGCTGGAGTGAGGGGAGACTAGAAACTATAAGTCTCATTGCACAATAGGAGTTTCATTGTGCAAGTAGGCAGCTAAGTGGTAGCCAGTGCAACTCATTCAACAATGCGATAGTGCATTGATGATATCTTGTCCCAGTGAACAGTCGAGCCTCCACATTTTGCACTAGCTGCAGCTTCTGAGTTAAACTCAAGGGTAGCCCCACACAGAGTGCACTGCAGGAATCCAGTTTAGAAGTTACCAGTGCATGAATGATAGCAGTCAGAATATCCCAGTCCAGAAATGGCTACAGCTGTCTTACCAGCTGATTCTGGTAAAAAGTACTCACAGCCAATGAGGTCACCTGGGCCTTTGGTAACAGATGGATCCAGGAGCACTGCTGGACTACAAACCTGTCCCTTCAGTGGGAATATAGCCCAATCCAAAGTAGACGTTTGATTAGTTAGCTGGACCTGGGAACTGCTCATCCACAGTGCCTCCATCTTGCTAGGATTCAGAGTCAGTGTATTAGCACTGCTAGGATTCAGAGTCAGTGTATTAGCACTCATCCGTCCCATCACCAAGTCTAGGCACAATATCGTTTATGTAAAATTATATTAAACTATATCATTTACAGATATTAAAATATCCCCCATTTCTAAATGAATTATGTAGGTAACCAGAACCAGGAAGTGAATACCAGTAATTTTTTGTGCATTGGGAACACCACAGGGTGAAAAGTAACTTGGGAACATAATCCAGGTAAGTCAAACAGCAGGCGTACGGTAAGTACATACACCACCATCACTTCATTGCTCAAAATGAAAGCTTCTCTCAACAGCAAAAAACTGACAGGGTGCCATTGTACATGTAGTTTGCTCCTTATATACATTCTTGTACATAGACAAACAACATGCTGGTTTAACACCAAAGCAGAAAAGCTTGTTTATGAGAAGTTATGACAAACTTTAGTACAGTGGTACCTCAGGTTACATATGCTTCAGGTTACAGACTCCGCTAACCCAGAAATAGTGCTTCAGGTTAAGAACTTTGCTTCAGGATGAGAACAGAAATCGTGCTCCGGCGGCACAGCAGCAGCAGGAGGCCCAATTAGCTAAAGTGGTGCTTCAAGTTAAGAACAGTTTCAGGTTAAGTACGAACCTCTAGAACGAATTAAGTACTTAACCTGAGGTACCACTGTAATATCACTGGTCTTTTTATACTATTTTCAACAGTTAAAAGATAATAGCTATTTAGCCAAGAATATATTACCCCTCCCTTTCTTACATATTGCCTTTTCAAAGCTATTAGTGTGATATTAATGTTTTCTAAGGTATCCCCTGTGAACAACAGATTCCACATTAAGCGGAGGGATTCTATACGAGAAAATGCAAACTGTATATCCTTTCTGCCTATGCTTTTACTGAGGTGGACCTGGAGGATGTAGCTTAGCAAACTGTGGGTGGTTGAAAGGATGGCAGAGAGTTTTTGAATAACACAGTATTTTGTTCTGAACTGGATGTTCTTTTTAGAAATCAGATACCAAATGCATAAAGCCATTGGGGTTAAAAGGGGAGCACACTGTCTCTTTGCCTGAGCATTACCAGGGCTGGCCCAGGAGATTTTGCTACCTGAGGCAGATGAGATCCTTCCCCCTGCCAATTCCATGTACAGAAGCTGACTAATCTGGCAGATGAAGCAGTTTTTATATTATTATTTTTATAGGGGAAGAAAACTTTTGATAAATTATGATGCAGATTTCAGTACAGCACCAGTTTTCCCTGTCAATTACTCATTTTGTGCCATTCCTTCTGGATTAGAACTGTGGGTGACCTAAGGCTTTCAGGAAATCACAAACTGAACAGGAGGCCATTACACATGTCCACAAGGCCAGTCCAATTGGGTCATGTGACATCATCTTCAAAAGCAAATAAAGCCAATTGTGGGTGGTGGGGATGGTCTCTGAATCAATCAAATGGGGCACAGAAGGAATCAAGACACACCATGAAGGACAAAGAATATTTTCAGTAAAATGGAAGGATCAAAACAATTTGTTTCAGTACGCTGAAGTGCTCATCCATCACTTAGGTGCCCATCCATGAGGTGGGGGAGAAAGACAGAGGAGCTTCATGGATATTTCCTTTGTGGTGCCACATTGACATTTTATAACTATTTCCCCAGACTGTATTGATCCAAGGAATTGAGTGACTCTCTCCTCAGAGCACCATAAATAAACTTATTATTGCTTTTCGAAAATGCCGTTTTCAAACCAACACTATTGGTACTACCATTCAGTTCCAGTATTTGAATTTCTCTTTTTTCACTATCAGTACCATGGATAATGTTTCACACAGCCTGTTCCAGGCTAATGCATCAACATTTCTTTCTTTTCTTTTTCTTTTTTCCCCCTTTTTCTTTTTTGTTTTTTTAAAAAACCCTATTTGTACAAAATGAAATTTCCCAAGTGGACCCAAATACACTTCTTGGTTGTTTGAAACCGTATACCTAGTGTGCTCTCAAGTCAATGTTTTATGCATAGCCAGAAAAGTGCTGATAAAGCATTCCTTTGTATAAACAGGAAAACAGCTCAGGCAAGATGTATTTTCATGCCTCATTAAAAATGTATCTTAATACAAATGGCAGGCACATTTTAAGAAAACTGAGGGAACGTTTAGCTTTATTTTATGTTTTTCTACTATGAAAGAGAATTGAGGATGTACCGTAAATCTTCCATGTTTCCTTCAGGTCTGTGTGCTTCCTTTCCTCTTTCCACATTCCTCTTCCCTATAAATAATAATAATAATAAATTTTTATTTATACCCCACCCTCCCCGGTTCAGAAAACCGGGCTCAGGAAGGCCAACAACAAATTTAAAACACTTAATTGTGATACAACAAAAAACAGCATAAAATACAGTATAAAAACATGAATAACAATAAATTCAAAGTTCAAAAATCAATTGGGGGGGGGGGAATCCATCCAATAAACATTAGATGGTCACCAGGGCTAGCTGGCTAAATTAGTCCTATTTGGGCCAGCGAGGAGGCCAGGGGAGAATTAGCTGTGGGGTCCCAGAGCGGGTAATCTTCATAAAAAGGGGAGAGGGGAATAAAAGATCAGGCTAAATTCAAATTGAGAGCCAGGCGGAATAGCTCTGTTTTACGGGCCCTGTGGAAGGAGGTTAAATCCTGCAGGGCCCTAGTCTCATAGGACACAGCATTCCACCAGGTCGGAGCCATCACTGAGAAGGCCCTGGCCCTGGTGGAGAATAGTCTGACTATTCATGTACCTTAAGGTCTTCTGTGGGACATACCAGGAGAGGCGGTCCCGTAAATATGAGGACCCTAAGCCACAAAGGGCTTAATGTCCTCTGACTTTCTCCTTGAACTCACTGCTAGAAATGTCTTTGAACGTTCTTGATTTTAACACAGAAGTGTGTTGACAGGACCTCTTAGCAATCTTCCACGGGAAATTATCTGTGCCTCTGATTTTTAATAAATATTTGCCAAATACTTGCTGTGGGTCATTCCTAAGATAGCAGTCCTATGCACAGTGTTATATAGGAAGCAGTGTTTCCAAAGTCATGCAGGGCGTAGTCCATTAAGGATTTAAAAATGCACGAAGAGCATCTCGAATGAGATCCAAAATGCAGTAGATGTGACAAATGGGTGCTGTCCTAGCGCCTACTTGATGAAAAACTTGAACTCTGATTAGGTTTTCTGCCAGAACGTTAAATGCTCAGATTAGTGCAGTACATAAGCAAAGAAAGGGTCAAATGTTCAGCAAGTGGCTAAGCAGGTTATGACATGGATCTGACAAGTGACACGACTCCTAGGTTTCTGTGGTGTTTGTTTGCATTGGGCAAACTCTTCCAGATGGGTGGGGCTTGAGCTGTGTTTTGCACCAGTGTTGGTGTCTCTTTGTCCTAGGCGATGGAGAAGGTGGCAGCTCAGATCCAGCCAGAGTGTATCATGTCTCCTGTGTGGGCAGAGGCTCATCTGTAGAAACTGATGGAAGGACAGGTGTTGACAATGCAGGAGGCAGTGCTGAGGCTGGAGGCAAGGTTGGTATGGGGTGACTTGGAGCTAGGATGGCAGGTGGGACTGGCAAGGGACAAAGGGATGGCAAGCCACTGGGTCCCGATGTTAGAATTCCTGCTCCATGATTGCAGTCATTGGATTGTTGTCTTTCACATGAGGGTGTATGTTTTGACTCCACAAAGTGGGAAGTGACGGAGACAGGATGTTTGTGTTACTGTGTTCCATGAAGTGGGACTATTGTCCTTTGTTCTTTTTCTCTTTGCTGTCTGATGCTAGAGAGGGAGCCATGTTGCAGTACTCCATGTGTGTTTATATGTAAATAAAGTAGATTAGCCAAAATGCTGAGTTGCTGAGGTCTGTCACGTGAACTGCGCGGACTCTGCAGATCCCTAAGTGTGCCGGTGTCTATTGGCATCGGTCGCTGCAATGTTCGGGCTGAAGAAAGCACAACCCATACACACAAGGCAAATATTAGAGGCTCGCAGGAACCCCAAGTACAGCGGGGGAAGGGGACTAAGAGAAGCCCAAACACAGCTCTGGGAGGAGTGAGCATGTTCAGTGGACACAGAATGGCAACTGATTGCTGAGGGAGAATAAAGTAGACTGTCTGGAAGAGACTCTCTGAACAGGAGCATTTCAAACAAAAAGTTTAATTAAGTTTAACTAATTAAGTTAATAAATGTGAATAGTTTGACTTTAACAAAAAACATAAAACTTTGTTTCCAGGTTCCCATGAAAGAATATTTTGGAGGCTCGTTTGAGATTGAAAACCCTCGTATAAAATCACACTGTAAATTACTGACAAAACTAGCCAAGACCCCCCCCCCCCCAACCCTTTGGCTTGAGTTTTAACCACAAAAGTCTATTTCCCCTTGTTATTTGGGAGTGTTCTATTGAGCAACGATTATCTATACAGCTCAGCAAGCTATCTCTGATAACACTTGGTACAAGAGACTTCATTGTGTTGGTGTTTGAATAGAATCATCCCGGAGAGAGGAAAAGATAGCCAATAGGGGGAAAATAATAATGTATAGATAGGATGTATAGAATAATGTGTGTGTGCGTGTGTGTAACACAAGGCAAAAAGGGACAAGAGACTGTTGCTTGAAGAGATGAAATGATTCTGTATCTCTGTGCATTTTGAAAACCACGAAAACAACTGTGTTCAAATGCAGCACAGTCCTGAATTTTTACCTGACATCTTTGTAACATGTAAAACAAAAAAAGATACTTTCCCTCTCAAAATTAAGCATCACCTGTGTGTGTCCCATATGAAAAACTGTATAGGCATGAATATAAAGAACAACATCTAGAGGCAATGTGGTGTCATAGTTAAGGTGCCAGACTTAAGACCTGGAAAAACCAGGGTTCAAATCCCCACTTGGCCATGAAGCTCACTATGTGACCTTTCCTCAGTGTCACGCTATTCATTCTTCAAGATGCTTTTACGTCTGTATTCAAAATACAGTGGTACCTCGGGTTACATAAGCTTCAGGTTACATACGCTTCAGGTTACAGACTCCGCTAACCCAGAAATAGTGCTTCAGGTTAAGAACTTTGCTTCAGGGTGAGAACAGAAATTGTGCTCCGGCGGCGTGGCAGCAGCGGGAGGCCCCATTAGCTAAAGTGGTGCTTCAGGTTAAGAACAGTTTCAGGTTAAGTACGGACCTCCAGAATGAATTAAGTACTTAACCCAAGGTACCACTGTATGGAAGGAAAGGTATAGATAGTGAAATTTCTCAGCTACTTGAATGATCCATAACATCAGGATATGTTTTCAAATGCCTGACATGGTGTCGAAACTCCTTTCTGATCAAAAATTCACCACAGAATATCACTTCAATTTAGACTTGCAGAAGAATTTGTACAAATTCTGTCACTGATATATTGCTCCATTCAAAATGCACATGGCACCTAATTCTTACATAAATCTTTGCAATTTCATCTTCTGCTGAGATGGGCCATGAAGCTTCATTGATGTTACTCTCTGGTGATTAGTGCTGTCTTTACAGCCATTCTTATTTAACAGGGGTGGCGAACCCTGGCCCAAGGGGTCAATTCAGATCCCCAAGCATAGCTGTAAACTTTCCCCTTTTCTTGCATGGAATCCTATTCGGAATAAGGGGATTTCCCTTTAAAAAGGGGAAAGTTGACAGCTATGTCCCCAGGCAAATTTGGCTGCCCCCCAGACCCCACTGGTTTTCATAGCAAAAGGGGGGGATTATATATACTAAATTATACATAGTGCTGTAGATGGCCCAGCCAGAACCCTGATTTGGATGCAAATTATCCCTTCCTTAGTTATCAAAAGTGTTATTTTTCTGGGGAAACAGGTGCCAGAACTCTTCTTTGTTCTCTTAGAATGGCAATGGAGCCCACCTGAGAGGTGCCAGAACTGAGTTCTGGTGGGTTCCAGCTGAAAAAAAGCCCTGGTTATCATACTGTTCGAGGAGTCTGGAGGGGTGATGTATGCATATGGGTGTTTGCAAGAGTGTGGGTGGTCACACTGGCTTGTGACCCCTAGAAAGTGAGTAAAGGGTGATTGAAGCCCTTGGGCCAAACCCTTTTTGCCACCTCCACAGTGGGAAGCAACACAATTCTAGCAGAAATTCTTGATCTACTATAAATCTCCCACCATTCAGCTTCATCGAATGACCCTAGCTTCTAGTACTATGACAGCAGGTGAAAAACCTCACTGTATACACTTTCTCAGCACTGTGCATAATGATGCACCACTAATACGGCCGAAGGTTGCCATTTTTTGTTTTTAAAAATGCTATGGAAAGCCACGGAAGAAGGCTCTCCTTGCCTTGTGATCAATGTCCACAAACAAAGTTGGCAGTAAGAGCAGGGAACGTTTACTGCATAAAATGGGGGTGTAGACTTTCAAAGCAAAGACGAATCCAGCTGTTTTACGGGACATTTGTCTTGTGCTTGCTAGGTTAGCTTACGATGCAGATAAGCCAACCAAACAAATTACCCCCAGTTTAAGTCCTGTCTGACAAAAGGGAAAGAGATGAGGAGATGATTAAAAGGAATGGTCCACAAGATTAAAACAATTTCATTTCTTCTGCTTCTCAGCGTAGCACCAGTGCCAGCTTTGCTCCATACATCACATAGCAGGAGGTAGACAGCAGCTTCGGGGGGGGGGGGGGGATAGTGCCTTCTTGGATGAAACAACCTCATTATTTTATGGCAGAGCTTGATCTTCCTCAGCGCTCCCTATTCATTAGCTCAAGAGCATGAAAAAATAGTCCATGGCAGGTTTTATAAAAAAGAAAGAAAGAAAGATTCAAACTTTGGTGGGTAGGTAAAGGAACACCTTTTTTAAAACCTTAATTTCCATTTCACTGTTTCTTCCCAATTAGTTAGCAGTTATGTGAGTTTTAATTTTATTGCCACTAAACAAACGTTAAACAAATACACAACACCTCAATTACCATGGAAATGAATAACGGAGATATATTGGGTGAGCATTGTTCTCTGCTAATAGCAAATGTATGGGTTTTACCAAGATATTCCTCCTGATCTGTAATCGTCAGATGGACAGGGATTTTATTTCAATATTTGTTTATCAGTGGTAACCCAGGTTGATGATGATGGTGCTGATTTGGTCAGAAGAGAGACAGAGTAGTGGTGCTTAAATCACATGCATAATTTGTGGTAATTATTCTTAAGGAACATATGGCACTGCCTTATATTTTAATTTGACTGCTGGGGAGGACCACCACTCAGTTGCAGCACAAAGACTTTGCATAGGCAAGGTGTCAGGAACAGCTAATGGGCTTTGAAAGGAGCTTTAAAAGAGGATGGGGAAAATTTGGAGAATAAGACTATCAGTGCCTACTAGCCACAATGGCCATGTTCTACCTCCACTCCTAACGTGTTAGGCACAGAGCCAAACAGCAGCGTTTCCTAATGTTCTGCATTTGCTCTCACAGCCATTCCCCTTAAGATAACAATAATAAAAATAAATTTAAAGGGACAATGGTGATCTTCCACCACCATATTTGTTATGGCCAATATTGATGCCCCCAAATAAACACACAGGGTGGGGAAAAACTGCTTTAAGGATTAGGACTACATTGTCCTTTCCTTCAACTTTGCCACTTTGGTCATGAAGTCCTTTCAAGAAAGTGTCTAACTGACTGTGCAGTCTAAGGCAGGCTCTTATCTTCAAATGCGGCTTCAACACTCTGACACCCAAAGAGAGATAATTCCTATCGGTACAGAAGCAGTTTCTAGAGGAAAAAAAGGGCAGACAAAAAATAACAAAGTGCAAGCTTATTTTGCCAAAATTGACTTTCTGCACTGATTGGCCAAGGTGCTATTGCTAGCAGAGTCCCATAAAGTTACCTAAGTTCCAAAAACACTTTGTCTCAGGTTATTTCAAAATGGAGTCAGTCACGTACTGGCTTGGCTCTGAGGTTCAACCATGTGCCTTATTTTGCTTTTGGGGAAATGAAGAAAGAAAAGAAAGAGCAACAGATGGGATTAGTACTTTTTTTTAGGATGTCTCATATCCACTGGTAACAGAAACAGACTTTCACACTGACCACATCCCTGGTCAGTCACAGCAGGCAAAAGGCAGGCATGGGGAAACTAATCAGTGAAGATTGTGACAATACGATGCAAATCAGTCTACTGTAAAGCAGGGGGGCTAATCTGTCATCTCTCATATATTGTTGGACTACAACTAGAATCAGCCCTGATTATTGCACAGGTTGGCTGATGGGAGTTGCAGTATGTGGAGAATCTGATTCCACCCAAATCTGTGGTCATCCCACCCCATTGCTACCACATTTTGGTGACCCCACCTGTCCTTCATTAACTATTTATTTTGCTATTATTTATGGAGGGGTGTCTTGTAAAGCAGTGTTTGCATCTTTCCTAAAGCTATAACCTTTCACTTATCCTTAAAATCTTTTTCCTGCTGCCCCTATGAATCTAGATGCCAGATCTAGATTGAATCTAGATGGCTGGGAGCTGGGGGCACTGTTATACAGTGGTTTCGCTCCTTCCTCCTGGGCCGTGTTCAGAAAGTGGTGGTGGGGGATGAGTGTTCAGACCCCTGGGCCCTCACTTGTGGGGTGCCTCAGGGTTCCGTCCTCTCCCCCATGCTTTTTAACATCTATATGAAGCTGCTGGGAGAGATCATCAGGGGGGTTTGGACTGGGTGTCCATCAATATGCAGATGATACCCAGCTCTACCTCTCTTTCAAATCAGAACCAGTGAAGGCGGTGAAGGTCCTGTGTGAGTGCCTGGAGGTGGTTGGAGGATGGATGGCGGCTAATGGATTGAAGTTGAATCCTGACAAGACAGAAGTACTGTTTTTGGGGGACAGGGGGCGGGCTGGTGTGGAGGACTCCCTGGTCCTGAATAGGGTAACTGTGCCCCTGAAGGACCAGGTACGCAGCCTGGGAGTCATTTTGGACTCACAGCTGTCCATGGAGGTGCAGGTCAATTCTGTATCCAGGGCAGCTGTCTACCAACTCCACCTGGTACGCAGGCTGAGACCCTACCTGCCCGCGGACTGCCTCGCCAGAGTGGTGCATGCTCTAGTTATCTCCCGCTTGGATTACTGCAATGCACTCTACGTGGGGCTACCTTTGAAGGTGACTCGGAAACTACAACTAATCCAGAATGCGGCAGCTAGACTGGTGACTGGGGGCGGCCGCCGAGACCACATAACACCAGTCTTGAAAGACCTACATTGGTTCCCAGTACGTTTCCGAGCACAATTCAAAGTGCTGGTGTTGACCCTTAAAGCCCTAAATGGCCTCGGCCCAGTATACCTGAAGGAGCGTCTCCACCCCCATCGTTCTGCCCGGACACTGAGGACCAGCGCCAAGGGCCTTCTGGCGGTTCCCTCATTGCGAGAAGCAAAGCTACAGGGAACCAGACAGAGGGCCTTCTCGGTAGTGGCGCCTGCCCTGTGGAACGCCCTCCCATCAGATGTCAAAGCGATAAATAACTACCTGACATTCAGAAGACATCTTAAGGCAGCCCTGTTCAGGGAAGTTTTTAATCTGTGATATTTTAGTGTATCTTTGGTTTCTATGGAAGCCGCCCAGAGTGGCTGGGGAAACCCAGCCAGATGGGCGGGGTACAAATAATAAATTATTATTATTATTATTATTATTATTATTATTATTATTATCATCATCATCATCAATTTTATGCCTCAATTTACCTACTTGGAGCTATGGATAAGCATGGGGCAAAACAGCATAGATTCCACTTTGAAGTGAGAACAAAATCAATTATATTTTATTTTAAAATAATTGTTCTTATAAACAGATGGTGACGTTTGATTGTTGACTTTCACTTAGTTACCACTGAACTTCACTTGGTGACTGTTGATAATAGTTACACTTTGAGGTAACTGTTTCTTTTAAGGAGATGTGAGAGAGTCAGTTCCTCTGTCAATTTAAACCCTATAGCCAATTTCCCTCAACCACTTCTACCAGGGAATGCTCATCAAGTAGGTTCTGAGGACTCAATGTGCAGCCTTCACGGTTGAATTTCTCATGCTTCTAGAAGGACTTCTGCTGTGGTCTTCACTCTAGTCCAGTAAGCTCTGTTGGCTCAGGCAATCAGCAACCCCACTGTCTTTTGGCTGAATAGCTCTCTTGAAGGCTACCTCTTGGGACACACATGCTTCTGCACAGACCACACGGCTGGTGGAAATGTGGGGAGTGGGATTAAAGCGGGCTTCCTGAAGGGGGCTGTGGGAGGCAGAGAGATCTCCATGTTTGTATGAAAAGGAAGGGGTGGGGATATCATAGTGATAACAGAGGGAGCTGGGAGGAGGGGTGGTGTGAGCTAGGATTATGCTGGCTTTCTTGATGCAGCGGGAAAAGAAGAAGAGGAGGGGTGGGAATGGGACTGAAGATAAAAACAGAAATAGAAAGGGAACTGCAAAATAAGAAAGAGTGGGTGCTTCAGAATTGGGGGAAGGTGAAAAGGGAGCTTAGGTGTTGCAATGTGTGAGGTGAGAAATATCCAGGAACTTATGATGTCTGTGTGCATGGGAAGATGGCATAAAAAGATGGGGGAGGAACATGCATAGAAATTGGGGTGAAACTGAATACGAGGGTGCAAGGGGGCTGCAGAATAGAAGCGAGAAGGAGTTTCAGACATGGGGTTGGAAAGGCGAAAAGGAGGCTTAGTAGTGGGAAGGGAAAGGCTTATGGTGTTACTATAGGGCAGGCATCCCCAAACTCGGCCCTCCAGATGTTTTGGGACTACAACTCCCATCATCCCTAGCTAACAGGGCCAGTGGTCAGGGATGATGGGAATTGTAGTCCCAAAACATCTGGAGGGCCGAGTTTGGGGATGCCTGCCATAGGGGGACTGGGGAGCAGGTGGAGTTGGAGAACAGCATAAGCAAGTATGCAGCCCCTAGTATCCAATATGATTTGCAGTTTGGCTTGTTTCTTTCCATGAAACATGTATTGGACAGGAAGCATCTTTTGACAAACTTCAAGAAGAAAATGGGTAATTGGGAAAATAGGGAGTTGATTTTGAAAAGTCTCATATAACCTTGTTAATTTTTGACTTTCCTTTGGAGAAAAGTAGTCCAATTAAATCAGGACTCCCTGCTGTAATATATCAGAGTTAGTTAAATTTTTAAAATAAAAGGAAAACCTACATTATCTAGAAGTCTGACATTTAATTCCGGTTAAACAAAGTAACATGTTGAATGGTAGTCACATAACGGCCTAACAGCATTTGTGGGAAATGGCTTGACTGGCACCAGCTCTTTCCAAATACACTACAGAGAAAATGTGCCTACAAGAAAAACATGTGGATGCCTGTGGAGGTGACAAATAGTTTTGCAAGGGACATTAATCAAATGAAATTTAAAAGACATTTGCTTCTGGCCTTAAACTCTTTGGTCTGGAACGAATTGCATTGGAAATCACTCAGAATGAAGCCTTGAACTGATAGGGACTGTGTGTGAATACACATCCCTTTCACTGCAGGAATTGGATTCACCATTTATAATTCCAAGCATCTGGATTAATGTGATTTCAATTGGCCTTTCCTGTGGAAATTTACCAACTATTGCAAAGTTGCTTCACAAGAATGAGAGATGATAAATAGGTTTTTCTAAACACTCCTAGTTATTGAGAACCTCAAATGGGAGCTTTTGTAGCTATGGGGTAAATTTAGTGCATCAATATTCCATATATAACAACAGCAACATCGATCCAAGCCCAGAGTCTCAAAAATCTACAATAATAAATATATTTTTTTCAAAAATAAGCTATCAATCAAATCCCGGACTTTGAAATTTTGTTTTCTAATGTTATTAACTTAGCAGTGTCTCTGAGAACAATTAGCTAGCTGACTTAATTAATAACTAAGGAACAAGTAGTAGATTTGGTAAACTTTTAAAAATACAATTTTCACGACATCTTGAAATGGAAACATCCTTCTGCCCAAAAGCCTGCTGTCTTAACTAGAAATGGAAGGATCTGCCTATGTCAGTTCTCTGTTTCTCATTTCCCTCCCAAACTTAAATTATGTTGTCCACATTTCTGCAGCAATTTGGAAAACAAACAAACAAAGAACTGTCAGGAAAATTCTTCAGCATTTTAGTGTGAACTTCTCTTAATAAATGCATTTTTATGCAGTTTTGCCAAATTGTACACATTTTTGCAAGCACTTTCTCCTAATAGAATGCATTTTTGCTTGTTATTTTCACTGATATAGACATTTTAATGCACACTTCCCCCTAATATAAACATTTTTGTTCAGTGTAAGCATTTGTTGTTCAGTTGGAGAACTGTGTCACAAAATTCAGATTGTGAGTTTTGAAGGACAGCTATGTTTCAGTTTGCATATTGTTTGGGAAAATACAAATTTGATAATGCATATAACTTTATATTGTCCCTGCATGTTTAAGGGAACTTAGAGACCCCCCAACAGCAGGCAGGGCAGGATGGTTATCCCTGCGTGGGGGTGCCTGGTTCATGCCCCCTTAAAATCGTGTACCTGGGACTACAGTCCCCCTGCCCCCCCCAAGCCATGCCCCTGTCTTCTGTGTTGCCTGTTGTTCCTCCAGGTCTCCAGATTTTATGAGGACCCTGGGAGCCTACAGTACCAAACCAAAATCAGCAAAAAAAAATTCCTCCTTTTCCCATTATGCCTGCTAGTTATGGATTAGATTTTAATAAAATTTGAAGGGGAAGACTTTAACTAGTTAGTTTGTATTAAAATGTGATTTTAAACCAGGTCATTTTAAAGGGATGGGTAATATAACTGATTTGCCCCCCAAAAGAAGTCCAATAAAATATTTAAAATCCATTTATACCTGTTGTTGTTTTAAAAATCATTGCTTTCTATCCATCCTGTCTGCTGAAGTGTCACTGTGTCTAAAAGAGGAAAGAAAAGCATCTATCTTCTTTTAAAATATTTATCTCATAAATGTATTTTTCTTTTTATGCTTCCCATGTCTTCCTGACCTTACCATATTTTGTTATATATATTTAATTGACTTGTCTGTAGACCTGAGTGCCAAGGTATTTAATCATGAATATGAAAGATTACCCACTTGAAAACTACATGAGAATGCAATTAAAACCAACTTCACTTTTCAGTTTCCACCTCTTGTCAAAATGAGCTGGTTTCATATTCTATCCGTTCTCAAAAGAGAGGCAACATTTCCATTGACTCAAATGGGTCTGGCTGCGTCTAGGGCACAACTGTCCCAATAATCACCTATACATTCTGGATTGCAACCATAAATCTAAACATGGACTAGCATTATGATAGCAAAATGGTATTTATATATACCTTATATCATATTTAGTTTTCAGAGGGTGTGTAAAAAGCTGCTAAAGTCTTTTTAAGCTTGAAGACATTTTTTTGTGTGGACTACATTTAGTTGATGATGAAATGGATACAGTTTACCACATGTATTATCCGCTGCCTTCTTGTTTAGAGAATTAGTGCTGAAAGGCTCAGAGTTGAATGGCAGTTTCATATTTCCATCAGTCTTCAACAGATCTTTTCACACAACACAGAGTTCTGTGTACCAGAGCCTTCATAGACCGGTGAATGTAAATACTTTTATAACAGGCCTGCACAAATTGCAACACTCCACCAGCTACACATCCTGGCTATGCTTGACAATCTCGCTTCCCATCTTTACAGTTTTAGTCAAGTGGCAAAAACAGGATTCTTGTCCAGCTCTGATGGCTTGGGATACAGGACTGGCAAGCTGTGTTCATCATGGTGGGGCACAAGTTCCATAGGCCTGGTTTAATCATTTACATATTCAGAAGCTAGGTGCAAAAGAATGGGAGTGCTCATTAGCTTTTCATAATTTTTGAAACTGCTACCAAAAATGAATACATATTATTAATGCAAATAGAAAGAAAACTATGTTTCTAAAAAATCCATTCCAGAGGTAAAGCTGGTGGTCAGGGCACTGAAAATCAAACTGTCTTAGGTACCTTTTAAAACTTAGCTGTAGTATCAGAAAGACCACTTTCCCATCGGTTCATAGCAGAAGAGTAATTTTTACAAGGTACCTAACTTATGAGATATGAAAGGAAACCCAGTGTTAATTTTCCTGTCAAAATAATCAATGACTTTGAAAGAGCAGTCAAGCAGTCAATAAAGAGGTCAGAATATTTTACTTGTGTCTTCAGTGTTCAGTTTTCAACTAGGCAATCAAATGTGAAGACCGCAGAAAAATAATAAGAATAGTTGGCTTGGTAAGATAATAACAGAAGAGCAAGATTCTTAGTCATATCTGCTGTTGCAATGCTTTTTAGATGACCCCATTACAGATTTGCTCTTTGATACCGGCACCTGTTTCTGAAGAATTAAAGTTTAAAGTGTGGTGCTCCACTCAGAAATTACACAAGCTTTCCCACCTGAAATTATTTGTCAATCTAAATCACACTTCATCCTTAAAAAATAAAAAGGCACTGGAATTTCAGTGACTGCAAAATCTCACTGAGTGGTTTTTACAGAGGAAAGCCAAATGAAACAATATATAAACATATTGGAAATATGACTTGTTGATCCAGTAAAACAAATTGAGATGATGGCCTATATATTAGAGCAAGCTACCTGCAAAACCTTAAACATGATCCAAGCTAATGCAAATCTTTAAACCCAAAGAAGAATTAGTTATAAAAGATTAATTGGAATGCAGCAGAGACCAATTGTATTGCACCAAATGACTCTTTAATCCTTGGCATATGGAAGTACATTAGTCACAGAGAAGGTTTTAAATGTTTTTTAAAATACGAGGCAAATAATATATAAGAGCTGTAAGTTTCGACTGGAAAAGAATGATCAGGCTCAAGAACTTGTGTCTACATGGTAATAGTGGGCACTTATACTCTTGGCTTACTTTACTCTTTGTGTCCTGGCTTCAGATCTACTCCAGGTAGACATGGCCTGATAGCAGTCTGCCAGAAAGAGTCCTCCATCATTATGATTTAAAAAAAAGGAATTGGGGGGTATTTTTCAGTCCGAGGGCCACATTCCGTTCTGTGCAAGCTTTCAGGGGCCACATGCGGGTGGTGGACAGGACCAGAGGCCAAGCGGGTGGAGTAATTAATGTAAATTTTACCTTTTCAGAGCAGATTAGTTTGTATACACACAAACATACACACACACACCCCCTCTCTATCCTGCATCCAGGCAATCAAAAGTTCAAGGACACATTCCAGCCAGGAAAACACTCTCATAGTGTGGAACAGGGCTGGCAAGGCAGAAGACCTAGAGCCAGAAGTGTATCCTGAGGAGCAGACACAGAAGGCTGGGCGGCTGCTTTGGGCTGCCGTCCTGAGTTTCCCCTTCCTGTTTTAAAAGTCCTGACACTGTATGAATGATCCTTTACCTTGAAACCAATGCAATTAGGCCTAGCTGAGATTTCAGCCTGCATCTTAACCAGACAGCTTTCAATATTATTTAGCTACATTTCAGAGGAAAGAAATAGAGCAGAGCGAATATTATTTTAAAAATGAAAGAAGAGTGTAATGCATATTTTCCAGCATTTAAACACATATGCTGCGGTCTTATGCATACCCTTAGCATTTAACTCACTGGGATTTATTTGTTATAGAACTGTTTTAACAAAAAACAGCTGCCATGTCTTGTTATAGGACAAGAACAGCTGTCATGGCAGTACATGGCTGCATGGCTGACCTGGCTTCCAAACGTTGCACACCAACTGATACAACAACAATGGAGCCAGTTAATGCTGTGCCAGCACTGTGCTGAGCTCCCTGTTGCCCCCTTCCGCTCAGTAACTGGTAGTGACATGTTGGGAAGCTAGGTTTGCAACAAAGTCCACCCACAGCACCACCACACCAGCTGCTAAGGATATGGTGGCTGTTCACTGAGGTACTTCTATCAAGCAAAGTGATATGATATTGCCCTAGTGAAATATTTTGGTAATTATGGGAGAAACCCATTGCAGAAGAACTTTGTATTTCAGAGAAATAGCTTAAGTGGTCTGTACCATTATTCCTCCTTGCTTATTGGCTATACCCTTTAGGACTGTTGAGGGGTTTTTGTTTGCTTTATTGTCTTGATTTACTGTTCGTGTTTCAGGGATAAGTGTTGGGAGGATTTGACCTACCTGACAGGTTATGTAACATCCCTCACTCCATCCCAAGAATGATTTGTGGAACAGGTGGGAGGAATTTAGGTATCAGGACAGCAAGTTGTCACTAAGGGTCTGAAAGATAAAAATCTCTCAGACGGTGTCTGGCTTTCAGACTTCACTGAAGCCGCAGACTGACAGAGTTCTGTGTGCTGGTCAGCTGGAGTCATTCTGTTGTTATTTCCTGGAGCTCCTGATAATCAAATGGGGGAAGTATCTTATCTTGCTTATGTTATGTTATTCTACTTAATGACTGTATCTCTGTTCTGAATTCTGTATTACTTAATAGAAGCACTGAACTTCTCTCCACTGGTGGTGTCATTGCTGCTGAATCCAAAAGATCTCTTGCATTTGGCAAAACCCTAATGGAGCATGCATAAATTGCTAAATTGCAAGTCTTCTCGGATCTGTTGGAAGTAAAGATTCAGCTGGAGTAGTTCCCCACAAAAAAATAGTAAGCAAATAATTTCAGAAAATAGATGGAGGTTTAACAAAACTTGTGTAAACTAAAGCAAGAGATGAGCAAGGATAAAAGAGAAGATAATTGTATATAGTTATGGATTTCTTTTTCCAGAGCCTTGTCCTCCTGCTGATAGGAACGGCTGAGCTGTCAAACTTGCCTCCACAGGGAAAAGAGCAGAATGAGTCAGAATCAAACAGCCAGCTATGAGAGAACACAACAGTCTGGTATTGTCCTCTGGGCCCTTTAGAGCAATCATGGAGGCTTATCCTTTCCATCTTCATTTTTAGAAGTGCTGGCCCCTTTACAGAAAACTTAAGGCACTAAAGCTTGAAGACTGCAGCAGCACAAAAGAAGGGCTCAGCCATGGCTGTCTATCTCTCTTCCCCTCTCCTTTCTTACATAATTGATTGTCTTGATAACAATGTAAATATTCTCTTTGAAATGCTAACCTTATTGGCTATGCTAAAACAGAGTGATTATGCCCTTCGCTGTCAAAATATAAGGAGGAAAGCATGGGTTGTCACCAGAGCATTGACAAAGAGATGGCCCAGAGCTTGAACAGCAAGTGCAAATATTCTACAGGAGTCTGTAGCTGTGCACGTGCTCCTGTTTGACCACTGACACATGGGGGCACTGATCTAGTTTTTACCTTGCGTGGATAAGATGAAAAGCAGCATATATCCTAGGAAGAACATACACTGAAGCTGTCCTCTTTAACTACATCATGGAGAGTTTGGGATGTAAACGGTGAAACTGTGTAAGTTTTAGATGATTTGGAAGAGTGCGTCTGACCCATGTTTGACACTTGCACCAAACTTGTCTCCTTTTCTTCTAGAAAAGCAATAGTTCTTATTGGTGGACCTGTCCCAAAGTAGGTCATCCCAGTGTATCCATTTCACAGGCAAGGTGCTATAAACATAAAACATACGATTTTGGTTGAATAGTCATCAGCTGAAATAAGGTAGCCATGCTCCCGGAAGTCATAGCAATGTAGAATTGTAGGGTTTGAAGGGACCCCAAGGGCCATCTAGTCCAACCCCTTGCCATGTAGGAATTGCCATTAAATAATCCCTGATAGATGGCCATCCAACCTCTACTTAAAAACCTCCAAGGAAGGAGAATTTGCCACCTTCAGAGGTCATCTGCTTCACTGTTGAACAGCTCCTCCCATGCTGCATGCCTACAATAACATTTCATTCCTGGCTCAGTTATTTCTCTTTTACATGTTGCAAAACATCCATTTCAGAAATGAACTACCTGCCATTTATGTATTCACTCCGGGTTCTGCCCAAGCTTGCATTGCTCACCAACCTCACCAAAAACCTGTCCCACCAGCCAGCCAGCTGCCCTCTAGACCTCACCTCTACATACTAACCCATTAGACCAGGGATGGAGAACCCTATGGGCCAACTGCAATTTTACATAACTGTTGATGTTGTAATCATGGTGTCACATGATTGACAGGTGGGTTCCACCTGTTCAAATCCCAGCCTCTGTGATTGAAATGCAGAGTGTGAGAAGGGTTGCAAGCCTGGCCTGTGCTCATCCTCTCAAGTTTGTGCACTTTCCCACCCGTTTTTACTTTACCCACCAGTGTATAAATATAAAACCTCATTTAACTGACTGCTGTTTTCTTGTATTCTAATCTGGGCAGGCCTTTAAACATTGCATCTCAGACCATGTCGTTGGCTCAATCTTTTCAGCTGCGTTACAGTACAAATGTGCTTTGTCTCTGAAATTTGCTGCTCCACTTGTGGGTGTCAAAAATTGGGCAAGGCTATTTCATGGATTCTGCAAGTTGTCTGTGATTTATTTCATTTCATTTTTATAAACGGTAGGACATGGCTTGTGTAGTCCCTCGGTGGCACCAACAGAAATGTCAAGTTGCAAGTCTGTAAAAGTCAAACCTTTTGGCATTCCTTCAGATCCCAGGTTTGTGAACATAGAATGGAGTTCATGAGAAGGGAGGGCAATGGACTCTGCATATATTAGAAGGATCTGCGTTGATGTTCCAGGAAGAGTTCTAACACTACCAGGTTTGAGCCTTCCCTCTTCTTCACTCTGCCTCCCCAAAATCTGGAAGATCCCTGTGAAATTTAACACATCTTTTCACAACTCAGCATGATGAATGAGACAACCCTGACAGTGATGGTAAGTTATTAATGTGCTGAAAGTGAAGGTTTAAACTATTTTAAGAGTGATTCTCTTTGAGCGCTGCATTTTACTTTGAGTACAATGCAGCTATTTTCAAGGAGCACCTGATTTTTATCCCACTCGGCATCTTTATTAGATTTGAAATTTTTTTCATACAGTATATGTTATGGTTTTTCATGATTTTTAATATATGCAGTTGTTTTAACTGTTGTTATATATGGAATTGTATGTGTGTGTGTGTGTGTGTGTGTGTGTGTGTACACACACACACACACACATATATATATATATAATATTATTATTATTATTATTATTATTATTTTGTGAAGTTGCTTTGGGATGCTTCACAGGAAGTGATCTATAAATGAAACGAAATAAATTCCTGCCTTCTATCACATTATCTGTCATATTTGGTGAGCCAATGCTCATCCCATGAATTTCTCAAACTTCTCCCACACACCTACTGGTATTGTTTCTAATCACCGTCTTCTCTGTATATTACCAATTTTAATGCTGGTTGAAATATGTACCCAACATTAAAATAAGCATGTGCCAAGGATTTCCATATGGCATGCCGGTTGTTCATACTACTGAAATTAATGGACAAAACTAACTTGGGTCTGGGACGTGGGTGCCGATCAGAAGGTCAGCAGTTCGAATCCCCGTGACGGGGTGAGCTCCCGTTGCTCGGTCCCAGCTCCTGCCAACCTAGCAGTTCAAAAGCACGTCAAAGTGCAAGTAGATAAATAGGTACCACTCCGGCGGAAAGGTAAATGGCGTTTCCGTGTGCTGCTCTGGTTCGCCAGAGTACACCAGCTCCCTCGGCCAATAAAGCGAGATGAGCACCGCAACCCCAGAGTCGGTCACGACTGGACCTAATGGTCAGGGGTCCCTTTACATTTACCTAACTTGGGTCCATTAATTCCAGTGGGTCTACTCTTGGTAGAATATAGTTGGTTTAGTGTTCAGCCCGAAAGCTATGGTACAGAGATGGAAAAATAATGGTGGGTGAGCATTTATCCCCACAAAAAATCATGACAACAGGTTGCAAGCTGTTTCATGAGCTCTGCTATAGAGTCAGACATTAAAGCCCATAGCTTCATTCTGCAAATCAGGCATAGGCAAACTTGGCCCTCCAGATGTTTTGGGACCTACAACTCTCATCATCCCTAGCTAACAGTGGTCAGGGATGATGGGAATTGTAGTTTCAAAACATCTGGAGGGCCAAGTTTGCCTATGCCTGCTGTAAACTAAAAAAAGAAAATAAAAGCTGAATACTCCCGCATCCAACAGTGTGATCCCCCACCCAGGTTATTTTAGCTGAGGCCAGAGCTCATGATGCAAAAATCCATGCTCATGCTTGCTCCAATATTCAGCACATGTTTTCAGCTGTCGTAATACATAAACAAAGGCCCATTTGGGTGACATTTATTCCTTCCTTGTCACTCTGTCAAATTGATCGCAGATATCATTGCCATGGAGAGACATAACACATATTTTTTTTAAAAAGAAAAGCTGGGAGGCTCATTTGTGAAAGGGCATGGGCGGATTTATTTGTTTGAGCTTTGAAGGTACCTCTAGTGTGATTGGCTGGTCCTCTGTTAACATACATCAATCACTGCTCGAAGAGAAGCTGCTGGTGTCCTTCAGCAGCCATTTTACACACAATGCAAATATAGCAGCTCTGCAGCCCAATCCTGTGATCTTCCCTCTCTGATCACTTTCTTCTTCTTCTGCGCGATGCTCAGCCCTGCTGCAATGATCAAACATCAGCTCCAGATCAAGGCCAAGGAAGGCAGCTGTGAACTAAGATGCACAAACTTTCTACATATGCTTACCTCAGCAAACGTTCAGTGTGATCTTTTCACATCAGGAGTTGCTGTTGCCCAGCGTGAGCACAAATGCCAGCAATAAAGGTCTCTCCTGCTTCCCTCCAATTGGGAGGTCAAGGTCATCTTAATGTTTCTGTTTGCTTACACAGGTACTGAAGGATCTCAGGCCACTCAAGCCTTACAACAGAAACCCACATCAATTTGTAAATGTCAACCAATTACACAGTCGCCCCAGAAGCACGTTAACTGAAGAAGTTCCCAAATGAAGGCTCAGGAAATCCTCTCACTTTGATTACTCAAGGTCTCAATTTGAGATGTATATTGGTAGTCTTTTTTTATTGCTAATACGATATATGGGTGATGCAAGCACACTTATTCAAAATCCCTGGGCAGAAACAGAGCTCTCTCTGCATACATCATTGCATTGTCATGCCATTCCGTTACTCCCTTAACACAGAAGTGCACATTTCATGAAACCCAGATATGACATTTAGGACAAATTCATCTTTACCCTCCAGAGCTGCAGGGCTTCTGCAGCAATTCCTGGCATCAGATGAATGAGATGCATACCTTGGCAGCAGAGACAATCACTAATGGAAAAACCAGCATTCAAATGGTGTAGTGTGGAAGCATCTAAACTGAGCCAATTAAAGCTGAAAAATGAATTCTCAGCCATGCAATCCTATGTATGTCTGCTCAGACTTTGGCCACACTGAGTTCAGTGGGACATGGCCTCAGCCAGCATAGCCCTCCCAACTCTTAAATGTTAGATTATATTTTGTTCTGATAGGAACTTGCATGGGTCAGGCACTCCCGCTCCTGATGTCTGACTCCCAGACAGGACATTTGTTGTTGTTGTTTAGTCATTTAGTCATGTCCAACTCTTCGTGACCCCATGGACCAGAGCACGCCAGGCACTCCTGTCTTACACTGCCTCCCGCAGTTTGGTCAAACTCATGCTGGTAGCTTCAAGAACACTGTCCAACCATCTTGTCCTCTGCCGTCCCCTTCTCCTTGTGCCATCAATTTTTCCCAACATCAGGGTCTTTTCCAGGGAGTCTTCTCTTCTCATGAGGTGGCTAAAGTATTGGAGCCTCAGCTTCAGAATCTGTCCTTCCAGTGAGCACTCAGGGCTGATTTCCTTCAGAATGGATAGGTCTGACCTTCTTGCAGTCCATGGGACTCTCAAGAGTCTCTTCCAGCACCACAGTTCAAAAGCATCAATTCTTTGGCGATTAGCCTTCTTTATGGTCCAGCTCTCACTTCCAAACATCACTACTGGGAAAACCATAGCTTTAACTATATGGACCTTTGTCGGCAAGGTGATGTCTCTACTTTTTAAGATGCTGTCTAGGTTTGTCATCGCTTTTTCCCCAAGAAGCAGGCATCTTTTAATTTCGTGACGGCTGTCACCATCTGCAGTGATCATGGAGCCCAAGAAAGTAAAATCTCTCAGTGCCTCCATTTCTTCCCCTTCTATTTGCCAGGAGGTGATGGGACCAGTGGCCATCTTAGTTTAGGACAACATTACTCTGGGTCAAATCAGACCACAGATTTATTGATTACAAATGTAGAGGTTTTACATAGGCATTGAGTATAACTATTGAACCAGTAGCCCACCTGCTGGGGTATCCCTTTTCGGGGTCAGCCCAGGGCAAAAGGGTGCTAGGACAAGGAGGAAAGCCTTCATGGGACTGCTGCCTTGAGGAATGCTATGGCCTTTGCCCCTGCCTGGGTGCCTGGACAGGAGCAACTTTAATGGGATACTCCTGCAGTCTGGAAGGGCAGGCAGAAACTCCACCAAAGACTAAAATGTATCCAAAGCCTAAACTGCAAAAGTTGTGACAATTGCTATGAGGTAGGCAAAACCAAGGGACAAAACCAATTAGTCTGGATATATTAGGCATTCACTATTAGATTAAATTCCTTGCTTCCAAGAAGCTCATTGTGGCACTCGTGGCTCTTCCTCTCACCATGTTCTCTTTACATCAACCCTCTAGTTAGGCTGAGAGACAGTGATTGACCCAGGATCTCTCCATGAGTTTCATGGCAAATTAAATCCTGGTCTCCTGGGTCCTAATCCACTTAAAAGCTCTCCACCTTATTGCACATTCTATAAAAAATATGTAGAAGTCAACAAACTGGGGGAGGGGAACAATATCTTCCCTTTAGTCTGGAAATTTATGTTAGCACCTTTAAATCTAACTAAGGAAGGAAGCATATGAGCAATAGTAAATAATTTCTGAAGTGCCCCATCTTCCACACAGGAGTGATTTAGGATGTTCAATATCTGTGCATCTTCGCCAGCTGTTGCTCATAATTTCTGGCACAGTGCAAAAACTTATGACAGCAGTCGCAGTTCTTTCACCACACTGGTTGCAAACTGAAAGAACTGTGTCTCTGCATAAACTTATAATGGGTGACACATGAACCAGTACAACAGCACAAACTGGTAAAAACAGCTAAACATTTGAGCACCTAAAGGCAGGACTTAAGTTCTGTACCAGCAAACACCAGGTGACTTGGTAATACAAGCCATCTTGACTATGAGTCCTGGAAGACCCGCTCACAGTCTTGAAGGCCTTTTTCTGTCTGGCCTGGAAGGACCAGCAACAGAAGCTGAGGCTGCTGAAGAGGCCAGAGGCCATCTTGGCTGTCGCTTACTGCTGGTCCAGGTTGTTGAGCCTGAATTTCCATAGCCACCGGCCAACACGAACCACCATTGGCAGGATTAGCAGCAGCAGATATGTTCTATGGTTTTAATAATATTTTATTTTCTTGTTAAGTATGTTACTTTGAATGCATACTTATTTGACTCCCTTCAATAATATTGTGTTCTGGATTGTTTTATTTGATGTTTTAATGTGTTGTAAACCACTTGGAGATTTTTTTTGGTAAAAATATAAAGTGGTATAGAAATATAAACTAAAATAAACTAAGCTAAGCTAAGCTAAAATAGCCCTGAATGGGATTGGTGCAGCCTATTATGATCCCTGGCCTGCCATTGTCCCCATTCTTTTAGACAGGGACAGGGGACAATGCCAGCCTGTTGCAGAGATTTATGCTGATTGGAATTTTGTAAAAGGGGGGAAAATGTCATGGACATTTTTAATTACATGTTAAATGACAGGTGTTTTAAGATACAATAATTTACTATTAAAATACGTTTCAATGTGTTATTTATTTAAATAAATAAAATGAAGATTAACAACATCAGTTTGCATGGTTAAAGTGCCCTTTTGAGTACACACACAGAGGGAGTGAAAAAAGCCCTGGCCTACTCTTGAGTAAAATTTGGTGGATACCAACCTTACAACCAGTCTAGGGGGTGAATTGGCTGTCAGCTTCCTCCTGCTCCTCAGCCTCAGCACTGCCCCTTCTAGAACTCAGCAGGGAAGAGGTTGGGAGCAAGACTAGAATTTGTTGGCTCTGCCTGTCATTGGTTTTGGCACCCCCTACTGTTGGGCTCCCTGCCTCCCTCCCTACTAGTTCCAATGGGCACCAACCTCCACCGGGTTTAGAGCATGTCCAAAATGCCAAGAGCATGATGTAGGCTGTTATTGTCCCCCTTCTTATAAACATTTCCACACTGACATAGTTGAGCAAGCACAGAGCTTGCTTTTTATGTGCCTGGGGATGTTTTGCCATCACACTATTATTTTCTGTCTCCTCTTCATTTTGTCTGTATAAAAGATACATATTTAGGGAAGTCATTGAAAGTCTTTCCCTATTAAGTTTACCCCTCGTTGTCAGTGTTGCCAATATGCTTGGTGCCAGCCCATGTCCAAAACGATCTGCTGAGTTCAGTTTGTATTTCAGGCAGGAATGTCACATCGTGTGAAATGTGGGGGAGGAAAAGACCACAAAATGCTGGTGTCAGAAAAGTGGGGGGGGGGGGACTGTGAAACTCCAGAAACCTCTGAGAGGGGGGGACTTTCCTATTCTATAAAGGGGTGGGGATTACAGACAGTCATTTTGAATCCCCAAGGAAGTACCATGCAAAACTAGAATTACTCAGAGCTTTGCCTCATTATGAAAATCAGATTTTGAATAGGTATGATCTTGGCCATTTTCAGTGACAGATCACATAGAAATGAGCTTGATGGTGCAGGCACTATTTTACTCAAGTGGTACATTCGTTTGCAAAAATAATCAATAATAGTTGGATGCAGTGGAGCAAGCAAGCCAGGTGATACATGTAACTAATTTTTAACTCCTTGTTTTGCACAAATCTCATTGATTGCCCTTGACTAGGGGACTATCTAACCAAGCAACTTTTTGTTTCAACCTTCTTCAGTTGGACCAGTTCTGCTTTAGAACAGAATCACTCCTTTTGAATGCATAATGAGCACTGCTGGATCAGACCAGAGGCTCATCCACTCTACGTCCAGCATCCCATTTTCACAGTGGCCAACCAGATGCCCATGGGAAGCCCACAAGCTGGACATGAGTGCGAAACCACTCTCCCCACTTTCATTCTCCAGAAACTGATATTCAGAGACACAGTAGTAGCTAATGCCCATTGGAACTGGTAGCATGGAAGAATGGAAGCCATTAGGAGCTGAAGCCTGAGCCAATGACAGGCAGAGCTCAGTTACAGAGCTTCTGAAGTTAGTTCCTGAGTCTTACATAGATGTAGATGTAGATAGAGTTGTGGAATTTGAGGGGGAAAGGGTACCAGAATGAGTTGTGCCTAAAACATACACAGCATGAGAAAAATACATTGTGTGGTTTCTGACCCATGCTTTGAGTAAACGGCTACAGCAGATCCAATATACCAATCATTGCTCCATATATATTGCTTGCAAAGATTTCAGTTCATAAACCCTGCAATGTTTTTGCCATAGGCAATGATGGAAGAAAGTTTATGTTCTTAATTCTTAGCCTTGAAAAGTCATTCAGGCAAAAAATAAAGTTTTTGCTGATTAGTGGGCAGGATAAAGTGAAGAAATTGAATTCTAGTATCACACTAACTTGGTATCATTGCTTTTTAATTTTGTTAACTTTTGAGATCAGGCAGAATCAATATGTGCCTTTGAACCTGAAGAATGGCTAGGAACAAGAATCAAGAGTTTCAGACAATGTACCCAATTAGCTTTATCTTGGGTTTAATACATTTATGAAGCATTTGGAATGGAGTTTTATCCAATGTTTCAGTGGCACTCTACCAAGCTTAGGAAAGGACTTTCCTTTAGGATCTGCTCTGCATCAGCAATAGCCCAAGTTGGAAATAGGACAAGAGAAAGGTCACATTCATACCATTCATTTAAAGCAGTATCATACCTCTTTAAACAGACAAAGCTCCCCCACAAGAATTACAGGAAGTGAAGTTTGTCAGCGGTGCTGAGAGTTGTTAGGAGACCCATATTCCCTCAAACTGAAAGTCTCTGTGGGGTCTAGTAAAAAAAGATGGTTCAATTTCATATCATTTATTAATAAAGATGGATATTTTATCTAGCTTATGCTGAAGTATGAGCTAGAGGAAAATACAGCCAAGAAGATATAGCACACCCATGCTCTTTTATTATATCTTAAATTTTATTCTTATTCTATCTCTATTTAGATGGTCTTCACATAATAAGAAAGCAAGGGAATTAAGAGTAACATTTTTGTTTGACCCACCTTGCATTCAACAGATTGGTAATTACTGTGGTATTTTCTTTTCCAAATATCTACAAGTATTTGTTCAACCTCAGTAAAATTCTGCTGTACTCATGTTCCATGTCTGCATTGGTGCTGCAATGTGCTCCCCCACCCCTGGTATCTTATCTCTGTTTTCTCTTTCTTATTTTCCTTCTGCAATTTTTTTTTTCCATTTTCTTGTAATTTTAAAACTTCAATAGAAATTATATGGAAAATAAGAATAATAGTGTTTTAAATGTATGGTGTGTATGTGACCAAAGAGGAGTCACATGTCAACTATCCCTATTTATAAGGGGCAATCTCTGTTTCATAGTGTAGTTCACCTAATCCCATCCATGCAATGAAAGAAGGGATAAATGGGTTGTACTGGCAGCCAAACTCCTCTGACATTTGTGTGTTCTGAGAGAGCAAGGAGGAGTTAAGCCTGTGTGTGCATAGAACACAGATGAGGAAGGATCCTGGCCCAATCAAATTCCTTCCTGATGTGGAAGAACTCTATGCATGTGCGTTGAAACATGCATAGAACTCTATCCCATGTGCTTTGAGCAGGCAGGTGTCTGGGGATGTGGGGTTGCCCACGTTGCCTCACAACTCACTCTGTACTGCCTTTCAGATACTGTATGTGGAAGTGACCTTGTGTTTGGCAAATCGGTATCCTCGTTTTGCACCCAATTTCTTTCCTTTGCTTTTGGAAAGTGCTTGATTAAAAAGAAAATGTAAATGTAAGTTGCTAGAGTTGCCATGGTTGGGAGTTCAGCCCCTCTTTAGCAATTAAATCTCCGAAGACAACACAGCTTGTCTTTACTGCACCTGTGAATGCACTTGCACAGCCGGTAATTTTGCACTCTAAAGCTGAGGCGGTTGATACTGATATGATAATAATGTTGTATGTTTTTCCCCCCTAATAGACATTTAACCCAAAGAACACCTTATTGGCTTTTAAATCAGTGGAGGACAGGCTTTTGGAGTAAATGAATACAAAAAAGGGTACAGTGTATCCTTCAAGAAAGCGTAGTCATGGCGGCTTCCCTCAAAGAAACTGCTTTAACTGTATAGTGTGGATTTGACCACAGTTCCCTTTTCAGGAGAAGGGGCAAAAACAGGAATTAAGCAGTTCTGCCTTTCTTTGTCATACATTAAAATTTCACATTAATTATTGAACAGTGAGCCTATCATTTCCTTCCTCTTCTTCTGAACATATCTGAAAAAGATGCTTTTGTTGCTCTCAGCATGATCCTGATTAGCTTTCCTGACATGGTCCCAGAAGTCTGCGCTGCTCATCTATATTGGACTTTGGCAAGTTCTCCTTCCTTCCTTTTCTTAAATGTGTGTGTGTGTGTGTTTGTAGTTCCTTGTTATGCCTGTTGTGCAGTCATACTGGCTTTTAAAAATGTCTCCCATTTTTCTTTCTCCTGGAATTGTTTGCAATTGTGCCTTTACTAACTTTAGAATTGCCAAACTATTGCTAAGACAATAGCTACAGATACATTGTTCTTTCCATAATTGCAGGCCAATACAAGTTCATCGATTCAGGAAGACTGCAGTACACTAGCTCAACACAAAGCTTGATATCTGGCAGAAAAGAGTTTCAATTTCCACTCAGTCATTTTCAGAAATATAGTGTTTCAACAGTACAGACTGGCAGCCCTTTCTGTGGATTTTAACCAACAAATATGCCAGTTCCTAATTTTATCTTCCCACTGAAGACTCATCTAAGTTCACCCCATTTGATCGGCCCTTTTTGTGTGTGTCTTTAAATAATCTAATGGAGACTTTCTACACTTATCAGGAGGGTATCTGAGGAGCCTACTTTGGCCTTTGGCCTTGCCCGCCACTGTCATGTGATGCCTGGAAGGTTACCTAGAAGAGAATGTGGCTCTCAGGTTGCAAAAGTTTCCCCACTCCTAATGTAAGGACTGTAACTTGTCTGCTTCTTGTAAGTACAGGGATTTTTTTTTTATCCCATTGCATTGTTCTTGTAGTGGGTGGGTAGAAGAATGCAGAATATAAAAAAATATAGCACAAATGAATATTATTTTCAAAACAGCAACAACGCTAAAACAGGATGGAGATGCAGAAGATTTTTCCCTCATGGGGTGAGCTAGCATTTCTTCCATCTTCACACCATAGTTGAAAGACATACAATAATGATTCACTCATCAGTCTTGCCATCTGGGATGCCGTTTGCCTTCATATAGATACACACAAATCTCAGTGTGAATGCACATGGACACCATAACCAGCAACCTCTCTGATGCTGAGCTGGACAAATGTATTGGCAGGGCAGCTATGGCAATGGCAACACTAAGATGAAGGTCCCCCAGGCTTGTGTGTTGAACACGCTGCTTTATGGAAGTGAGTCATGGACAACTTACAACCATCAGGAGCGATGCCTCGATGCCTTCCATATGTCTCAGGAAGATTTTGGGCATCACACGGCAGGACAGAGTCTCAAAGAAAGATGTACTTTTCCAAGCACACATCCCCAGCATGTTCACACTTTGTCTTAGTGACATCTATGTTGGCTTCTTCATATACACAGAATGGAAGATGGCAGGATCCCTAAGGATGTGATTTACAGGGAGCTGGCTTCAGGTACCAGGCCTGTTGGCGCACTAACTCTGTGTTATAAAGATGTCTGCAAGCATGACATGAAGATGCTGGAACAGTTGTAGAAACATGCAAAAGGTTGGACTCAAGGAGTCCATTTGCAATTCAAATTCTAATCTATTTCCAAAGAGTGTAATACCAAGCTGATATTTCTACCATATGCTATTTGTGTTAATCATTTTTTGTTTGTTTGTAAAATTTGGTATAACTATGTGTGTTTATGTGTTTCTCTTATACTTTTCTTCTTGACTCCAGTTTTGGCTGCAAGAAAGATCTTTTTTCAGTTTTCTCTGGTTTCAGAAGGCCATTTTCTATTTTATCAAGTGAAGCTTATGGGAACACCAATTAGAGCCAATTATAACTTCATTTACCTTTAACCCACAGTGCAGTGACCTTTGTATTTAACCCAATTGGAATGCTGCCATGCTAGAGTTAATTGTTAAATTTGCTGATCCATGGTAGGAAAGGGTCGGAGTAATGCCCATTTAGAAAACAGTGGATTGTAATTGAATACCTCCTCTTCCCAAGGGGCAAAAGCCAGTGATCCTTTCAACATTTTGCAGTTCAGCTGCCTTGTTAAAGAAAAACAAATGTGAACCTTTATCTACAGTATATACCTTTCCCCCTTATATTTGTGCAGTTGTACATTATCACTGAAGCTCCCTTGGCAAATAGAGCATCTGCAGATTGAGCTCCTCAAAACAGTGCAATCCTATGCTCCTAGAAGTGACTTTAAGTGTGCATAGGATTGCAACCAAAGAGTCCCAACAGGCAAAGGTAGAACTGCTCATGAATGGGCAACTTTCCAGGTTTTCTTTAAATATTTCCTATTGGATTCACTAGGCTGCAGAACAAAGATACTAAGTAGAACTACTAGTGCTATATACTGACTTCTAAACATCCATAGAGTTCATATTTCGTTACTGCTGTAAAGCTGCACATATCAGGATATGTGGATGACTTGCACTTCCACTGCAATGTGCAAAGTGAGAACCAAGGGATATTACCCATGGAAAGATGTGTGAGCTTTAGTCTACAAATAGATTTCAAACATATCCTCAATGTGGAAATTTTTTATTTCACCATTACAGAAGAAGCTCTTTTGCCAGTTCTTATAACTGTTATAAGTTACACATATAACACATATGCAAGTCCTGTGAGTAAAGTCAGTGAAGTAATAAAATATAATATTATTTATTTATTTTCTGTGCAGTACTCATGTTACATGTATGGTGTTCATTTACACAGATACTGCTTTGAGGCCTTTTACAACCATGCAGTGTATAAATTTTAGGAAATAACGGAAAAGTTACTGAAGTTTGAGTATATTAGCTTGTTGGTTGCTTACACTATACGGGCTGTTACGACCCTCTAGCGACATTGTTAGTAGCTGGCAGGCTGCCAATCCCTGCTGATATAGGGCCAGTGTTGTGATTTGCTAATTGCAGCATTAAGGCAACCTATTGCAGACAGTGTGTGTGTTCTGTCTGGGCCGGCTTAAGGTATATAAACTGGGCCAAGTGCCCCTGTTTGTCATTCTTGTTCTTGCTCCTGATGTTCCAATAAATGCTTTCTGAGCTGAATCTCAGTCTTGGGTCATGCCTGAATCCACCTACACTTCACAGGTAACTCCCCAATTACATGGGGGCTACGTTATGAACCCCCACAAGCATTAGTGAAATGGCATAAAATGGGGAGTTGCCTGTAGGAAGAAGCTTTCCCAATCTCAACTGAGGAAGCTGTGCTTTCCTTTGGGGCTTGGCTGACCAGGTGCTCACATTTCCAGGTACCGGGCACCATGCATGTGCCCAGTCATGTGTAAATAGAATGTACATAAATGGGGAGTTGCCTGTAAACTGGTGGTATTAGGGCTATGTAGGGAGTGAATTAGGGATGCAGGTGGCGCTGTGGGTTAAACCACAGACCCTAGGACTTGCCGATCAGAAGGTCGGCGGTTCGAATCCCTGTGACAGGGTGAGCTCCTGTTGCTTGGTCCCAGCTCCTGCCAACCTAGCAGTTCAAAAGCACGTCAAAGTGCACATAGATAAATAAGTACCACTCCGGCAGGAAGGTAAACAGCGTTTCCATGCGCTGCTCTGGTTCACCAGAAGCGGCCTAGTCATGCTGGCCACATGACCTGGAAGCTGTACACTGGCTCCCTCGGCCAATAAAGTGAGATGAGCGCCGCAACCCCAGAGTCAGCCACGACTGAACCTAATGGTCAGGGGTCCCTTTACCTTTAGGGAGTGAATTAATTTGTTAATCATATAAGCTTCAGGAGTTTGGTGTGGAGATCACCTTCCTGTCTTCTCTGTACACATTTCCCCATCCTCTCTGTTCACATTCCCACCCTTCCACCTTTATCTTCATCAATCTACCATCATCTCACACCCGCCCCTCCAAGTTTCTCCCGCTTTTCCATTATAATTTGCATGGTTGCACCCCAGAAGTTTAAAATGGCTCCTGAATGGAAATGTACACAAAGTCTCTCTTTAAAATGCCTCTTGAGTATTTTTAAACATTCCCTGAATTGCAGTGCACCTGCTAGATAATGATGGCACTTGCTGCATTGGTCTATTTATAAATATTGGTGGCGGCAATGAAATAAGCTACTCCTGACTATGTCCACAGGAGGACTGAGTGGCAGAAAAATTACATTGGAGAAATGTTTCCGACATTGCTACAACATTTTCTGAGCAGCCTACCATTTTAAGCAATTTTAAAGACCCTCTCTATTTATAGAGTTAAGGAGAAAACGATAGCACCCATGCCAGTTAGGCAATTAAAAGGTGTTGCGGGTAGAGCAAAACTGACACAGTTACCAAGGGAACAGGTTTTTATTGTCACATGCTTATGTCTGGATAAGCATTTGGAAAAGGGATTCTGCACAAGCAGGAAGCTAGGTAGGAACTTTGCTGAGCAGGTGAACAGGAAACAATACTTAACTCAGGAAGCAGTCATAGACTCATATCCCTCACATAATCATCACCCTAGTAAAAGTAAGATAGTGCTATATGAACAAGGCTTCAGATTGTGATAGTACCAGGTGAAAACAAAAACCAAAAGATTAGAGACCACACTTGGAAAATTATCACACATTTCTTATGACTTAAAAGAATTTTCAAGTTGCAAAGCATCATACGTACGAAAAATAGTTGCTGGCTTAGACTCCATCTGCACTATACACTTGAAGCAGTATTATACCACTTTAAACAGTCATGGCTTCCTGCAAAGAATCATGGGAGCAGCAGTTTGTTAAGGGTTCTGCAAGTTGTTAAAAGACCCCCATTATCCCCACAGACCTACAATTTCCAGAGTTCCCTGGGAAGAGGGACTTATTGTTAAACCATTCTGAGAACTTCAGCTCTGTGAGGAGAACAGATGCCTTGTCTCCTCCACTCATTTCTGCAAAGAACCTGCTCCATAGAGGTTGTTCCTTCCCTATTTCACTTCCTTGTTGGGGCTTGATTCAGGGAACCTAAGGCCAAAGTACATGAAGACAGTCCTCTATTTGAAAGTCTACTTGACAGGCTGCCTGGTCCGACTAGCAGGAGCCTTAAAGTTGTCCCTCAACACTTAGCACCAGGACAGCAGATTTCCATTGACTTTCATAACAGAAAGTAACTGCAGCCTATCTGAACAACAATCATTTTGCTGGTTATAGAATAAAAGTCCAATATGAGCAATATGAGGCCTACGTTCATTTTAACAAGCAAAATATCCTTACCTCTACAAAATCACTGGCCCATATGTTCTGGATGGAATCACCAGTTTAGATGGGGAACAGGAATACAGAGACTTGTTATTTTGTTGTAAGGCTCTGGTGTCACTTGTCATCCCCGACAGCAGCAAAGGAGAAAAGATCAGAGTAATATTGGACTATATCCAGCACTGTCCTTCCACCACTCTTTGATCCAGTGAAGGGTTTTGTGAATGCAGCAGGATGAGAGAACGACTTTTGCCAATTTCCCCCTTTCCTCTGCAACTCCTATGTGGAAACAGATGAGGGAGGGGTGAAGAGTGCAGAGTTCAGTGTGGTGCTGGCACGAAAGAGACAATGTGCTGCTCCTTTGTCCCACCCAGCTCACTGCACCTTCCACCTTCCCCTCTCTGTAAACAGCAGTGACACTTGCCAACAGGAAAAGAGACACGATACTCTGCCTTGCCTGTGCCACCCCATTGGCACGTCTGTTAAAGGTAAGAGCCATACAGAGGGAGAACAGGGCCTTAAAGTTTCCTGTTAACAGCACCTGGACTGCAGACTGAACTGGCTCGCAGGTCACCAGGCTACAGCCTCTGCCAGTATGGTGAAATGCATTGTATTTCTTCTCTTTTAAAATTATAGCAGTTATTTGTAAATTTGCATCCATCTGGATAAATCAGCACATACGAGCTGTCATTCTGTGCCCTCTTTTGTTCTCTTTTTTTTGACAGCGTGCAAGTAGCCACCCTAACAACTGTTGATTAGGGACTCTGAAGTATAGCACCCACAAATAAGCGGTGGATCTGCTGCAAAGTCACAATACAGAAACGTTTGGAAATTCTCCAATTACCTGTGGAAGACTCCTACACAAGATAAAAAAGTATGCTGCTTTTTTCTTCAAACGGCTGTCATTGTTTCATAGATGTGGGTGTGAAGCCTGCAAACAAACACTGTGTAAGGAGCCAGTTTAAAGGGTTTTTTCGTTTCTTTTTAACATACAGAGCATGATTAAAAGATAAATGTTATTCCTCATTATAAGGAAGAACTAAACTGTAAAGTCCTTCAAAAGCCTAAAAGCAACCAAAAAGCTGTTTTACATAGCACGACCCACAAAGTTAATAAACTATAACATCAATACATTTTAATGTTATGTTATGTAAGGAGAAGGATGAAACAGTTGCATGCTCATAGTGTAGGCAGATCAGGAGAAATTGGATGCTTGCTCAGTTATTAATTCCTCATTCAGGAAAGTCAGGTTCCTGGATTGCCTTAAAACTGTAGCAGCTAGTTACCAATTGCTCTCTTCCCAATCTTCCATTCCTGGAAAAGATGCTTGAACAAGCTTGTACTAACACCAGGCACTCTAGAATACCCATCAGCTTTCTAGGCTACTGTGACTCTGGGCTCTAGCCTGAGTATTAATTAATTAATTAATTAATTAATACCCCACGCAAAGAGTCGGACACGACTAAACGACTAAACAACAACAACAACAACAACTTCTTCCTAAAGGAGCCCAGCAACTAACAAGTGGGAAAGCAATAAAAACAATCCCAGAGACTGTGCTTGTGGTATTTGTATGTGATTGTCAACCAGATTTCTGCAGTAAAAATAATCCCTCCTGTTTTCAATCTGCAGGGAGAGAATTGCTGATGTAACCAAAATAGCACCGCCCATGAACAAGAGAGAAGTATCAGCAGATTCGGGGGAATATCAAGGTCAGCTGGAATTCATAATATTATAAAAACCTCTCCCAAGTTCAGCAAGAATGCCTCCCCTATAATGGACACCTGAAATGGATACCTCACTCTGCTTCCCAAAGTGAGACCCCCCCAGTTTCAATACCTGAAGTGGGTACCTCAGTTTGTTGCAGGATCATGATCTGGGCCCGTGGGGCAGGGCTGTGGTTATCTTCCATTCAGCCTTGGTAGAGGCAATAGTGAGATACAGAGCATGTCAGGGGGAAGTGATGAAAGCAGCTTTTCTGTTTTGCACTGACAATGCTGGATTCCCATTGACCATGGATCGTTCTCTTCTGGGAACCTCTTCTCTCAGCCCCACAATGTTGCTGTGGAGAACACACCAGAGGGAAACAGAATGGTGGCATCTCAACAGGGCATCTCAACAGAGCATCATTTGGCTTCCCTGCATGCACAGGCCACATGGATGTGAGCTGCAGGAGGACCATGGGCAGCCAGGCTGCCTCCCTTGTCCCAGGAAGAAGGCACTTGTCCTGGACAGGCATGGGTAGAAATGTGGCTTGAGAAGATAAGTCTTGACAGATGATATGGCACACCCAACGCATTACATTGAATTGCGGATTGTCACAGCGTTAAGCACCCAGGCCAAGAGTAAATGAAACAAACACACAGCAACAGCAACAGCTGCAACAACACCAGCCAATATGAGGTATCCTGGTCTACTGTAGCAATGGTGTTTCTGTGTGTGTAATTTTTTTGAATAAAATAACAAGAAATTGAAAGTTGATTTCCTAAAAATGAAATAAAGGTCTGCTGCTTTTTGTTATCCTAACACAGGCTTCCTCAAACTCAGCCCTCCAGATGTTTTTGGCCTACAACTCCCATGATCCCTAGCTAGCAAGACCAGTGGTCAGGGATGATGGGAACTGTAGTCTCAAAACATCTGGAGGGCCGAGTCTGAAGAAGCCTGTCCTAACACAAATAAAAAAATAAATATTGTGACCCTAAGTTAATAACTAGGTTGGGTGCCCCAGAGTCCCCTGATTTCCATGCCCATGCACAGGTGGCAAATAAATGTCAAAATAAGGAGAAAGAGAAGAAGATGAGAGCCTGTTCATGGACCCAGCCAATCATAGCCATGCTTACTTGACTGTATGTTTCTTTGTGTGCATCTTAGGTCTAGAGATATCATTCACTTCAACAACATATGCACATGGGCACAGTTTGGTATGAAACATTTTGCTGTAGGCCTCACATGTTGACCGGTAACATGCTACTGGATCTTGTGATTCCCCCCCCCTCCTTTTCCTTTGAAATCAATAATCCTGATTATGATTAATCAGAGGAAATTAGACGCATATAGGTACTCAGGGACTACACAAGTGATTCTGTTTTTTCTTGATGAGGTGATCTGAAAGTATAGTAAAGGGCAGTTTGTAATCATACATCTTTTTTCTGGAAGTTTTTATTCCTTTCTGTTCCCTTTGATCTTGAGAAAACTATCTTTTACAAATGCCTAGCAAAACTGTAAATGCATGGCAAACAAATCTAGGATCACTGCAAAAGACATAGATGCACACAAATATGTGCACTTGTGCATTATTTAATTTCTAAAATATACTGAAGAGCGAATTGCCCAGTTGGTCCATATTATTTAGACCCCTGCTCAGTATGAATGTCACATAGTGTGTTTGTGGCACATCAGAAGAGACAAGAGAAAGAAAAATGAAAAATGAAAATATGCCTAGTGAGGTGTGAAAGTGAGGCAAAGGCCAGCTCAAACTAATGGATTAATCACAGGATTTATTAAAGTTTGTGAAGAGAATAAATAAATATTCATCAAGAATGTTGATTTGCAGCATTAAAAAGGAGCAAATCAAGCCTATTATATTATTGAACTCAAAATATAAATGACATGAATGATTTGTAAGAGGAGTGCTATATCATACTTTGGTGAAGTTTAGTAGTTTCTTTGTTTCTTTGTTTCTTTCTTTGTTTGTTTGTTTGTTTGTTTTTAACACATTGGAATGCCAACAGGGTAGAGTGAAGGTGTAATAAATATCTGTGGAAAGAATGCTGCAAACCACTTGGGTGATGCAAATTCATTCTCTGCCAAATTCGTGCTTAAGCCTTCTCAGCACTACTGATTTGTGTCAACTCTGGATATTTTCAGGATTCCAGATTCATTTGGATCTTTCCTTCACATCTGAGGGTCTTTTATATTCCTCCCTTTTTCGTATTATGTGTAAAATCTGCACATCCGGAAAAGGGTCCCTAAATATCTCCTTGAGCATTCTACTCCTCTGAGATCAAACAAAGTCTTCTCCCTCTTCCTTGCTGCACATGGACCAGCCAAGAAGGGCGTCTGTTTAGGCTGGCCACATGCTGTATATCACAGATGCCAGGCTTCTGATTTGAAGGGCTGTTAGTCCTCTGTTCAAATGAGTCTTCTGTTTGATGGGCTACCTAGTCTAAGTCCAATCTGAAGAAAAAGATTCCTCGGAAAGGAGAACAGGGGCTTTAAAGCTGACAATGAACATTAGCAGACTGATCAAGCACCCAGGCTGAGCTAGTGAGATGTATTGTGGCTATATGTAAATTATAGAAATTATTTCTAAATTTGCACCTCTAGTACATAAAAATTACCACATGCAAATGTGTCTTTTGCCCTTTTTGTTGATGTGTAAGTGGCCACCCTACTTCAGATGCTCCTGTACACGTTTGGCAAATCCCACACATCCAAGATGCTTAGGCTTCATAGGAAGTCCAATGGCCACATGGGATGCTCAAGTATTCAGGATGCATACACAGCAGCACCCAAGACCTTGGTGGGCTTTGCATCAATCCCTCTCCCTGTTTGTTCCCCATTCCCAATCAGCAGTGTCATTCAGAGGGTGGACATGCATAGTACTTGATGCTGGGTGGAACAAAACCAAACTTCTAAGTCTTTCGTCTGTAACCTGCATACAAGGAACGCCAGAATTCTTAAAAGCATCTTCACGTGGAACATTACAAGATTGATATAAGAATTCCACCTCGTGGATATTGCTAACATAAGAACTAAATAGATTGTATCTCCTGGTCAATCTGCTGGACTCTAATTTCAAATAAATCATGCACGCAGAATGAGTTTGCACAAGTACCTCTTCAACCATCAAGGGATATGCAAATCATGAAAGTTCATCTCATTCCATGTATGGATCTCTCTTGCTGGCTCAGTATGCATTGACTTTTCTCTTACACACACACAAACACACCTAATTCCACAAAAGAAGCAAATACTGTGTTGAAAGAACAAATAAGGGACAACTACATCGTGGTCATGCAATGTTTTTGTTGTTGGGAGAATAATTACCAAGGCGATAATTATGAAAATGCACCTGATAAATGCTTACATTCTATTTGGTCAAAGACCCTGTGGGTGAGCCCTCTCTTGTAAGATCTACACTCCCCAACTGCCTTCCACCACATTGCCTAGGCATTGGCCACAAAAGAAGAACAGATGTACTAGAAGGGAAAGTTGAGTGTGGAGCAGCTGGCTTATCTCATGCTCAGGGTGCCACATATTTTATGACCTTAGACTCAGTTGCCACCTGTCAAATATTTTCACTGGTCTCTTTCAACTAGAGTCAGTGCTACCAATTTCTCAAAGATCATGGCACTATCTGGACGAACATTGAGGTTGCATTACTCACCATGAGTTTGATTTATATTTTGATGGCAAAACAACTATTGGCCCAATCTAGAGTAATTGATCTTTAAAGTGCATCATTTGTCATCGTCATTCCTTTGGCAAAAGTAGTGTCAAGTATAAAGAATAGTGTCGCACCCTTTGAAAGTCTGCAAGCCTATATCCATTTTCCTGGGAATAAGTCCCACTGAATATAGTGGGGCTTACTTCTGAGTTGACATGCACAGAATTGTGCTATAAATTGCACAAAATGCCTCCATGCAGGAGGCATTAAAAATAACCAAGGCCATGGTACCAAAATTAAGGGGAACAGTCATTAATTATAGAGAAATTTGAAGCCTTCTATTTAGTTAGAGAGATTGTTTTTTCTTCAGGGCATTATGCTATCATTGTTTTTGAGCCGAAGTCTCCAAAGCTGAAGTCTGTGACTGCTGCTAGGGAGAGTAGCAGTCATAGTCATCAATATTCTACAGACTAGTATTCTACAGAACATCAATATTCTACAGACTAGTATTTTCACATGAAAGCACTTTTGTGCCATTCTGATGATTGGACTTTGATGCAAGAAGCTACTACCATAATAAATTTGTTAGTCCTTAAGGTGCTGCAAAACTGTTTCTGCCATGAAAGCTGGGGACACTCTACAGCAATCTGCAATGTGTTGAGTAAACACATGGGGAGAAGCAGCAGTGAACATGCTAGGTCTGTCCCCCATTGTTGTTGCTTCCAACTTGTGAAGTGGGAGACTTCTGGCCCCATAGAGGCTCCCCATGTGTTTTAAAACCCTGATTGTTGCAAACTTCTAAAATTTGTGGAGACCATACACAATTCAGAAGGCTCCCTATTTCAGAAGTTCACCTTCCATAATTTGGAGGGTGATGGGAACTGCAATGGGTAGCCAAGGAGATCCTACTGTCTTCTACTATTTGAACTTCTGACCAAAACCATTCTCTGCTGGTTGAGCTTAGTGTTGTAAGCAGTCTCCCGACTTGGGTCTCCAGGTCTTAAAGCTCCAGCTGGTTGATATTGGGGAAGCTGCTCCTCTCAGTACTTGGATTCTGAGCCATTGATATCCATCACACAAGTACCAAACTCTCACCTGGGCCCAGTAGCAGATGGGCAGCCAGTGGACAATGGATATGGCAAGGATACACCTGTGTTACGATTGGATTGTTGTTGCAAATGGCCAAGCTGTTCTGCTTTAACTGGAACAGCCATTATTTCTTCCCTCAATAGCCTGGTTTAATCCCAGCAGATGAAAGAAAAGCCTGCTTTTGTTCATAGTGAAGGTCAAACAGAGACTGAAGAGCTGGTGATAGATTTCTAGATTCTAGTCTAGTTTGATTTTGAAAATAAAAAATGGCTCATTTTACTCTCAGGGCCAAATTAGACCAGAAGCTAGTAATTCATGGTCAGAACTCCCAAGTCTCATCCCACTGGACTTTCATTCTGAAGCAGACTCTGTATTTATCCTCATTACCACATTAGAGCCATTTAGTGTGCTTGCGTGAGAAGCTCAATAGATCTATAGGGGAATTCCCCCGCCACACATACACATTTGGTAACATCCTTGGCATAAAACAGAGCCCATGAAAAACTGCTACCTTCCTCCATTGCTTCCACAGCAAAAATGGCCCCCTATTTACCATATCCCCCTCAACTCTCAAACTCAGTGGGTGGAGGCAGATAAAGATCCGACTCACTGATTAGATTCATTTCCCCACCTTTATTTCATTTGGAGGGCTGGTTCAAATACAATTAAAATATAAAAGCTGAGAGCACAAGCAGGCTGAGCAGGTCATTGTCTCTTCCCCCACTATATCATAGAATCATAGAATTGGAAGGGGCCATGTGGGCCATGTAGTCCAACCCCCTGCAATGGAAGAAAGTTTGGATTTGATATCCCGCTTTAGCACTGCCCGAAGGAGTCTCAAAGTGGCTAACATTCTCCTTTCCCTTCCTCCCCCACAACAAACACTCTGTGAGGTGAGTGGGGCTGAGAGACTTCAGAGAAGTGCGACTGGCCCAAGGTCACCCAGCAGCTGCATGTGGAGGAGCGGGGAAGCGAACCTGGTTCACCAGATTACGAGTCCACTGCTCTTAACCACTACACCACACTGGCTCTCAGGAATCTTTTGATAAACATGGGGCTCGAACCCATGACCCTGATATTAAGAGTCTCATGCTCCACCAACTGAGTTATCTTGGGAGTATGTGTTAGTGTATGCAAATCAGTGCCCTCTTTCTTGGGTGATGTGTTTCCTCTATCTCGGTAATGCCTAAGTAGCCACCCTGAGCACCTGAGGAGAAACTAAATAAATAAACATCAAACAAACTAACTAACAAATAAAACCCTCCCTCCTCCTGTGATCCCAAATGTATGGAAGTTGGTTGTAGTCAGCCAGAGATGAATGTGAAGGGGAAGCACTCTCTACATATTCAGACACTAGAGCAACAAAGCGCAGAACCAACTGGCACCTGAGAATTTCATATGTCATTTTTTCAAGAAATCAGCTCTTTCTGGTGATAAGGGAATCAGCCCCTCCCAATGGTTCAGTTTAGTTATTCTGACAGCTCTCAGCAGAAATCACCTCTTCTGGCAGACACTTAAGGAGGTTCCCTGCAGAAAATGGCAATGTTGCTGGCACCCTGTATTTGCTGCTAGTTTTTCTTTTGTTTTTGAGGCATACACTGCTCAACTCACTGCTTTAATTCCCCCACATTTCTTTTTTTGAAAAAATATTTTTCTTTTCTTTTCTTTTTGATATTCTTGCCTCTCCTGGGCTGGTGTCTCTTTTCTTGTCTTGCTAACAGTATAAAGTGTGCTTTGTTTTTGCAGATCAATATGTTTTTGCTTTGGATGATAAAAGCGCCCTCTCATTTGATTACATTTCCTTTGTAAAATCTTCCTCCAGTCTGGGAATAATGCCCATATGCTATTTGCAAAGCAGAGCTGTGCCACAATGCTCATTTTAGGGAAAAGGCAGCAGAAATGGTGCCAGAAGAAAGCCACACTGATATGCTCAGAGTAGCCAAATGGTTGCCCATTCATCCTTGGTCTACTGTGCCTTTTCCCATGACACACAAATAGGAGGACCACTCATTGTAGTCACAATTTGTTCAGCACTTTGAGACAAGGGATGCTGAAGCTATCCAGTGCCAGATGTGGAAAAGAGCTTCAGGAACTCATAACAGCCTGCCTTAAAGGAAAAGTGAGCATTTAATCCCCCATATTCTTCTACTCCATGGATTGAAGTTCACGTGGGAGAGAAATTGCTTGGTTTCCCCGGCTGACAAATGGTTTCCATGTCCTGAGCAAAACTTTTGTCAGCCCAGGATCATGGGGCTTTGACAGCTAAAGCCACATCATTTGGGCTGCCAAAGTCCCCCAAAGCCTCTCAAAATTGGCCCTGTGGAATAGAATAGGCCTAGGTAACTCCATTACATTATACACGGCCTATTTCAAAGGATGCACGGGTGAAATTCCTTTCGATCTACTTGATAATGAAGAATCCCATCCTACCTATGTTCCTTTTCCCCTGAGGACTATTTTCTCCATAGGAAAAAGATACTGTAGATGTTCAGTTGGAGGATAAGGCCAAAGGCTGACCCCTTGGGTTCATCCATGTCAGGGGTGGCCTTTGACTTCTACCTCCTGATTTGGTCCCTGCAGCATATTTTTCTCACATCTGTGGACACTAATGACTCAATCAGTTGCTATCTGGGATAGAAAAAGGATTCTGAGACTAGCATTATTTTTCTGAAACCTCTTACTAGCTTAGAAATATTCCCCAAATTCTTTCAGTTTTTCAAAGAAGAGCTTAGGTAATTGCAAAGTAAGTCCAAGGAGAACTTTTGGATGCTGACCCATCTCTGTTTAAGGTTATTCATAATGATGACTCCTGCCAATATTTATCTCTCATCTACTGATGCTTTCATACTCACAGTGTCACAGTGAACACCTTTCTTTGTGTGATTCTGTTACTTATTAATGCTCTAACCTCTCGCTTTTTGTTTGCATGAAAACGATAAAAAAGAAGAAGAACCACACTCTATTGTATGTTCACATCTAGGGTGGGTGTCAAGTTCCACCCCTACCAGAATCAGCTTCAGTTTTCGGATGGCATGTTTTGTGGGGCTTAGCAGAAGCTGCAGCAGCGTCTTGAGCATGTCTTGGAATGTGCAACAGTTCTGGTTGGGACCAAATTATAAGGTGAATTTGCATGATTTTACACCTCCCTGATTTGAACCACACTGCCAGCAGAGCCCAACTAGTTAGATCAGGACCCTCAGAAAAATCTCAGATCACCCTTTTTCTGTACTCTTACTTTTCCATACACTATAGATCGATACATTTTTAGTGTTTCTCAAAGGCTGTTCACACATTACACTGGACATGGGTACAACTTGTGTGAACGAGTGCACACTTGTTCATCTGTGTACACAGGTACACTGACTGTACACTTCTTGACTATTACATGTGAATTTCAGGATGGATATACAGCTTGTCTATTTGTGTACACAAGTACAGGGAATGTACACCCACTGAATGTAATGTATGGATACCCCTTTCTCTACTCTAGTCCATGGTATCTGCAAGAAGGACTACGCACATTGGTTTTGCTGTTGCTGTTCAAATGCAGCATGCCTTCAGAGCGGTGGAGAATAGCACCCAGGTGATCCAATCCTTGCTATATGAGCCATATTCTTAGCCAAGGTCCACACACTGAATGAAGAAGCCTTTTCCAGAGCAGAGTTGCTGAGTTTCACCAATTTCTAAATGATGCAGTTTGCACCATAATTCTGTATCAGAGAGACTGGACTTAATTATACGTTATGCTCTCAGCAGGCAAGCAAGTTCCATGGGATCAGTGCCACCACTTTATGAGCTGGGGTTCACATTCTTGGATGACGCTTCACACAGCTGAGCCTAGCAAATGGTGCGTTTTCAACAAATAACTCTTTCACAAGGAATGACACACTGCTGTTTTTCTCTGCACATCAAGCCTTCACAACTTATGACCCACCCAGATCAACACAACACATCGGGCTATTGTTTTGAAGAAGAAAACGTTTTGCAAATGGCTTCTCTTCACTCTCACATGCTACTAACCAAGGTTTCTTGGCCTTGAAAATTTATGCTATGGTGGCAAATGGTGGGAGAAGATCAAGGATTCTAGGAATTCAGTTATTGACAGCACTTACTTACCTAGCAACCACAGCATATGTTAGCCTCTAAATCCAGATCCTGTTTTCCTCTGTGATCTTTGTGTGCATATCCTGTCATTTGACAGTTGTAAATCTACTCGATTCCAAGGACATATATCTGTGTAACCTCTGACAGCTTGTCACCTAGAACAATCATGCCACTTTTTATCACAGGGCTTCAGACAAGCGACTTTGCCTGGCTGACCTTGACTTGTGTTTGCACTTAGGAAAGGTTTAGAGAAAGTGCAGCGTTTGGTTATTATATATAAAGTAGCATGAAATGGAAGAAAAACAAGCTTGGTATGAATTTTATGGCAGCATTGTCAAAGCTGTTTAAGCAAGTTATATGGTTGGCCTGTCCTGGAGCATTTTTCCTCCTCAGTTATCATCAGGCTTCTCCCAATAAATATATATTCATAGTATAAGTGTTATTAGTTCCACCAGTTTGAAAAGTAGAAAATATGAAGCTTGTGGGTTATGACAGAAAATAATTCCCTAGTACCGTGATTAGGGTAATAAGAGGAAAATGGCAGAGAGGACATGAGAGCAATACTACCCAATAACCCTCAGTTCAGGGGAATTTGATATATATATATATATTCATAAAACTAGGATACCCATTGTGGTCTAACTGGAGTGGGGGAATGGAGTGGGGAGTGAAGCCCAGAAAAAGAAAGGGAAGGGGAAATAGGCTGTAAATTTAAATATGAACACTGCTTATTAAAGTCAGAGAGAGATTATTCATTCATCTCCCTGTTAAATGAGAACTGTAAAATTCTCATTGGCTTTAGTATACTGTACTAGGACTTTTTTTATTTAAAAAAAATGGATAGATATTTGTTCTGGAAGAAATACTGACATGCAGTAATTAGGTTCTGTGCCAGGTTGTAATTTGACATCCAAATATTGTGGCATTTCATAGAAAGGAAAAAAATCTGAAACTTTGAATTGGCAGAGAAAAACACAATCCCACACTTCCCATTGAAGCAGTTCACTTTTTTAATTAAATTGGATGACTGAGCTGAAAACAATAAGGTGCATTCCAGTGCAAACCATAGCAGCCAACTCCAGCCCCCCCAATAAAATACTTAGGGAGATGCCCTCCCCCCATGTTGATGGGCATTGCCATTCAAATGGTGTGTGTGTGTTGTGTCTTGGGCTTACCAATATTTTATTCAAGTTGGCACCCCTGATACAAACAAATGTCAAGCATTACACACATAGCAAAGAGAAATGAAATGCACAAGTATAAGAGGAGTGATAACTGGCAAGGCAAAAGGATGAAACTCAAGGAGTATGCCTGAGACTTTTTTCTTTCTTTCAAAAGCCCTTAATGCAAAGCTGAATTTGAGCCAGGCTTCAGAAGAGCTTAGCTCCAGGCCCCATTTTCAGTGCTAGTACTCAGCCCCCAAAGACATGGCCTGGGATGTTAAGGCATGTATATTTTCTGATAAGCAGAATAATCTCACAACTCCTTCTAGCATCTTTTCCTTCCAGGCTTCTATTTTAAAAATGTACAAACGCCGGCAAAATTCTCCAGAGCCTGGCTTGGATGCGAACTTTGGGGGCTTGTGAAAGCCCAGCTCAAATGAGAAGTAAGCTTTTAAAGCCTCCTAAATTCTTAGTCAATGAAGATCAAAGCAATTCCTCCCCATCGTCATTCATCCCTCCTAGGCTTCATTGTCCCCATCCCAGCTATTCCGACACAACGTATTTGCTCTCTTCCCTTCAGGTAGCTCACAAGGGAGGTAAGTGGAAGCACAATCAGCATTTGCGTGGGAAAGGGGGAGAATTTCCCCCTATTTCTCTCCATTTCTGGGTAGCAACATGGCACGATAAGGGACCATAGTTATATAATTCTTTTGACGGTTTCTTCACCGTGCAATTTGCACGTGATGAAAAGGGGGGAAATATATTGGGGCATGGGCTAGGAAGGCTTTGGGGGATGGGAAGGGCTGGTAGAATGCGTTTTTCTCCCAGCCCTAGACTAGCTCAGAAAAACAATACTGGACTTTTCTGATTTTATCAGGGACATATCTGTGCTGATCTGAACACAGCTGTGGAAAACTCACCCATCTCTCTCTCTCTCTCTCTCTCTCTCTCTCTGGTCTAACCAGTGCTTTTTTTCTAAAAAAATGTTTAGGGGTACTCTCATTTTGACTCAAGAATATCACCATTTTGTAGTTCCAATTGGGAAAAAGAAATACAGTAAATGGACAAAAGTACAAAGATTCACAAAATATTTTGGAGTATGCGTATCTTTGCATAGCCCCAGAAAAAAGCACTGGGTCTAATCTTGTTACAGCTTGTGGTTTGTGAGAAGAGAACTTAGTCACAGGCTTGGCTCAGACAACATGCTAAACTAAACCTTGGCTTAGGTCAACGCAGGTCAACTGGGAAGAAGCAAAGTGGTTAGGAAATCCTCTCTGGCTGCTTGCACATTCTCTGAGTTTTATGAACCAAGCCTGAGTGTGGCTTCTAAAAGGCTTCAGCTCCAATACGTTTTTCTTGCCCGCTTTTCCAAAACTGCATACTACATTCAAATATATTTAAGATAGCAACATTCATTTCACATGCTTTCATCTAGCTGCTAACATACCTGTAACTTCCCTACTTCAGTGCCTACTTGACAGCAGCTTTTATACACAAAATCCAACACTAAATGTCAGTGAGCACACTGAAGATAACTGTTGGGAACAGTCTGGTAAAAGGCTATTGCCCTCCTTGTTTCTGAATCAATTGACCGTAGCAATTCAGCAGCAGTCAAGGACAGTTAGAGGTCACAATGACATAAGGCAGGCAGTTCTTCAATACTCCTAACAAAAGTTTAATTTTAACTTCTTTGAACTCTGATTGCAAAGGTGAAATTGTATTGGCATTTCACACTAAATAAAGAAGTATGACTAATCTCTCAACTACTACCAGTGTGTCTTCCTTAATTTATACTTACTGAAACAGAAAACAGCCTTTTAAACTACAGAAAATTTGGTGACTAGAAACATGAGGTCTGCATCATTGAAAATGGACCTACTTCTTCATCAAAAATAAATCCCATGCCTCTGCTGATGACCCAAATGGGCTCCACAAACAGGTCATTATCCTTACAAAAACAAGTTATGATTACCTTGTGTTCTGAAAGCATGCATTCTTTTTCCTGTCAAATAGAGATCCTTTTCAGATCAATTTGCAGAATCATTTAGGTACTAGATATAAATCCATACCAATAAGTAATGTTAGCGAATGTAGTCAACAGTAGATTTCATCCCCCCTTCCCCACCCTTTGTTCCTCTAATGCATTAACACCATATTTTAAAGGAAATGTATAACAATTAAAATGTAATTATCCAATGAAAAGAACAGCATCAACAAATTATCTGAATAAACAAAGCTTGTAACCAACTATGTTCTGCTCAGAGTTGACTCATTGAAGAAGAAGAAGAGGAGGAGGAGGAGGAGTTTGGATTTGATATCCCGCTTTATCACTACCCTGAGGAGTCTCAAAGCAGCTCACAATCTCCTTTCCCTTCCTCCCCCACAACAAACACTCTGTGAGGTGAGTGCGGCTGAGAGACTTCAGAGAAGTGTGACTAGCCCAAGGTCACCCAGCAGCTGCATGTGGAGGAGCAGGGAAGCGAACCTGGTTCACCAGATTACGAGTCCACCGCTCTTAACCACTACACCACGCTGGCTCACTATTGAAGTGAATGGTGCTAAATTAGTTGTGTCCATTCAATACGATGGGTTAGCTCTAACATTGGATACAACCAAAATGCTGGATATAGCCCCAAATCCCCAGAATGGCTACCATCTTGGACATCATAGGTTAAAGAAAAATGTGAAAGAGGAGAGAAAAAGAAAAGGAAGAAAGAAAAGGAGGAGTAGGGGTGGTGGTGAGGAATATGTTGCATATGAGTGAACTGGATGTGGAAATAACATGGTTGCCAAACAGATTCCCCCCCTGTATATCCCTTTCTATTATAGCATTTTTTATATTAAAAAAGATGCAACTAGAACAGTTTAAAATTTGCAAAACATCACAATTTGTGTATAAGGATGACATAGTGAAATGTATCATCACATTTTATCCTTGGTAATGTTATAAAGCACGACCTCCTTTCCCCTTTTCTCTCTCTTCTTTCCTGTGCTCCTTTCCTCCTAATTACATTTCAGCTTATGCCCTTCTAAACTGTCCATAACATTAGATGTATCATTTAAATAAAAACAGTAAAAAAAAATGGCAAACAAATACCATCCAATGCATTTCTGTCTTCCAGTATTAAAGGCTGCCATCTTTACACAAAGTGCCATGCAGCATTAACTTTTGTGGAATGAATATCTGGCCAAAGCAGCAATATTGCTCTTCAACATTACCTTCCATAATTGGAAAGTTATTCCTTTATAGTTGTTATGTTTTTAATTTTTCAATTCCCAACAATAAGCATCTTGCACAGTACCCAATATTTGCTTCGTATCTGTGTATTATTTTTTTTAAATGCATCTTTTTCTAAGTCAAGTCCATGCTCGTTCTGAGCCACTGTCTATAAAATGAGAGTCTGTGTTCCCCATTCTCTAAAATAGGGAATTTTTCAAAAAGAAACATTCCTCAAATCACCCTGATTCACCTCTTTATTTGCCCTCCATGCAGAGCTAATCCACACCCCTATTAAATGTTTCTACTGGTTCTGTATTATTATTTTCAGCATAGCTCTGAGTTCCATTTAATAATACAAATAGCATTATAAAAGTAAACCCCCCACCCCATGGACAATGGCATCAGCCCTTCATACATTAATTTGAAACTAATAAATGATATCCATCTGAGCCCATCCACTAGCAGAATGGACTTCCACTCATGCAATAGGACTTCTTCCTTACCTCACCCTGTAGCCTCCTACTTGCCCACCAAATCTGTTTTGTTAAGGTTGGGGGACTCTCTGAAAGAGATCTGGAGGGTGGGATAGTGGTCTGCTGGTGGAGGAGAGGAAGTGAAAATTCACTTGCAAAACATTGGCTATCATCCACTGTGTCTATCTAGGTACTCAGAGGTTGCTGGTATCTATCACAAGGATATAAGTATAATTCTCTAGAGCAATAGCTTTTGGGAACTTGCAATCCTCTTCCAACAACAAGAGCTAATGAGCTTAGCACCAAGAACAGGTATATTTTGTCCCAAATATTCTAGCACCAAATTCACTGGCTGAAACTGGGTGTTAATGGTGAGGGTAGTTTCATGAGGAAAGGTGCTGAAGGCTTTAGAACTTCTCTTTCTTTCATAAATTATTTGTTACAAGAGCACAGTTTTCGTCTTTTTTCCCCCCTGAGAGTGAGGCAAAATACAGCTAAGCATATTTGGAGGATAAAGGAGGATGGGCAATTTTATGAGATAAAAGGAAGGCAGAGAGAGAAAGATAGTTAATAAGAGAGGGTGAAGGAGATAAAATACAGAAAGTCACCTTACAGATAAAAGATTTGAATATATTACTCTTCTTGCTCTGAATTCAGCCATGTTTACAAGAAAGGCATCAATCCCCTGCTCCCTATATTATTCATCACAATTCTTGAATTATATTAGAGACTGTAGGTTTCTCATTACTTTATTTTAGAGGCGTACTTATAGCATTAGACGGTAGATGAACACATTAGAATGGAGTCTAATGAAATGAATGAACTCAAACAGGGCAAAGGATAGACCATAGATTTAGGAACTACAATGTGATATAGTAAGGATTGGATCCATATCATAAGGATGGTGTGGTTTACATATGCCATGTTCACATCCCACCCCTCTTTGGTAGCATTAAAACTGGGCTGATCACATGTGGCAGAATGAGGTGAGATGCAAGTGATAAAATTATGGGGTGCCAAATGTACTATACTACTTTAGACTAAAGAAGTGTGGGGTGTCACATTTTAGATGATCTTTGGCATTGACCCAATAACCCACCAGCTAGGTAGATTTTTACACAGGGATAATTAAAAATGGCATTCCTTCCACAAGAAGTGGTACAATGCCTTTTCTGTTCTCAGAATTCTGCAGCCTTATTCTGCAGACCAGGCCACCCTGAGATGACCTAGGAGGCACATGCTTTGTTGTTCTAATGATGAGCAAGAGCTGAATAACAATCTCTAAAAGTGATCTGGTGGGTTCATGGAAGGTTCTGGAGGGGTTATTGTGGGAGTTAGTGGTACACTAGTTCTCAGTTGCTTGGCAAGAGGAACAGGAGTCATGGAAGAGTGTCACATCTGAAGGAATGGTCTTGTGAAGGAGGAATTCAACATTTTTCTGTCTCTGCTGTTGAGTGTCCAACCTTTCTCAATCAATGGATTTAATCTGCCTTGTGACTTTAAGTTGTCATTGGTAGGATACCTGTTGTTTTCTAATTATATTTTGAGAAAATCATTATTGATATTCGCAGAGCCTGTGAACTCTGCTCATAGTGCACCGTTATAACTCCTATTCGTGGGGAGCTAATCCTATGAGGCTTGATTAACTCTCGCATAGCTTTCCTCATGGAAAGTGTTTTTGCAGCATGCAAGGGCTTAGGTGTAGAAAGCAGATTCACAATATGATAAAGGAAGGGATTTAAAAAGAAGGGTCTCTGACTTCTTTGGTTTGCTTCGCTTGTACCACTCTGTTACTCAGCATAAATGGGGAAGGGCCATAGCTCAGTGGTAGAGCAGTTGCTTTGCATGCAGACTGTCCCAGGCTTAATGCCTGGCATTTTCAGGGAGGTATGGAAGACTTGTCTGAAATCCTGGAGATTCAGTGTCAGTCAGTGTGGACAATATTGAATTAGGTGGACAAGTGATGGGACACAGTCTGAGGCAGCTTCTTATGTTCCCATGTACATGGATGGTAGTGGTAATAAAGCCAAACTATTTGTGTTGTTGTATTTGATCTCTTTCTGAGCCTAGTCTTACAAATTGGGCCTGAGGGTATATTTGTTCTTTCAGCAGCTCTTGTGGAAAACATCATCAAAGTGGTTTTGTGTTTGAAGAACTTTGAAAAGCACCGTAGGGATCTTGGGCAAGGTCTTGGACTCTCTAGGGAAAGCAAAACAAAAGAAGTCGGTTAGTGTCAAGGAGCTGTTAGGCAAGCACAAGTCATCCATGGGGCAGGAAAGACCATGAGGCAATTCACTTTTATTCACAGAAAGTAACAACACAGCAAGAGGTCCTCTAGGTTGTCCCATCTAGCTGGAGACATTGCTGAAGCTGACCACTGGCTCTGCCTTTCCCCTCTAGCCTCTCACTCCCTTCCAAGCCTATCTGGGCCTGTCTGGCCCATTGCTCAGCAACGTGTAGGACTCACCTGAAGTGGGGTGTCGGGGAAGAGAAGAGCCAGCAGGACTGGGACTGTCCTGCTGCTGGGTAGAGGGGCCACCTCTGACTCCTCTCTGTCTTAGTCTGGGCTCACACTGAGACTCTAACCCTCAAGGCCTGTCATGGGCGGGTCTCCTTCTTCTGACCCCCCCACTGATCACTCAAACCTCCTGCTTCTAGCACCTCCCAGCTCATCCTTTCCTCAGACTGCTGCCCAGTGTCACAGTGCCATCATCCGGGGTCTAAGTCTTCTTCTTCTGTGTCCTCCCTGGGGGACTCTTGGGCAGGTGGTGCCCACCACTCTTCCTCATCTAGCCAGTTCCTGACAGGTGGTGACTTGACTGCTGCCAAAAATAATCCTGCAGCTCTGACTCGTTGCAGCCATAGCATGTGAAAGCAACCACAAGGAACAGCCTATTGATGTGTGGCGCTAGTATGTGAACTAACCATGCAATCCCATGGGTCTACTTGGTTGTGACTTAGGTGCATTATGGTTGTGACGCAAAACCCAGACCAAATGGAATTGGGGTTTGGTGGCAGACATATTGCCAAACAACCATAAACTGAACCTTTGTTGCATCCTCCTTAACACTGATTATGCCAGTTTCCTGCCGCTATTCCTTGATTTGTGCCATGAAATCAAGGCTAATATATCCAGGGGTACTGTTTCACTAAATGCATTCATTCGGGGTGATTTCAGAATCTACACACCCAAAGCAAATCTGTTGAAACGTCCCATATTCTAATCTGTTAAAATCTCAATTAATGGCACCACTGAGGCATGTCTCTGATCCAGAAAGCAAGTGTATAAGCCCCCGCCCCCACCATGGTATCATACTGTGTGCCTCTGTGCAGCAGTGGTGGTTGTTGTTGTTTTTAACCTTATCAGCAAAGGAGCTCAATTGAAGCAGAATGTTTCATTTGGAAGAAAATAAATAAATAAATAAATAAATAAACGTGCGCCTACCTTCTTTACAGTCTAAGCAACACCTCCGTTCAATTTTCAGACTCGTTTTCAAGGTGACTATTCCCTGTATCTTTCTTTCATAGGCTACTGCTCTTTTTTTGCGTCGATGCCAAAGAATTTATTTTGTCTAGAAGACAACACTGGAATTTTAAAGCCGTAATGAGACTGTAGAGGTTTTTCTAATCGGACTCATTAACTACATTTCAAATTGAAAGGAAATTCTTTTGCTTTGGGGGAAGGTCACTTGTACATTTATTTCACACACACACATCAGATATCTCGTTATCCAGTGGAAAGTCTTGTGGTGAAATGCAACTGCAATTTACAACTGGGCTATTTGCACTAGGACAGTTAAAGCAGTGTTAATGTTTCATTAACTAGCTCTTACATTCCAGACTGAGGTGGGTTGTAATTTAGCTTAAGCAACATGGGAAGTAGAAACTGGTGCTCAGAGCACCATTTCCAAGGCATGAGTTTTCAGTCATTTCTTCCTTTCTTCCTTGGCTGAAATGCCGTGACTTTCTACAACAGGGGTGGAACTTTATCAAACACATTGTGTATCAGGGATAACTAACGTGGTGCCCTCTAAATGTCAGTGGGACTGCAGTTCCCTTCAGGCCCAGTCAGCATCGCCAGTGGTCAGGGATGGTGGCAGTTGTAGTTTGAAAACATCTGAAGGGCACTGTATTGGCGTCTGCTGCTCTACAGCTTGATTACACCATGTTTTCCCACATAGGTTCCCTGCTAGACATTTTAGCAGAGCAGCTAAACCTGAAATGGTGTACTTTGGGCTAGAAGTATGATGTATGGCACACGTATTGGGCCAAACACACACAGAGCGAGAACCCAACAAGCAATGTCTCCTTGGAGCAGGAGAGTGAAAACTGTGTACACCTGTCTTTAAGTTGTCTGCCCATTCTATGGTTCGTTGGTTCAAGGAACCTGCAACGAGCCTTCCAACCTGCAGAGACACTGCTATCTTCACACTACAGCCTCCAAGTCACCAAGAGTCATCCCTTTACAGAGCTGGACTGGGGGGTTGGCAGGGACCAGCTGTTTTTTTGTTTGAATCTACAGTGGTACTTCAGGTCAAGTACTTAATTTGTTCCGGAGGTCCGTTCTTAACCTGAAACTGTTCTTAATCTGAAGCACCACTTTAGCTAATGGGGCCCCCTGATGCTGCCGCGCTGCCGGAGCACGATTTCTGTTCTCATCCTGAAGCAAAGTTCTTAACCTGAGGTAATATTTCTGGATTAATGGAGTCTGTAACCTGAAGCATATGTAACCTGAAGCGTATGTAACCCGAGGTACCACTGCATAACTTTATTCAAACTATTGCCCCAGGTCTCAAAAAGCTCTGCCTGGGCCTGCCGCCTTGCTTCTTTCAAGATCTTGTGTTCTCCTCAAGTAAACCTTCTTGTTTCACTTCATTACTGATTTCTACTTTTTACATTTTATTTTTATAAGTAGAAAGAAAAGCAATGAGAACAAATGCAGCATTAAAAAGCCTCTATCCCACACACAAAGAGGCACATGAATTCACATACCCTGTCAAAATGCAGAGTTGGAAACTGGGATTTACTCTAACTGGGCCACTGCATCTGAGAAAGGAAAGTCATCTTCTTACCCGGTTCATTGCTAGCCTAGTTTTCCCTGAAGGAGGAATTTATTGAGCTATTGCATGTTTCCAAACATGCCTTTCCTTGGTTGCTTTCTGTTGGGACTTTTCTCCCCCCCACCCACTTTAGCATCTTGGCCACCAGTCTAAGTTGCCGAAACAAAATGCATGAAGCTTTGTTTTCCCTTTTCCCTCAGTTAAAGGCGTAGCTGCTTCATAGAGACCTCAGTTATCCATTTTGGGTAAGACATTGCTTGTTCTTGGGCAGAGGGAAGAATCTCAGAAGCAAAGCTAGATACTGCTCGAGCCAATGAGGATTCCAGGTACTTTCTGTATGAGTCTTTTCAGAAGTCAGCTCCACTTCACCATGGGGAGGAGTTGAGGTGGACCGCGTGGCCACCACTCTCCCCTGGGGGGTGGGGGACAAAGTCCCATGTTGCCCGGGGGATTCCAGCCACATCAGTGACTGGCCAGCCAATCCGCTGGCTGGTGGGGTCGTGGCCGGGACCATTTAAGCAGAGGCACGAGCCAGAGGGCTTCCTCTTGGCTTGCTTCCTCAATCTCCTGCCCTCCCTACCTATTTTGCCGGTTTTAGTCATTGGTCTTGCTATGGACCATGGTTGGTCCCCGTTGAGGGGCCTGGTAGGAATTTTTCCACTTGGCAAAATTGGCACAGGCCATTTGGTTTTCGCCTACCTCATAGCAATTGTCACAACTTTGTTAGGTTGGCGGTTAGGCATTTTTTGACCTTATGAGGGAGGAGAGGAGGTGTGGCCATCACCTGCCCCTCTAAGCTTAAGGGTATTCCGTTAAAGGAATCCAGGGGTGTGGATCTTGTCCAAAGCCCGGGGAGGGGCTGGGGCCATGACACGACCCTGAGGGGAACACCTGGGGGAGCTCGAGTTGGTATGCATCGACGGGGCTCCCCCTTCTGGTGGTTTACCCTTACCGGACTCTCTGCACAACGGGCAGGAGTCAGATATAGTCGGGTCCATTCAATGCCTAAGCCAATACCGCTCACATATTGTAATCAATAAAGCTGTGGCCAAAATTTGCCCAATAACATCAAATATCTGTGTCCTTGTGTGTGTTATTTCTTAACGAGGAGCTGGTTTCGGGGTCTCAACGAAAAACTGGTTTTCGCCAGGCTCTTCAAAGAGGCTCCAAGGAAAGAATGAAGCAAAGGTGCACTGGACCTTCCCATTTATTTCTTAGACCTGAGCCAAATGCCAGCAGAAAGCCCATTGCATGATGGGGTGGGGTGGGGTGAGGAGGGGAGGAAGAGGTGGCTTTCACTTCCTGCAACCTATATTGCATAATTTGTGTAATGCTCATTACCATGAGTACCCTAGAAAACATTTCCCATTTGATGGGAACAGTAGGAAGCTTGCTGAAAGCTAGCAATTAATTAGTGAAACACCATATGCTAATAGATATACAGCAGATGTGTGTACATGGGAGACCTCAATATAAAATTCCGCAATTGCAATTCAGGCAAGCAGAGAAACAAATTGTTGTGTCCAGAGAGTCTTTAGAAGGTAACGTGACTGCTTTTGCTCTCAGTACTCAGGTGCATTAAACCTTGGCGCTACATGCCAAAGTCAAACTAGATACCATGATGGCAGATTGGCAGCTGAGGGTTATATATTTGTATGTTATGACTTGCAGTTCGTCCAGTAATAAATTGCATTTGTTCTTTTTTATCAGTTACACTCATATCCCACAACTCTTTCCTAAGAAGTAACGAAAAGGAAGACGTGAAACTGAAATGGGTCAAAGCACACCAAAGGAGAAGGCCTTTCTCCCCCTCCTTCTGAAG